AATATTTTATTTTGCGGCATTTTACTCTTGTACAAAAAGAACGACTTCTGACTTCAAGAAGAGCTGGATTGTTTACACAAAATTGTAAGCACTGCTAAAGAGACAAGACGAGCGTGTTTTTTCTACAGTTTGGTTCTGGACAGACGCATTGAAACAACAAAAACTAGAAAAATACGGCCCACCCAAACACAGTTTACTTTTCTGTCAGCTCATCTCCATGTCCATCTAAAACCACGCTATATGTGGGTAGCACAATAGAATACAGACATATGTACATACAAAAATATATACATATGTATGCAGGTATCACCCTTCGCATTTTTACTCCCTCGCCATTATGACATAGTTCTGATTAATATATTCTGATGCAAAACAAATTATTTTAAACAGGTAAACAGCACTATTGAACGCATATATATATAACGCAACACTAATAAATGACGAAAATAATTTTGGTGACTACAATTAATTTTTATGAATGTCCAGGAATATATCCAATAACTTACAACTGGTAATAAGGTTCCATTCTTATGCATACATAAATGTAGAAAATCTCTTGACTTTATTTTACACCTGCATCGCGTCACAAACCACAGCCCATTAAACAGGACACCTGAAAACGGTCATTTCTTCCACATAACAATTACCTTCACAATAAACGTTCCCAACAAGGTGAAGTGGAGCACACTTTCGGTTGTGGTATATAGAGCAGAAGTAATGTGTGTCGGCTGGATTGTGGTGTTAAGTTTAATGGAATGAAATTTTAGTAGCTGTAAGTACTGCGAACCATTACTGCTCCCATTACATTTATCTCAGACACCTTGCAAACCAAGGAAAAGTAACGGAACTTGTGTAAGCAGAACCCTATCGACAACGCTTCAGAAGAATGGATTAAAATGCAATTATCTTTCTTGTTAATAGAAATTGATAACAATTTTTCGTGTTGAGAACGGAGCGACATTCTGTATTCTTGACTCGTGAGGTAGTAAAAGGCACTCCTTGAATTATTAAAAGGCAGACATGAATAAAATTGTTGGCTGGAGGGAGATAATTTTGCCATTGCGAGTCTCCAATAAATGTTTATTGTTTGACACACTACTGCGTTGTCTCGTGCCAAGTGGGGGTGAGGTCACTATGGTTTGTTATTAGGCCCAAGCAAAAATGTGGGTTGAGTTGACTGTTGCTGGATGATGCAGGAAAATGCACTTAGTAGCTCACCAAAACAAACACGGAAACGATATCAGGAATAGGATCAGTCGTGATCATTATACTTTAATGTTATGCATCCTCAACACCACAAGACTCGCACATAAAATTTTCCTCCGACTCCCCGCAGGATTGGACCTCCTCTGCAAAAGTATATTATATGTAACGATATTATGACGATGACTTTGCTTCAGATGGTCTGGGAAAAATCAATTAATGAGCAAAAATGAGCCATGCAACATCGTCAAATGTAGGAAAAAGTGCCCATCAGAGTTTAAAATTGAGCTAGAAAAATAAGTATTTATACGCACATGTAAATATGCACTGATTTATCCTACTACGCTTAAAGTTCTTAAAGGCTTCGTTGGATCTTAAGAATTGAAAACCATTTTGATTAAGTACAAATCATGAGAAGCTTTGGGTGCACCATTTGTGTGAAAGTGCAACCACTATTAAAAATTCATGAGGCTGATGATGAGCATGTGGTCTGCCTCTGGTTGTGGGTCTTTTCCTTGGGATTGAGCCTCACCCGCAGCAGCGAGTGAAAAGGCAGGGATTATGAGAAGGGAAAGTAAAAGTAGTCGTAGATGCGTGCGTATAGGGAACAGAGACATCAAGCTGAAGCATCTCGTCGTCCTTACAAAATCAACCAACATGTGGACAACCGAGACGAATGAGACATTGGTTGGGCAGGGCGACAATTTAGTGACAACTGTGACTTGGGTCGTCCAAAAGTCAAGGGACCGGGTTAAGGACTCGAGGGACAGGCGAATGTGAATTGGTGCCCAAGTTCTGTGTTGTGCGAGGCTAGTGTCTCCTGTCTCTCCCTCCTGTCATGTCGTGTCAGTCAACATTCCCATTGTCCTCATTGGCAAGTCTCAAACTTTTATGTCAAATGTAACCAACCCAAATTAAATTGTAGTAAAATATGGGACTGAATTAGAGCAGAAATAGAAATTAACGATTTTGGTATTAGGGCTGCTCTCTGTCCAGTTGACCATAGAGGTCTGTATCATTTGCAGAGGGATAAGTACCATTATTCATACAGATACCGATAATAAGGTGATATATTGCGAGCGAATATTAGGTCTGTTTACCATGTCCAATCCCATGTTGCTTTTGTGAGTTGGTCAGTGTGCAGTTAGGCCTCAAGTCAAAATAATGATCTATTATCAACATTTGGCTTGCCCGATTTGGGTGACTTATGGGCATACAATGTACTCATAATGGGACCCTTATTCGCATTTAAATGTTCATTATTTGACATTTGGAAGGAATTGTACAGGCGCACAGATTGATAGCAATGATGACGATTCAATTTTCTCTTTCTCCCGTCGTGGTGCGAGGCATGTTTTCGAGTGCAACAAGCAACGCACAAACCGTCGATTGAGACAAAGAATAAATAGTAAATCGAGAAATCATTGGGATCAGAGGTTATCAAAACAGTGTGTGCAGTATATTGTTACGACTCTTGCTATGCCGCCTTCAGTGTACAGACAATGGGCACAACTGTTCATTCCTGAATTTAATTTTGTATGGGGCTCACACATACATAAATATACTACGTAAAACATAGAACGTTCATACATGGGGGCCCTTGTTTTTCTTCATTATGCACTGACAACATTGGGGGTCTTTACAAAAAGTGTCCTGTTGCTTTATTTAGTTGAGCACAACTGGATCATATTCATGTTTAACTAAGAATTAATGTGAAATTTGCTTTTCATTGGGTGCATCTCTGTTGGAAGGTTTTGATAACTCAATTAAGTATATATCAGATATTGCTCACTTTATTTTTTAAATATTTTTAGCTTAAGACTAAAAATATGTATGTATGTATGTAACAATATTTAGACCACATAACCTCGTTTCGACTAAATGAATGGAAAATGGATGGAAAATACGCAAAAGTCAGTCATGTATGGATTATGGGCAATCTTGGTCCTTGCAGGAGCAGAAACTGACTGACATGTCGATTTGGTGCAAGATAGATTATGGCTGATTGTCTTGTGGCCCAATCTAATCGACCGTTCTCTCTTTTCCTTTGTGAAATGGCCAGAGTAAAAAACGGAGAATTTTATAGTGTTTGAACGTGCTTGGTCTAGTTTTTTGTGTTATGATCGCCTGTCTATCCCTTTGTGTGAAGGCTGTCAATCAATTATGCATTTCATCCATAATCTATAAATCTAACTCAGCAGTAGTGGGGGTCTTCCCATATGGGCATGCTTATACTTTGTATTCCTGCAACCACATACTATTATTTCTGTTCATTTCGTGTGAGCGAGTCAACTGACGTTGACTTTTGTTTCGATCTGCAGTGAAACAGTTGAATATTGTTTAAGATTCAAATTTTAAGAAAAAGAAAATCAATATGTCGAGCAATATTTTGCAATTTCATGACTATGAAATACAACTGGAAGGCTTTTCTATTTTAGGTGTACTTAAATGTCAAACCAGTCATGCATTTCTTGATCAAGTCTGGCTTACAAGTTTATTTAACTTTCTCACCCCACATTCATCACATTGCCGTTTGCTTGGACGTTGGTTTTGCGTAGTAATCAGAAAGAATAAATAATTAGATTTTTCATTTAACAAAAGAATAGCAGTGAAGAGACAACGTATTCATGTGAACCTGTGGGCCCAAAGTAAAATGGGTAACCCAACCTTATGTTATCATAACATTTGACATCCCAGGTTTTGTTCACCAAATTTCCTGAAACTAAATACACTGGTTCATTGCTCGTACGTAAATTTTTCCGTATTAAAATATAGGATGTCACTCATGTTGGATCAAGATGATTTTTTAGTGCAGAGCTAATGCAATAATTCCGGGAGGGATCTCGCCCTCCTGTTGTTTTTCCTTTGTTTATGTTATCAAAAAGCTCAAATATCCGGTGTTACACTTTGTGCTCGCTCTATAATCAATGCACATGACTAATAAGTACACATGTACATTGGGTTTGCAGTAACCTCCGGATATATATTTATATAGATACATAGATAGTAGATGTGCACATATATCAATGTGTAGATGCACACATCTAGTATCTGGATGTGTGGATGTGACACGGACTTTCTTTGCTGATTGGTAAATCGTGTGATTTTGCAACTCGATTGGTTTTCATCTCTCGCAACAATGTCTCCTCCGTTAAGATCGGCTTGCCAATTCCCAAAGGGGTGCTCAGGCCTATTTCAAAATCTGGATGCATGCGACCGTCTCTCAACATTATCATGGGTACATACACACGTGTGTGGTGTCATTCCCAGAAGATTTTGCCGTCATGTCCTCCAGACGACTCACAATAGATCTCAATTTTCAATTCCACATTGGCTTAGTCAAACACGAGCCACGGTGCTGAATGGGAAGCACAATGGGAAGCCGTCGTGGTGCAATAATAATTGAGAGCGAGATGGAGGGAGAGATAGGATTCCAGGATTGATAGTTTTGCTACTCTCAAGTGTTTATCCTATTAGAGGATAGTTTATTTTCTATTTGTTCTGGATTAGGAGTGCATGATGCTCCATTTATTAGTCTGGTTAAATAGCAAAACACTCATTTCCTCCCATGCAGATATTTACACTCATCCTCCATTCCGGGCCCCTGTGCATAACTCATGCTCCTCTGTTTAAATTAAAATAATAGTAGACTCCATTCTGCGTTAATTTCAGAACAATAGAGTAAAAATGAACAATTCTTGTTACCACTGTCATAAGTAGCTCATGCTTTTGCTAAAAAACGGATGTGCATAAAAGTACGAGATTGGATAGTGACTAATTTGCGACTTTATTTCCAGACTCCTCGGAATCCAACACGATTACCACCCACACAAAAGTCCGCGAAGGCCGAGGACATGCGAAAGGAGAGGGCAAGCCAACAAGGGTTCGTACCGTTTTGAACGAGAAGCAACTGCACACATTGCGGACCTGTTACAACGCTAACCCTCGACCTGACGGTAAGCTCTGCTCCTCCGTGATTATGAACTATGTTTTTTGGGGAGATCCAGCTTTTTTACATTTCAAATGTGATGGTTTACAGCTTTGATGAAAGAACAGTTAGTGGAGATGACCTCTCTCAGCCCACGTGTGATTCGCGTCTGGTTTCAGAATAAAAGGTCAGGTGAAAGGTTAATAACGCGTGATCAGGTCAATATCAGGTTAATATTGGCCTGAAGTCCTTTTAGCATTAATTACTAATATTGCTTTGAACTTACAGGTGCAAAGATAAAAAGAAGCAAATTCTGATGAAACAGATGCAGGCCCAAGAAAAGGTTCGTTATTATACTGAGGTTAGAAAGTTATTTATAGATTGATTTGTTACATGAATAAAAGGGTAACATCCATTTATGAGAAAGCTCTGTCCGGTCTTACATTTTCGAACGTTTCAGTTCTTTAAACTTGTTTTTAACAGACAGAGACAGGGCTTCCTTATAAATAAGGACTTTTACCCTTTAAACCACTGTCGACTTAATAATTACTAAATTACGACCTATTACTTAACACGACGAATTTCAATTTCTACATGAAATTAGAGTCTTTATGAGGCAAATGAGGCAGTTTATTTGCACATTTTTCGCACTACTATGGACAGTACACGTCATACAAATTTTAAAATTTCTACAAAGGAATAAAATTCATAATTCTAGAAAAAGAGATTTTAAAATATTTTAAATCCTAACGTTAGCCAACAAGCCTTAAGTTGGTTTCCAATTCCTTCAAACAATTTTGTCTTCCAATAGTAAAATTTGAATTCAGCAGCCTTTAGAAAATGTACTTCCCCTCATTCTTTGATCTCTTTTGATCTTTTGAAGAGGTGGAGAGACAAAGCAACTGGGCCTGACACAAACTTCATATTATGCACTTGTACAATATATGTATGTACTTCTGCCTACAAAAAGTGTGAGAGTTTGTAAACTCGCTTTGTAATTTTCCCAGCCGTCATTTTCTAAAGGCTATTCATTAGCGTGATTACTTTCCTCAATCATAGACTCACGTTTAGTCGGGCCAATAATATCTTGCAGTGCGGTGGTGGTGACCACCGTAGTCGTATTTATTTATGTCGATAATTATTCCACTGTATTGCAACAGTAAGCTTGTTATGCACTTCAAGTCACAAAAATCTCATAAATATGTAACTCAATACATGGACTTGTTTTCCTGTTCTGCTGTAAAAGTTATTGTTTTGTAAGCCATAGTTTGTACTTACAAAATAGGTACAAAGGAGTATTAGACGTTTATTGGCGGTCGTAGTTTTCTTAAGCGGAAATTTGCGTGCATGAATACCTTCACGTCGTAAAGGAAAGGAATGTGCTCGGACGGAAAAGGGCAGGTTTTGAAAGTTTTTAAGAAACGCCTCCATCCAGTGCTCTCAAAGTTGCAACCCCTGCACACTACACTCCACCTCAAGCCCAGCATACTATATAAAATGGTCAAAATTAGAATATTTATGAAATTAGAATACTTATGCATGTACGTGCAAAATTAGGATATCTGCGTACATATTAGTAATATATAAATATCACAATTTTGCAAATATTTCAATTTCATCCTAATTTGTAACTCGACAATTTTAGAATTTTATTCATGTAGGCAGAATTTTATACAAAAAAATAGTTTTTAAGGGGGACTGCATCCAATCATGTCCTCAATTAATGAGGAGGAATGCAGGGGACAAGAGAGAAGCTTCATACAAAAGCTTTCCGGCCCTTCTAATGAAACATTCACCATAAATTTTGTTAATAAGCCATACCCACCCGAGTGTGGCAGTTAGATTTTTAATTACCACACGACCCATGTATCATTGATAAGATGGAGGGTCAAAAAGAGATAAAACATTGGAGTCCGCTTTCATTTCATTCACTCATCCTGGGTGGATGTACATCTGCTCCATGATCCAGTCGTTCAAGAAAATAAGTACAAGGTTGAGCATACGTACTTATGTTGTTTAGCTGGTTGGTTATATACATATTTATATACCATTTCTATTACTATATAACTCTCTGATATGTATATTCCATGAAAAGAGTCCTCTCTAATTATGACCGAATGATTATCCATTTAGAAGGGTAGAGGTCAAGTCAAAACTTCAAATTTTCATGTGTTGGTTCAAAACATGATTTATACGTATTTCATCTGCACTATCCATTATCTCGACTTGTATTTTTATTACTAATATCCAGCTTAGCAATAATTCGTAAAAAAATGAGGAGCTGTTGTCCACATTTGCACATTTGCAGCCCTCAATCATATAATAGCATTTTCAGTGAAACTAAGCTCTGATTTTGATTGATGCTCCGCTTTCTAATCAGGCTTCAAATAATAATGATAATTATTGCATTATCAACGTATAAACTGAACAGAAGGAAAGTATAAAAATATCAGGGATCGAGTAGAACGAGAGGTACTCGAGGGTGGCCAAAAGGGAGTGGCGGATGGATGTTGATAATGGATGTAAAATAGAATTATGATTATTATTTAAACGAATTATGTCCTCTGGAAGGTCCCAAGTCTGTCATTTATTTTGTCGTTGATCATTTGATTCTCTCCCTTTGAATGCGATGCCACCCTGACTGATTCTGAGCCGAATCATCATGTATCGTCAACTTATGTATTATTGGAGGAGAAATGCTAACTTGATTAAGACCCGATCTTACTTTGGTGCATGTCACGTGAAATCAAATTACTCAGTCAGTATTGACAACCGCGATGGTATATGTAAAGGTCGGTGGGTAGCGTATTTCGTATCAAAGTTATGAGTTATAGAGATGCAAGAATAACAATACTTTGGTCTTGCATATAATAGCTGCATAATCGCTGCATAAATAAATACATATTCCTGATTCTTTCCTCCTACTGACTGAATTACACATCACCTACAATGAGTGAATATCTGTACATTGCAGCACACAGTAAAATTCAGAGAGCTAAAATGCGATGTTTTGGTTTCAGGAAGGAAGAAAGCTTGGCTACGGTACAATGCAGGGTATTCCTTTAATCGCATCCAGTCCTGTGCGTCATGAAAGTCCGTTGGGGATGAATCCTGTGGAAGTTCAATCTTACCCCCCTCCTTGGAAGGCCCTTACCGACTTTGCCCGTAAGCATTTTAAACCACTTACATAAATATGCAGAGTAGATGTAAGAAATGAATGGAAGCCTCTTCTTCCATCAGGAAACCCAGAAAAGTTGCCAAAATATGTACAACTGAGTTTAATTTCGATTTCATTGCAGAAAATGCGCTCGACCTTGATAGACTTGACCCTTCTGCACCACCTTTTCAACAACTTGTCAATCAGGTAATTTTCCCTTTTCTAAAGTGGTCTCCGCTTTTCTGTGCTTTTCTTCTTTAATCATGCTGTAAATTGTTGCTAATTGCATCCTCAATAAACTCATTTATGATATAGTTTATGTAATTTGACGACGAATTAAGAGCAGTAAACATGTCGGCACAGTCAACTATGGCTACTCTTCTTGCTTTCGTGAGCTCCAAGTCTGTGTTTCAAAGTACTTATGTCCTAATCATGCTCGAAAAGTTACTAAATCATAATCATAATCGTATCATATTTACTTTGTCGTGAATTCTACATTTTACGATCTCAACTGGATTTAAATCGGGACTAATTATTGCGTAATATGTAGTTTCAATTTCCTAAACGAAGATATGATAATTTTAATTAGGAACGATTAATGAAGTTGGCTTCGTAATTATTTATTAAGCAGTTGGATATACATAAATACAAGAAGGTGAAATGTTGACCAAGCATAAAAAATTTCTTTGTTCGTTGAGAACTTGTCGGCAATCTTATCAATTTAATTCTCTTGTTGGTCCCAAAAGTTACCACCACGCCTTGTCCGGTGTGGCTACGTTGAAAAAGTGGATTCGAAGAAGTCTGTCGTTCCACCAGCGTTGAGTGGACGGAACCTTACCTTATCAATATAATATTGTTGTAACGCCAGCCAGATGCTTACTTTGCTCATTTATTTAAGGAACTTGTTAAGATTACGTTTATTTTCTAGGAATTATTTATAGAATTTTGAATTACTCATATATTCATTGAATTCAAGGGAACATGGTCCAAAATAAACACGAGGCGTCCATGCGTAGAAACCAATCCCATTACAACGCTTGGCCAGATATGTTGTTATAAATACAAAGCCCTAAAACTAAAATGTAATCTTATCTGAAACCAAGACCAACGTAATGAAATTCATTAAGGAATATTAAGTCACATATCTAAATAAGACTTGTTTTTCAAACAAGTTATCCATTTTTTGTGACTGGCTGTTGAATGTTTTCGTTGGAAAGTATGCTTCTTTGAAGAAAAAACGAACAGAGGTGAATCTATTCTCTATTTTCATACAAAGTATTTTAAGGATAATTTTGGGTTTCACATTCGCAGTTTGTAGCAGAAGGAGGACAGAAACTCGTTGCACATACATATTTCGATGTGCAGCATATCATAAGTTCTTAACATCAATACATTTGACATTATTTCGTTAGTGAGTAATAATATCGTGTGAGGAGAAGGGCTGCGAGGACGACTGACTTGAGGAGCAGGAGGCTGCTGTCTGACAAACGTCTCCAGTCAGAGGAACAATTGTCTTTGGGGTAGAATCTCGTGATCAGATCAGAGGATCTCTGTCGTTCGTGAGACGAAGTGATTCTCATTTCCCTAAATAGTGTGAGAGAGGCAATAATTGAGAGGAAACAGGTTGTGTGAGTGTCACTCCAGGGTTGCCGAACAAAGGACGGAGGAAGAGTTATGGGCAGCGTCTGGGCTGGTGGACAAGCTGGCGACACGGAGAGTGACACTGCTCCCTCAACAAGTCCCTCGCTTGGCCACCTCGTCGTCATCCCTTTGACTGCCCAATCCCTTATCTTCCCCAAGTATCTCACTTATCGACATCCCCACAGCCATCCTCCTCCTCATCATCACACTCCATCTCCACAACGCACTCATTGTCGTGCCAATTATGCATTATACTTCAAATCTGATCAGATGCATTTTGTCGTAATAATTATATGCAATTAATTTCATAAAATTGGCTAATGCTTATCATTCAACTTTTATTCTGACTGTGTGTTTTTCGACCATTATTTTCCTAATAATAAATTCGGAGTAAATAACAGTAAAAGAATGTGGACAATTTATCAAACTATAATGTTGCTGTATAACTACATAATTATGACACCTGACTTGCCTATATGATGAGCATCTTTTTTAACTGTCACGGGAAAGCAACATCTTTTACTTCTATCATGAGAACTTGCCACTTTTATCATGGTTTAAACCCCGTTTCACTTTTGATGGGACCACGGTCAAATTGGATTTTAGCCGCCCTCCAACCTTAATCCTATGGCTATGGCTCCAGAAATTCCGGCCCCATTACTTGTGAAATGCCCTTTAAACATCAATACACGATGTAATGCCAAAGATCAGTTTCAAAGCTACCATATTCCTTGACTATTCTTCTGCTGAGTAATATTACGTGCTTATCACGGAAATATTCACTCACTGTTGTGATATGACTGAAAGTCTTGACTTGATTCATCAATAAAGACCGACAAAGGAGATCACTTTTTAATAATTCATGTTGGATCAATGATGTAGATAATTTTACCGCATTGCATCGGACCAACTTCAAGGTGGAAAAGTGTATTTTTTATGTTTATGATAAAGTGATTGAGTTGAACTCACTACTTCGTCAAGATCTAATACAATACATGATCTGGATGGCACTGTACCAGATTAAAAACATCCTAAAATATTGTTCTTGGAACATCAGAAGTCGGTACTTTTTTCAACATACTTAAAATGGGGCAAACAAACACATGACAAACATATTGAAGGATTGTATGATTTTCCACCATGGGTTGGCTTGTTATTTCATTACATTACCTACACGCATATGTCCGAGTGAGAATATTGTGCATGTGTTCTCCATGGTCGTCGGGAATATTTTATTAAAGGGATTAAAGCAAAAAATTGTTAAAAATAAAATTTACAACCGAAGCTGAACAATTTCCTTCGTTTCTTGGAAAAAATAATTGAGTCGTAGTCGTAAAACGGTACTGTTGATGTCACACAAAAGTGTTATCTTCCCTATTAAACAGATGAATAATGACATGAAGAGTTTCAGATGCGTGACAGGATGAGACATTTACTTAATTTGACATGGCACGGGTTTATCAATTTATAGCAGCAATTAAGTATCAAAAAGGATTGTTATGAATTGCGTGAACGGATGAAAATTTACTAAAAATGCAATGGCAAGAGATTCCAGACAAATTCTTAGCTTCTAAACGAAGAAAATATCTCCTGTACTTGCACGCTCGTATTTATTATTATGGGTATTGCTCTAACTAAGTAGTCGTCCCATCGTCAATCGTGTTGGTGTGAGGATGTCCTAATCTGTCCCTTTGTCGGCCTTCTCAAACAATTTTATTCCGCCTGTTACCAAAAAGCTCAAAAAGGAAACAAAACTGATGTCCAATTGTCCACCCGTCGGAAGAGTTGTTTAAAATTCCATTTACTTTTGTCACCCTTACATATATTTTTTTTACACATATGTAGAAATATACGCGCACATGTATTTGACATCGGTATACATACAAGTTATACACTGTAATAATTTAATAACAGCAGCAAACCTACATAGGTTTGATTTCACCCACAATTCAGTTAGACTAGAAATAAACGTTGTCAAAATTGAAATGAAGAGCTAGTTTAAGAATACAAAAAGATTTTAAATCCTAGAATTTTTGTAAAGACCAGAGCTGAACTTGGTTATCGTTTTCTGATTCAGTCTGAAACAGTATGCAAACTAATAATCTAGCAACCCATGCAATATGACCTAATCATTATTCATAGACAAGAAACACAATTAACAAATTAAAACCAATGGGTGATGATAACAAGGATGTAAACTACTATGTTGATCCTCACAGGATGTAAATGATAGGAAAGCTTTGACTGTGTATGTAAAACCCTTCTCGTGAATGTGGAAGGATTACGATGTGTCCCTCCCTGGTAACTTTTTTCTCTGAGATTAAATTGAAGGATTAACTCAAAAACTGTGAAAAGTAATCCGCCTAAAACCCTTCCTTGTTCGGCGTACGTGTGTGATGATGGGATGGAATTTGGATTGGATAAGTACACAGCTAGTGCTCAGCTCATTCCTACTTTTCATCTCCCATTAGGCGAATCTCGCTCATAAATCTGGAGTTCATCCATGTGTGTCGCTTTCCCAAGCTGGAGGGAAAATGCATGTCAAAAATGCACCCCCCAATATTTTTATTAGGAGGAAGGGTTAAGCCCCCAGCAGTCACAGGAATCAGTGTGTGTGTGGTAGTTGCCCGGCTCAACCCGGTCATAATCACTCCAGTGGCTGCTAAATTATCCGGAGGAAATTCATAGGCACGAACCACCAACAAACCGGCCCCACGTTTTACTATCTTAGTATCGTAATAACTCTTTTAACTTAATTGTCTGTTTTCCGCGCTGCCATTCTCCTCGCACTTGTGCCCAACCCTCTCCTCAAATTCTGAATTGCTACAGTTTAAATTCATCTTGAGATGTAATCTGTGTAAATATTGTTTACAACCTCAAACGTTTTCGTAAATTGCTTAAGAGAGAGCGAGAGAGTTAGTTGGTTCTGGTTGCACAGTTGTTAAAAAAGAAATAGGATTAGAACTCGTGTTACTTAAAAGTTTGGTGTAGCTCCGTGACTAATAATACAAGTGTGCAAATTCACAAGGTAGTAAAATTATCTTGTCATATATAAATCCAGCCACCTGAGCCTGAAAGAATGTCTACTTACGAATACAAAATCAGGAAAGGTCCCTTCATATTCATGAGGCAGGGAGTCTACCATCGCTCCATAGGTTTCGAACTTGGTATAACATGAGGCAACATTATTATTATTATTATTATTAGCCATATTCTGAGAAAAGAAGGCTCTGAGGGACGACGACGAGGGCTGAAAGCACAATAAAATGTTAGCATGTGCAGTAACGTCATATTTTATTGTGTTTTATGACGACAACCCTTCCCTTGATGATACGTGATGTGGTTAGCTTTCCGCCCTCGTTATTGAATTGTAAATTTTCATGGATTTTTCAGGAATGGCAAAGTTTCCCGACTACTTTATGGACCCTGCGGAATATTTTAGGTTTCAATGCTAATTTGCATAGCTTGTTTGCACTTATTAGAATATTGCAAACCAATGCAAATTTCATAAGTTTCATTATTAATTTATGAAGTGGCCTTAAATATAATTCTAGAAAACAACATATATGTATGGGTATTATACAATGACTATATCAATTTTGTTTAAAAAATCCTCAAAATCGATTCGAAAATGTTCAATAAATTAAAGTACCCAAGTTTAATTTATTTTCGTTTTTGACGTATATCATGGTTTATATGCATAAACAAGGCTAATGGTTGAAAAAATGATGTGGCTTTTCTGCACTCGAGTAGGCATCGGATTTCTTGTCTAAAAATTAAACCCGTTCCTTGCAAAGGGATAATTAATAATTAACAACGGGCAAACCGAGACCGTTTAAGAATGCAGATTTTTGGGGTTGGTTTTGGTTTGTGGTGGAATAACAACGGATTTTCTCTAATCAAAAGATCCAGAATGTGGAATTCTATTTGAAAATCAGTTGTACAGATAATTCCATCCTTCAGATTAACTATGGCTGACCTATATTTATTACCTTTTTTGACCGGAACGTACATCATAAAAGATTATTTTGATTGAGATTGAAGTATCTTCAGCATCTTGACTTTTTGTGACGGGTAGTTTGATTAGTTAGTTTGATCTCCCAAGTCGTTCGGAAATAAAAAAAATAGGTATCTAATATTCTCTTATCGTATCAAATACAATCCGTTTTTTAAGCTGTGTAACAAAATACTTGATGGACGCCACTATCGAAAACCTGTCACTCATATTCGTACGTGGTTTGGATAGATTAGCCTTCAATAAAGTTGGAATTCTCGTCTGTACTAATATGTCAATCTAAATGCACTTCCTAGTCAAATTTATTATTTCAAGCTTCCTGTCAATATTTAACGTTTACAAGCTTGAAAGGTTGGATTAAATCAGAAGCCTTCGATGAGATGAATTTGGCAGAGTGGCGTTGCATCCAGAGAATTCAATCTTTTACTGGATTTCTCGAGTTTTTCGAGAGATTCAGAATTCCGAGGTGGTCATAAAAGTCTATCGAGATGAAACTCATAAAAGAGAACTGACATGGGCTTCTCAATTGTGCCAACCTACTCCTCAGTCGAGCATGTTCATGTGCATCGGCAAGAAGTCTACTCCAGATTCCAGTTTTCAAAGAGTTTTTGTCTTCTCTGAAATTTGGGTCTATACATCGTGTAACTTCCAAGCACAGGGACTACAACAATACTACTTTGCCATCCTCCTCCTCAGCTCCTCAATTCCTTCTCGTTCGTCGTCGAGAAGTGAACCGGGGGCTATAAAACTCTCATAAAAGATCGCTTCTGTGTGTGCATGTTCTTCTTATGAATTATTCATGATGATCCTTCTTCACGTTTTCCTAACTTGGCTCCTCTGTTTGGCAGCGTTTCATATTCTTCATCGGTAGGAACGAACCAAGCACGAGATGACATGACATGGCAGCCATCCATCCTCCAAAAAAGGATTGGTTGGCTTTTTCCTCGCCTAGAGCTTCAATATATGTATGTATTTCTCATGCAGTTTTCTGCCATCTCCAGCGCCCATGTCATATAGCCAGCAATGATAATGAAGAGATGTGCACCCACCTCGGTCGGATAGAATTGCACAAATACTCAAGAGTCCTCCTGAACAGAGTTTAAGTCAGATATTTGTTTAGACAGCTATCGTATATTGGAAATACGTAGCTTCTAATCTGTGACTACCATGTGTAGGTATGGATCAGTATGTTAGACAACGTTTCTAACTGGACCCAATAATTTATTTTTTAGTATAATGTAGACGGCCTGGCGTGGCAATGTTTATTGCTGAACGAAAAAAATAGTAGAGTCACCTTCCAATGATATGCATCTCAACTCCATTTTGATTCACTTCACCTTTCATCTTACCTGCCAAGACCTAAAAACGGACGGCACATAGCTCAAGAAACACGACGGAGCAGTACTTTCATGCAGTACTCGAGTTTTCTACCAGTTCTCTCCCCTCTTTTTTAAAATTATGGCATTGTTGCGATACTAACGATGTTTTTCATTATGTATTTATCCACGAACAGTAATGAGGCAGGATTTTACATTTTTGGTATATTTATTATGCAAATACGTTGATTATATCAAAACTATCAGTCTCTTTCTACTCGTATGTGTGCACATATAAATATGTACATGTGTACCTCGGAAAAGTAAGTTTTCTATGTATTGACTTTTATAGCTAACTAAACACCAAGCACGCATATCCTTCAGCAGAACTTGGACAACAGACACGCAATGTGGGGTTGAACTACAAGGCTTATTCAAACAACATCAGGAAACTGGAAAGATCAGTTTGTTTTCCTTGATAGTTCATATATTGATTTGTTCGGTTGACGTAATGTCGTGCAGTTATAGCGTAGCGTATGGTACGAAACCAAATTTTAGGGAAAATATGGCCGCATAACAAAACCTATGCAAGGAACTGTATAATGCTTTGGGTTAAAATATACTGTATATTTCTAAATAATTTTCATTTGATGCAAGCCAAAAAATTAAGGACGGATAGTGTACCTGAGTAGCAATATAACATCCAACTAATGCTAACTAGCTGCCTTTTGTACACAGCCGTAGGTTACGAAATGAGTAAAAGGTTGGTTTCGACAGAACGGAAGGATGATGAAGCGAAATTGACAAGTTGGAAAACAAATGAAGATGAACCGACCGAGAGACCGAGAAACAGTGCTCTACCTTTAAACATGCATGCAAAGTACATACAGTACGTGCACACATACACACGTACGTACGTATACGGGCTTCAAATTCGACCAACTTGCCTTATCGACTCGTACATGTCGAGTTATATTTTGATTTGTTTTGCTAATGGATCGAATTACGCCCTTCTGTTCAAGCAAGATGAGTTGAGGTCCATGACTGGCCTAGTCAGCCAGTCTCATCGTTCACACACCGCAGTGCCTGACGCTGTACGTACCTACATGCCTGACACATAATGGTCATGCCAGTCATATGCAATCCCTAGATATAGAAAATATGAGATAAGTCGGATGTTTAATGTTTTCGAAATCAGATGCTGTCACCTAATCTCATGGATGTCATGTCGCGAGTCTTGTCATTTAACATTTTGTTCTTGTGTGTGGTCTAATTCAACTTGCGTGTGCTTTTTTGCTTCTGCACCTCCGTTTTTTTATTTACTTAGATATTTAGTTTTTCAACTTTGGCAAGCTCTCAGATACTTTTGAAAGACTCCAAATTGCTATAATAGCTACAAATTAAAGGTTTTCTTCTCTCTTGCAGATGCACGGATATGACCTGATGCATACGAACGGGGACATGACACAAACGCCAACTGACCTCACCAGTCACCACGACTCCACGGACTCTTACGTAACTTACCTGGAGAGTGACGACAGCCTCAATCAGGACACGTCCAGTCCTTAATTTACCTACACGTACTAATTAATCGATGCTAATTTTACAGTGTGAAGAGTATTGATGCGTTGTTATTGATATACAATGGAGACTTTTATCTCTCTTTTCTCATTTAATTTCTCTCTAAAAATGAAACGAGTCTCATCTCATGCATGTCACAATATGCGGTTTTTGATTTTTGTATTGAATAAAGGAATGACCAACTTTTATAAATCGACAAATTATCTTTAGTTTTCATTCTATCTAAGTCAAGAAAGAGCAAAGACCACCAGAGACAGCAGTTTTATATGGGTTACTTATGTAATTGCACATCTAGTTTTTTCAAAACAATTTTGAACCACCCAACATTACATTTTTCTGTATGAATGTAGTTTACATAAAACATGGATACATAAAACATGGATATACAAATATAAGAAACAGAATATCAAACAAATAACGCTAAAATTTAAGAAACATTGTAATAAATTCCTCTGTACGTAAACTTGTGCATTTCCGGTTATAAATTAAAAATAAAGTACTTAAGTTTACTGTAGCATATTTCGAGCAAGGTGTATATTTATGTAGGGGAGAAAGTGTACATGGGCATATGTAACTAATAATGGTGGTACAGCGTTCCAAAATTTTTCAAAACTTACTTTAGCGTTTCTTGCGTGTTAGGAAATTTTGTGAATATAGTATTAATTATATAGTTATAGTTGCTACATAGTTCTGATAAAAGATACAATTTTCTGTTTTTTACGGTGACCATAAACCATATTTATTTGCTTAATCTGTAGTAGTTGCAGTTACAAATCACTACTAACATCAGTAAAGAAAGTTTATTACAAATGTAAATTCAAGCTGCTTTGTAAGCTTAACCGTACGACACAAAGTCGAATGCATTTACATCAGTCTGTTAAATGTTTGTCATTAATTGAAGCGAATTTCAATTGTCGAAAAGAAATTAAAAAATCAAGAATTGTTGAGAATTAAACAAATAAGCGTGTACGTGTAATTTTTTGCTAGCATTCTGCATACAGCACCTCTCAAAAGGGTCACTTTGACGAAAACCAAGCGACGCTTTCACAAGGGAAAGTAGTTGAAAGGTTTCGTTTGTACACATTCTGCCATCTTCCATCAAGGGAACTGGTCTCTCGAAACAACGGTACGAGAAGGTATCACGGAAGGTTGTGCTGCTGGGGGCATAATAATTTATCGGTTTTATGGTTTCTCGGTTTCTGGGAATAATTTTTACTACAGGTTTATTAACTATGAAATGAGACAAATCAGTTCATGGACATTTAATCTTTAATTTATTTTTCTCTGTCTTTTGACTACTCTACAGAAATAAATACGCTTGTTTTTTAAGTTTCTTAATGTTGGTACATCATATACATTTACACATTCATACCATTACATACAAAGTTTTGTCGCATAAAATAAAAAATACAGCCATTTTAGACTTTTTTTCAAATACGTGTAGGACAATAATTTTTAAATAAAGAAAATATATATAGGGGTGTTGGAAATACAGATTTTTATACGATATTTTTACACGGGATGAGCTCATATTAAGCAAGATGCTCACACGATGATATATTTAATCTCGGGTGTGCAAGCAGCTTGATATTAATAGTGCATTTTAATATAAATACATAATTTCACATAAATACTCATGTTTGACTAGTTATACAAATGTACACACATATTTGGTAATTTCCATAAATACTTGTTCAGAAGCACGAGCATCTGCCCTCCACCAACGACAGTGACTATTCAATTATTACGCAAGTAAGAGTATTTTTCAGGAAATTGAGGACTTGTTGGGTTGCAGCTCCGCAGTTGGTCAATTCCAATTCCTTGAGATTTCGGAGCGCAGTCACGGAGCACAAAGTGGATGGGGCGATACTTGTGCAACCTTTCAAATAAAATTGAGAAATTACGACCTGTGCATAATTATGACCTTTTTTATGAATTTGTACTCAACTCACCAGCCAGTGACAAATATTGCAACTTTTTCATGTGAATCATGTGATGAATGGCTGCATCTCTTATGCTGCACCATCGAAGGGATAATATCTTTAAACTTGGCATAGTGCTGCAAGTAAATTATACATAGATCAAGTTAATCTTGTGCCGTTTTTAAAAATAGATTTTAATAAGTTTTTTTATTTAATACGCCAAGTATCCAATTCCCAAATCAGTGACTAGAGAGCAGCTGAAATTCACGAGTAGAATTTTCAAATGCAAATATTAATACTTCAATTGATTTCTGAAACTGTACCGATCAAGAATAAGCCCTTCAAGACAAGTCAGGTCACATGCGATACACTCCAAACTCGCGTCCGTAATTCTTGGACACCAGCTCAAATCTAGCATAAGGGAAGTAATAAAGATACGTATTATTGTAATGCTTAAATGGTTAATCATGTTCTCTTTGTACCCAGTATAATAATATTATAAAAGTGATCCATGAGACTTTATGTGCTTAAGTAATAACTCTTTACCTAATGACTTTAATTGATGCAAGTTCTCGGCGAGTACCTCCACTCCTTCGTCGGTAATTTTGGAGCAACCAGACAACTGTCAATATAACAAATAAATTAATTTCATTTTCACTGATTACAATTTTTTTAAAATATAAATACTTAAAATTCATTTCTCGTTTTGAATATCGTCGTGCAAGAATCGACTCGCCTTTTGCGATAACGACGATTCGCTCTAAGCATTCTTCAACGACGATATTATGCAATAATTAACTTTCTTTTCTAATTATTATATCTTTTGAACAAGAAAGAATTTAAGGTTATACTTTGATTATAGCATTTACTCACACTCAGTATTTTTAATTGGGGTAGACCAGATACTGAAATTTGAAAAAAGACGCATGATTAGTTTTTCATGGTTAGTTTTTACTAAAGATTCGTGATTATTCAGTACCAATGTGGAGGACGGTTTGATTTGTCAATTCCCAACACGAATTTAATTTCAAAGTAGTAAGCGTCGAGTTGCTTTTTGGGTTGAAGGACGCAAGTGCCGAATCGGTAACATGGTAAGCCTGCAAGTGAGTGTTAAACGTTTAACTTTATCCCGTCATACTTATCATGGAAAAAACGAATATTTTCTAGGTAGACAGTCTAAACTTTCTGAAAGTAGGGAATTTATAAAGTAGATGATCACCATCAATCGATCACAAAGAATCGGTCAAACTTTTTAACGATGAGTACAACGTCGCTCCCAAACCACCAACTTTCTCCAGAACTGTAGTATGATACAATCATTTTGATTGAATTTTGTACAATGGTTATATTTTTCACTGAATACTGAATACTGTTTATCACCTAATTTGATGCCGTAACAGCTTTGAAATATGTCTGATGAGATTTATAGATATGTTTAGATATATAGAGATATGTATTTCTAGATATTATAAATATATTTATAGGAACATTTTCTGCAACTATTAAATCTGTTATATTTATAGTTTTACATATAGTTAGTCCCCTCAGGTGAAAGGACCTCATATGGGTGAATTATTTATAAAATGTATCGGAATTTCTACCTCAGAGGAAGCTGAGTAATTTCACATCGCCACAGGTGGCCTCAAACTAGGTTGCATGAAAATCCTATATTGCAAACACTTTGTGTTCAACATCGTATTTATATATTCGGAAAAGTTTCATACCATGATTTAAAACTTTCACGTACATTTCTTTCTGCGGTGCTACAAGAATGCGAGGATGGGATGGAAAGAAATTGAAACAACATCTCAAGTTGACAAAAGAACATTTTTTGTTAGGGTTTGCGCGTCGTGTTTGCCTGCCAGAGGCAGGATTATGGTGAATATATGGAACGAATGAATGACGCAATTTCTCCTAAAATAGACTTATTTGTGCGATATCCGATTACCTATGCATCCTAATACGCTAGGTGTTTTATACCATTAGGTTGAATCCCTATTCTGTTTTTAACCGGGCAACATATACATGAACCAATATGCACTTGCAATATTAGGAATAAAATATTACTTTTATGGGAAAGTGAAAGTTGATGTGCAGAAATTGTCCGCAAAAACTTTTCGTATAATTTATCATTGCAACTCGCGGAAAGACCAAAGTGAATGCCAATCGTGATGGATAAACTAAACTTTATTTAAACATAAATTTTTAGTAAATGTGTTAGCATTTTTGGATTGACGGAATATGAAAGTGCCAATAAAAAACAAAATTGAACAGAAATTGGACATCGTTTCGTTCTTAGTTTGTGATTTCATATCGAATCGAATATATTTCTTACGCCAACTACGTATATGATGAGTATGATGAGTGTAAGATGATCAAATCATTACCATAAATATCTAGTAGTCGCTATCTGTTAGTCTCGAAATTGTCAGAGTGAATGCTCTTTATCTTTGGTCCCCACATCATATGCCTTTAACTAATCACCTGTCTATAGATAGATACATGTATGTATGTATATGTAGAACTTAAGTACTGGCGATGAGTAAATGGGCAAGGGCGTTGTTAAATATACTGTAACGTTTTATAATAATAAAACTGGAGAATTTACAAACGTCGAGATAATTTGTTAAAGAAAATGAGAAAGAAAAATATTGTTTGTCCTATTACTTATGCTTTCAACAGTTCAGTAAAATCAGAATGCAATGTCTTTACGCCCACAAAGTATACGTACCTATGTACGTATGTTGCGACTTTTGTGTGGGTGGATGAACTAAGATTATGAAAATATTTTAAAATTTATACAAACCTGAACTTCCAGAGACTGTAGTGCAGTAAGACTGCGAGCGACGTAGGCGACGGACGTGTCCGCGATATGAATACAATCATATATAACGAGTCGTAAAAGTTTTTTGGGCAAAGCGACATTGAGTCCATCTTCAGAAATTTCATTGCAGGAAGATAATTCCAGCTCTTGCAAATTTCCAAGATGATCGAGTAAATTGTACAAGCCCTGTAATTTTGTAAATCAAGCAGATTTTTTACTCCAATTTATATCTACCTAAGAATAAGTCAATTGCAAGAATATTATGCCAGGATGACCCACACTGATTTTTTTTAATTAACCATTTAAAGAGGACAAGTAAAAGTCATGATGTCCATAATTCGTGTCACCAGGCGACAGTAGAGTTACCTTAATTCGTGAGGGAGCTTTATTTCTAAGGGATCATTATTCGTAACCAAAAATGCCAGTCAAATATGTTACTCCGTGACAACATTTTCACAAAAAATTTTAATTTCTAGCCCGACCCAAGGCTTATGTACCCGTGTTGCCCATCTGTACGATGATAATTCTTTTTAAAATTATCCGATCGACTTGATATTTTCCACACATATAGACCATCCAAATACACAACTCGAGTTCGAAGACTGGTTCGATCGGTCAAGTGGTTGGCCGGTAGGGGTCATATGGGTGTTGGGGTCAAGGGTAACGAAAATTCAAAATTTGCGTGAAAGTTTATAATGACTTGCAATGGAAGAATATGACGTGGAATTGAATAGATTTTTATCTTGAGGTACCCTATAGGGTAAATGTTAATCCTAAGTTATTTCTCGACTCCATGCTTCAGCTGATTATATCAATTTTAAGAAATCGGTGTGGACCATCCCCTCCCCTAGTGTCCCTCTGCAAATTTTTGTTCATATTTAACTTCCTATTATTTCATGAGAAAGCAGTAAAGATCTCTGGTCCTAATTTCAGCTTTCCATGTTAATCCCTGAAAATTGGTGGGGGTCACCGCATAGGGTCCTTCCAGATTCCAATGTATATTCTTCCATGAAGAGCCATAAGAAAACCAAATGCCAAATTTCAGAACGATATGACGATTTTGAAAAATCAGTATGGGTCACCCAATAAGACCCCTCCAGATGAAAATTTTACCAATTTGAGAAAATATTTTTCTTTTAAGAAGACCCATAAGCAATCTTTCTACCAAATTTCAGTTCTATATTACGACTTTGCAAAATCAGTTGGGGTCCCTCACCATAGGGTTCCTCAAGATTAGTGATGGTAATCCGTAACCGATCCTATCCTAGGATCGTAAAAACTCGGATAGGATCGGATTTTCACACGGATCGGATAGAGGATCCGAGGATCAGACAATCCGATCCGATCCGAACCGATGAAATCCTAGGATCGCACAGGATCCTCGGATCATCCGATGTAAACTCGTTTCACATTTGGTGAGTTCATCACATGGCGTACATTATCCGAATGAGCCGAATTATCCTATTATTTAACACCAGTTATTTTTATTTCGGCCTTTAAATTATTCAATTTCGTATGATTTCAACGCCAAAATGAAAATAACTGGTGTAAAATAATAGAATAATTCGGCTCATTCGGGTAATGTACGATGAACTCACCAAAAACCGTTCCAATAAATAAAGAAAAGCAGCTGGTAAAGTATTTCCATAGTTAGACACAAGGTGTCTCACACATATCATCCGCGGATATTCTACGATCCTAGGATCGGATCGCATCGGATTTCGAGTAGAACCGGGAGCCGATCCGATCCTAAAGCGAGCAAATCCGATCCGATCCGATCCTGTATTTATCCGATCCTATCCTACGGATCGGTTAATTTAGGATACGGATTACCATCCCTACTCAAGATGAAAATTTTTCCAACTTGAACTCATTTTTATCTATTAGGAGCCATTAGCAACCTCTGTGCCAAATTTCAGCTTTCTACGACAATTTCGAAATTTTGGTGCATAATACCCACCCACCCAGATGACCCATACGGGTCAACCAGGGGACCGCTTTTGCCTATCTTCGAACTCGGTTCCTAACTTTGTCCAATATGCATCTGGTAAAAATTTCAAGTCAATCGGCCAACTCGTTCCATAGTTATCTATAGACAGACGGACAGACGGACGGACGAACGGACATGACAATTACAGAAGCCCTGGTTCGGGCTAAATAACAAATGTCGACGTCACGAATTATGGCGAATTTGCCTGAGAACGACAAACGTCTACGTCACGAATTAAGGTAAGGTTTTCTGTGGCAACATATGTCGTCGTCACGAGTTATGGAGCGGATTTTGGCGATGACATATGCCTTTGTCACGAATTATGGACAAGTCGCCAAAGCGACATATGCCACTTTCACAGATTAAATGGTTAAGAAAGATACGGGGACAAAGTATTTGGTTCGTGCTAAGCCAAATATGTACATACGACGATATAAATAAAAATCATGTGTAATACTGCCTTATGTATTTTAACTTCCTCTCATCATACTAAAAATTTGTGATAATTTGTAAGATTTTTAACCTTAAATGAAATGAGACAATTGATTGAATTTGATTTGTCTATACATACCTTGTCACTGAGGCTGGATTTCTGAATCTTTAGTGTTTCAACCAAGGAAGACCCTTGAGAAAAATGAATTATCACATTTTATTAGCAGAAAGATTCACAAGTTATCACATCTTATCTCACCTTGGGAAAAGTGAATGATTACATCCTCGGCATCCTCGTCTGTTGCAGACTCCAATTTCAGACTGGTGAATCTATAAAATATAGAGGCAGCACATTGAGCTGGTTGTCGATAAATTTGTTGGCATTTTAAAATCATCAATTTTATTAGCTGATTGTTTTACAGTCCATGATTGATTAAAAAATCCTCGTAAAATAAAAATATCTTAGCCAACAAACTGAATGATCGGATGGAATTAACTGAACTATGTACGTCCATCTCGATGAGACTAATTTTGAAAAGATCAAGCCCACCTACCACGCATTTCAATTAGAAAATTATCCAACGGGATTTAGTGAAAAAATGTGCTGCTCACACAATTTTATGGCATAATTGCTTTCTCGCTAATAAATCTTTCTCTCATTCGTATATCGAGGCTTCGAGTTTGTGGTGAATTACCTATGTCTGCCTTAAATTCTTTAATTTAGATTCATGTGATAAGCTCATGCCGATACAAATTAAAAACGGAAACTACGAGTTCTGGGCATGTATTGGAGGAGAAAGTTGATTAGTTGTACACGTCGGAGTAGTGGTTACTTATTAAGCAAGGCTTTTCCGTGGATTACCATCGGCCTGAGCACCCAGACAAAAGAAAACTCAACCAACATATGTATGTACCTCTCACTCACTGGAGATTCAGGAAAAATGTGAGACGGGAGCGAAGCAGAAAAGAAAGTACCAGCCCGAATCAATCAAGTCCATCACCGACCGTGTAGATTTACATGCAGAGTCGCGCTATGCCCTTTCATGAGAAAAGAATTCTTGAGAGTCTGCATGCGAATTTCCCATTAGTTTGAAGACGAGAATGTACATGCTTAGGATTAAGCAATGCATATAACAACATTTCTCATGCTAAATATACCAACGTTATGTATGCAATCCAAACAATTTTAACCTTTATGAAGTGTGTCAACACAAAAAAATCAGCTCTCGGTTGGTTGTTTATCATGAAAAAAACGTGTTATGCTATCCATAAAGTGGGGAAAGATGTATTATGTTCACGAGTGTGTAAAAATATAATTACATTCTAAACAACGAGATCTACTCATTCACAGTCGTAAAATTAACAATATACAAAGAAACAGCTTGTAATCATTCATGATTTAGATTGAAAATCCTGTTATTTTATTTCTTCATACGTTTTCTACTCTGACCCTGAGATTAAAGGTCACAGGAGGATCCATAGTATAAAAATAAAGTGGAATATTTTTAGAGTTCTCGAAATTAGACTTGTTCCCCATTTTTTCTCATGAATTTCTTTCCTTTGATTTCGAATTATGACACGACACATCAATGCAGACTCTCCAAGTCAAAAAGAAATAGTAAAAAAGTGTGATGAATTGAGTTTTTTGGCAATATAGTCGTGGGCTGCTCCATTTATACGATCAGTTATTCTGAGAAATATCAAAGACTTTTAAATTAAAACGTATGAAGCGTGCAATGATGTGATGTTATCTCCCAAAAATCATGAAACTTCAACTTATCACCCGTGCTAATATTAGATAATTTAGTGAGATCTGAAATCATCTATCGTTACAACTAAATGCCAGACTTGAGATCACGCTACAATATTCCATAGGACTCGTTGGTTGTTAGTTTGGGGACGTATTAGAAAAATAAATTTGGAAAACAATATGGTTTCTTACCCTCGTTTGACTAGTCCCCCGTAGAATCGTCTCCTTATTCCAGCGTTCAGATCGGTTCGAACTCCTCTCAGTTCTTTGCATTTTAAAACCGGAATCAGTTCTCCCCAGAATACTCGCCCCAGCCCGTAAGCAGTGTCTTGCAAGGGAGAACAAAGTATCTCACATTAATCATGAATCCTGAATTATGTCGAGATTTTTTTGTATACGTAAAATGAAGATGAAATAAATTGAGTAAAATGTACCTCTCCACTTTCGGCAGACCATTGGCAAAACGAGCTTTTCACTCCCAAAGAAATACTTTGTGAAGAATGTTTGCAGAAACTCCTCGTCCGTCCATAGTTGAGAATGGTGGCTAAGCATTTTTTTATGTCGTGGTGTCTTTTTTTGAAGGGTGGAGAATTTTCGTGGTGTTTGGGGTGTAGAGGTCACGGATCCTCCAGAGGTTGTTCCAAGTGGTCCGCCTCCTCCTCCCCCCATGGAAGAAGAACAGGAAGAAGCGTTTGAGGAAGAATGTCCCGTAAGGGTTGTGATGTGCTGTGGGAGGACTGCAATTCCTCCGTGTTTGTTTGTCCCCCCGATGGAATATGTCCCTCCCCCACCAGCAGCTCCGGAACCGTTCTCCGCGGTGGGGGTCTCCTGTTGCGCATGATTGTTATGGTTATGCCCATTTGCTCCTGGGTTGCTCAGCACGGCCGGCTTGGGTGGAACCTCTGGTGGCTTCTTGGCATCTTTTCGTTTAAGGCGCATTATACACTTTGTTATTTCGGCTGACGCCTAAATGTGCATTGTTTTCATGATAATGATATACGTATGAATACTCGTATATACAATTCTTGTTATTATTGTTACCCGATCAATCATCCCCGACGAGGGGAAGATCCTTTTAGTGTTATCTATATTGTACGAGTTTACTTCGGACGAAGCCACGTTGGAAACAAATTGATTAGTGGGATGATGATGAGTGGAGAAGTCGTTTGGATTTTTTTAAAGAATCACTCCATGTATATTGAAATGATTTTTAATTGATGTGTTTGTTTTCCTTCTTCCTGACTTGGCTGTCTAAAAAATGCGAGAGTAGTTTATGACTTTGAATCAAATCTGCATACGTAAATAGCAGTTGATGCAGAATCATATACATCAGCTCAAATCATGCATAAATAAATATAAATCATGCATAACATAAAACATACTGTATTACCATGCTTTTGATTGTTTGTTTTAGTGCACAATTAAGATGAGAGGAAAATCTACCTTATTTAGCTGCACAATCCAGCGCTGTCCACCTTTGATTTCATGTAATTTTGATATGTTATATGTGTTTCATTTAATTTTGCACTTAATACTGCTTCCAAGTCCGGTCAGTTAAAGATAGCTTGAAATTCGTGTTCAATCGTATATTTGATAATTTAAAAATGCTAAATTTGCAATCAGTATTCCTTAAATTTCAGTCGTTTGTTTTGTTAACCTTGTTTCAAAATGAGATCAGGATAAACTTCAGTGCGTAGAAATTATTGAATTGGTTGCGTACATGTGTACTTTGAAGGAAGCGTACGTGAAGCTATAGCGCTTGATTAAGATTATGTTTGTGGTCTCATGCGGTAATTTGTTTGACGTATGTGTTTGTGTAATAAGACTAATTTCAACTATTAGCTTGTAACTAATTTCAGCAATTTAGGTTATCGAGTTATATTGATATCAAGTTACTAATCTCAAGATATATGTAGGGGCAATATGCAGACTCGGGGTTCTATTTACAAATTGCCCGGAATATTGGTCCCAATTTCCGGCATATCTCTCCCCAGTAAATATCAAAATATGATGAAGTAGGTTACTCGTAAAGAGGTTCCATGATGCCAATAATTTTGAAATGAACGATTTTGAGTTTAAGGAATGTGTGTCGCTTTTTGCTTTCCGTTCCAAGTCTTCTCAGGGTGCAGGTGGTGTTGATGATGAGAATTGGAACGACGACGATGGAATTTAATACGCGAAATGCGGTTCGGAGAGTAAACCTCACGGGTTTCTATACAACACTAGTTCTATCAACTGAGAAAACGCTCGACTTGTACAGTTGAAGAGTAGAATTGTAGAGAGAGAGAGAGAGAGATGCGTTTACGAAGCAAGTTTCCCAATGCTCTGGTCGCGTAAAAAGTAGCGGATGGTGTATGAAACAGGAGGATGGAGGTTTTGTCAGAATTCTAACAGGAAACCAGTGAGAAATGCTCCGAACCCGATGGGGACCGAGGGTAGAGTGAGTCATTCATGTAGGCAGGCTGTTCACTCCACACGTACCAGAGCTACAGTCAGGCACGATTGCTTGACATTTAGTATCTAGGTAACTCTTGTGTCTTTTAACGGTTGCGACAAATGGTGGAGTTACAAATAAAATAATTATTTTTTAAATCGTTGGTACACGTCCCATGGTCGTGTGTACCAACGACTTTGACCTTTAATAACTTTTGAATGGGCAGACATAGAGATTTAATTCGTTAAGATGAAATCATCGTAATTTTTAGCTTGATTTTTTAAGATCAAAATCTCGAGGGTACTATTTCGAAAATTAAATTTGAAATCCCAGTGTGCAGCGTTTGTTTAGCCCGAGTTAGGGTCAGTGTCAGCTTCTAAACTTTAGTCAGACGACCTGCACCAACTACTATTCGTAATCGGCAAAAATGTTCCCACAATCCAGCATGCAAAATTTCAGCTCCTTGACCAATTTTAAAACCAGTACGGGTCTCAGTCTTCTGGGCTGGGCCCACAAAAATATTCATATTCGATGAATATGAACATTATTCATATTCGATGAATATGAACATTATTCATATTCTTTAGTCTGATGTGCCCTTACCCATGATACCGAATTTTATTTTTATTCTACCAATATAAAAAGCAGCGTGGGTCACCTTGTTAAATCTCTGTGGAAAAAATCTTAATATTTAGTTCATATTTTTCAATCTGGTCTACCCCCACGGGGTCGTGCCAAATTTCAGTCTTCTACGAGTGTCTAATTTCATCTTTTTAATACAATTTTTGAAAATCGATATGGGTCACCCCCTTAAAGGTCCCTCCACATAAAAATGGTACCAATTTCAATTCATATTCTTTCATCAGGGGCCATTAGCAATCTCTGCACTAATTTCAGCTCGATGGATAATTTTCAAAAATCGGTATGGTATCGGGTCCCTCCAGTCGGAAATTTTCCCAATTTAAATTCATATTCTTCAATTAGACACCATTAGCAATCTCAATGCCAGTTTACAGCTTTCAACGAGGATTTTGAAATACTCCACCCACCCAGATGACCACCACAGGTCAACCACTTAATTGATTTCGCCCATCTTCAAACTTAACTCCTCATTTGTCACATACTACATGTATACCAAATTTAAAGTCGCTAGGCCGAGTTTAACGAAAGTTATCGTAAAATGATCGGACGGACAGACAGACGGACAGACAGACGGACATGACGGTTACAAAATTACATTTCCAAAACTGTAACCAATGGCATATTTTCAACAATTTTTAGTTTTCTAAAATTGAAAATTTATTTTGTAACTCGGCCATTTGTCGTAACCTTATAGATTGATAAAGTGTCAAATAATCTTGACAGTCAGGGTACTTTCCCACACACATACTGCCCAGCATATCCCAGGATCAATAAAGTCTCCTTGGTGATCCGGGCGCTTCCGATCGATACTTTGGAAGATGACATGAACTATGAATAGAAAAACGTGGATGCATAAGGTTTACATACTACTTGCACATCCAGACAGTAATAAGTGCGTCGTTTTCCCATGTAGGTAACCATGCATGCACGAGTTTGGTTTGATTGCATAGATTTCAGGGGGAAGGAAATGCATTCGTTTTATTTCTGCTGTCGATGATGACCGTAATGACTTAAGTTTGCTCATGTCAAATTTGGATGAGGAGAGAAGGGTCAGACAGGAGTGAGTTGTTCGTGCCAATGTCTACGAGTTGAAGTTCTTTGCAATCCGCATCACATTTAACTCTTATGAACTTTTATGCTTAACTGATATTTCATGTTCCAAAATCTAACTCTAATCTAAATTTTTGAAAATAAGTCAGAGTTCAAAGATAAGCTGGCCCCAGACTCTATGATTTACTCATGCCTTGCTTATCACCTCGACAACATTTACACAGCATCCATACTTCCTCTTGCTGTGCTAATTACAATTATATTATATTATATTATATTCACACATAATAGTGAATATAATATATATCAGTACTTGTATTGGGAAACTTTTGGATTTACAATAATAGGAAACACTGGTTTCTATTGAACAGGAAATCATTTGAATGTTGACATATGTACGGCTGCTTGGTATTGGTAAGTCCAAATAGTTTTGAGAAAACTGAAAATTTGAACAGCAGGTTCCAGTTCCAAAATCCTTTTTAGTTGATGTCATCTCTTATTGCGAAATAATTTAATGCAACAAAGCAACAAGTCGGCCCAACTGCCTCAGGGAAAAGCCATTCTCTGAATGCTTTCATGGATATGTGATCATTTGTACGTAACATGTAGACCTCGAGTTTTGGTCAAGTGCAACAGATCCTTCAATTAATAAAATAGTGCGGTTTAATGACAAAATTTTGTCATTTCAGATTATAAAATATGCTGAACAATATACGTAGAACATATTTTCGTACATGTTTTGATATAAAACGAAAGCAACATTCTTAAAAAAGTGTTTAAACAAAAAAGTTTAAATGGCCTGGGTATAGAAAAATAATATGTAAAATTGATTCTGCACACAAGTTATTCAACTTCTCACGACTAATTTGTACTTATTAAACTAATACTTAAAGAAATATTTAACTGGAATTAATAATAATGCCGCTCATTGTTGTAAATACTTCAAACGTATGAATTAATCTGAGGAAAAAATACAAGCATGCCTTGCAACCATGAATTAGAAATGTGCAAATTAATGTACATTTCTACATATACACTCTGGTACTGGCGCATGTATGCTTCTTATTTAATTTCATGCATATGAACTTAACGCTTGTCAATTGTTGGGCATGCGTGCAATAAATTATTCTGGGATATTTCACCATCCTATGATTTTGCAGCTAAATATTACAAAGCAAATAAGTACAAACCCGTGGACACAGGTTCTATGTTCTCCCAGATGACGGACACCAAAATTCTGAATTATTACATTTCATTGAGTGGCATTGAGAGAGCCAGAGAATCCGTAATCGCATTAGTACACAAATCGCATTAAGGTCAAAATCAGCTCAAACCAATAAGTGTAGAAGGTCAGCAGGTATCTGGTAGGTTCACGTGGAGAACATCGCAAGCAGGATACGCAGCATGGGTAGTCTTCGCCATGTCGAAATGTGATGCATTAGATCCTTGGTAAATATTTACAGATGCTCAACAATATGAGCCTGGCGTATTAACTTCGTCCCTCGCTCCTTCTTCAAAGGAATTGAATTTGACTTTGGAGCTTCAAATCATTGGTCTGTAAGAATGGTAGAGGAGATAGTGCGGACTCTAATTTTAACGTTCATGCCATGAAAAAGTGACATTTAAATTTCCAAATACTTTCATCTTCAAAGAGTAAAAGTCCAAATAAATACGAATGAACAACTTTCTTCATGTTTCAACATCAAACTTTCAACGGAAGTGGAGGTGACATATATTACTTCGTGGTTTATATTTAAAAGAAATGACGGATCTCCTTAAGCCCTAACGACCATATTAAACTATGTGCGCATACATACATACATATAGGCATACTGTATTTTCCCAAAGCTTCCGACAACTTTTTTTGTCCGAGCTTAGTTTAATCTGAGAGTCCCTGATTCTGGCTTTACTGATACTTTTTTGAAAAGACTGCTAGTCTTCTCCCATTTCGTCCTTTTGTGCCCAAGAAAAATTAATCAGTATTGAGTGGTGCTTTCACTTTCCTGGAAATTCTGTACGGCCTTGAGTACGGTTTAGCCATTGAAATATATGTACATATGTTGTATGTATGGCATATTATTGCTAGTAAGTAGACGGGATTAATTTCTCTCGTTCGTTTACTGATATTTAGCTTATGTTGCCATTATTAACGTTCGTTATGAATGGTGAACAAAGACTCCACAGTGAGGTTACGTGCATAATGTACTCGTCTACGTATAGTTTTATTTCCGACAACAATTTTTTAATGTTTTTTTAATTAGTATTTACTTATATATTTAGAAAAGATTAATAAATAACAGGAATTGTGAACTTTTCGGATGTACATAAATTGAGCAATATATATAGGAATAAATGAGACTATTGGTACATAATTTAGTCAGTAAATGTAAATATATATATATTTATGTAAAACTAACTAATCCTAAGCTTAAAATGTATAAATAGTGTGGTCAAAATAGTAAATGGATTCTTGTAAATAATTCATCTCAAAGATATAATTTATTTACGCAATGAATTTGTCTTGTAATCTGAAACGCAAAAGTGAAAGGTATCTGTGGAGAAAGTCATCAATATTGGCGTGTGAAAGAGACTTTTTCAATCTGTACGCTCCACATTTCCATCAAAATATTTCCAATTTAGCTGCTCCGAGAAAGTTTCTTCATGTCATTGATTTGAGCCCATAAGTAGTCGACAGCCTTCTTCACTAAGGACAACCAAAGGAAATGACGTGTCTAATTTCAGGAGTCTAGAGTAATGATGTGCATGTACATATGTACGTAAGGGTGCCAAAGGTGAAAAGTGCTAATAAGTAAGATAAACTCTTATGTGGCAACGGGTTCAGAGTGACATGAGCTCTATGTACTATTATACGATCCGAGTGGTGAGAAACATTATGCAGCTTTTAGATACACAGATGTATGTACATATATGTATATGTACAAATATATGTAAGGGAAAAGCTGCTCCACTAGCTCGTGTGTGATTTTAATAAGTACAAATTTCAGTCCTGGGGAGATCATCGTTTTATTTGAAGTTCAAATTTTGAACCATGATTAATATCTCCTACTCATTGAATAACTCTATTTGGCCAGAAAGGGTAAACATACCCATATCGTTTCAACCATATAACCACTCTACATTAGGGTTGGTTACCTAACCTGTGGCCAATCTAAGTAATTAAATTTTTAGCTACGGTTACATTTTCCACTGCTTCGAATGTTACGAATGTATACAATTTGCTAGAGCCAAATTATTCATCAATACGTTATCCTTGTTCATGAGAGAAATGACGTAAATGCGAAATATAGATAACGGGCAGGCGGACTTACCAATAGTCAGGATTTTTAAGCAGCCCAGGGCAGCTTTGTTCTGGAAGAAAGGAAGCTCGTGATTTGGTTCTGATCCGTCGAGATTACTGTCAGCAACAGGTTTCTCTGGGATATAATCCTCTTCTTCATCATCGACGTGAACAGCATCGTTCTCGAAAGGACAACAGCCCACATCTATGTTATTTAACGCAGTATCGTCAACTGTAAAGTAAATGTGTCATCAAAACTTTATAGGTCAACATAATCGATGAAAATCATACATATGCATTTAGCTAGCAGTTAACCTATTCTAAATAGAAATAATAATGTCTAGAATTCACAACCATGTTCAAAGATGCTGACATGACAGTCGACATGGGCATTTTATTTATCAGCGTTTTGTGATTTTTATTTTGTGAACGTTTTTTTATTGAAAAAACATACGGCTGATACGAAAAACATGGTTTCCTCTGGGATGTCAACTCAAAACATAAACGTCTCGGTTAAAAGTACATTTGAGCAAAATTTGCGCCAGCCAGGCACAAAATGACAAGTCGTTTATTGTGAACTTGTTTTGACATTTTGGAAGCTAGTGAATCTGATAAAGCGTGGGCGCAGTTCCTCTCGCCGTACGAACTTTCACCAGCATCTCAGTCAAGATCCCACAAACCGACAAGTGGCTGAGATAGGGTTGGAACATTCTATTCATAGATAAATGAGCAGTGTTCACGAAGCGACTTTCCCATTTTCCTGAGGGTCCACATGCAGTTCAATCGAGCACCAATTCAGCCTAGGGGGTGACTGGAGAAAACAAATAAAACCCTTGAAACGAGATGTGTATTTGAACAAGAAATATACATGTTAGTAAGCCAATAGTCAGTGCATGCAAATAGTAAATAGTATATGCATGCCGAGTGAACTAATGTGCACAGAAGGAGTTCAGTTAAGTAAAGTTATAAATAGTGGCGAGGGGGAAAAGAGACAGAAGAAGAGAGAAGAGTCAGGCCAGATCGTGTAATGTAGTTTTCACTTCATCCAGCGGTTAAGACTTGCAATACTTTGGCATGTATGGATGTTTTCGGTGAAACTAAATAGAGACCCGAATCTTTCTTATCCTGCCTTGGCTCAAAACTTTCACTCCATTTTCAGCACATTTTAAAAATAGATGAACGAACTTTGAGGTAATTGGAGCAACTTTGTTCCATAAGTTGGTTAGGAACTGAAACGCTCCGCTTTTACCAGTGTAACATGATGATCATTATCTTATTTTGGGGGAACTGCGGTTGTGGTGGTTTGAAGCCATGTTAGGAAGGACAAACCAAGATTTCGAATGACGCGTGTATGTATGTAGTACATGCTACTGGTTGCTCGCTTACACAAAATTGGTATGTAATAACTTACACATAAATTGGTCACTTTCCACTTGGGTTTTCAAAGAACAAATAGCGTATCCCCCGGGACATGTTTGCTGTTTCCTTGTCCACCGTCCCCATTCATTTCGTCCGTCCCCTTCCAACCACTGACCATCTGAGCAAAAAAGTCTCATATTACATGTGGCGACGTCATCCATCTTAAATCCATATCCAGATCCCCCCGGTAGAGCTTTGCGAACTCTTAATTGGAATCCAACCGCAACGTGTCCTTTGCGGCACATGAATAGACGACCCCATTTTCCCCACTTTTGTTGCTGGTTCGTGATGTTTACGACCACAATATTAGAGTTTGGGTCAGGTAGAGATGATTGACTTGCACGTACTGTAAAAGTCGTCCTTGCACACAAAAATTTGACCCCATTGAGGGCCGTGTTATCGGCTATCCCACCATTATTATGATTGCCATGAAAGGCGTCAGTTTTTAACTGCATACCCACAACAAACGTCTCATTTGGACACGTAGAAAAATAATCCAGCCAATTTCCCCAGTTAGTTATTCGTGGAGAATGCAAAATTATGGGACGGATTCTGGGAGGCGAACTTTTTCTTTTTCGTATTGATTCCAATGATTTATCGACAACATTATTATTTAAACTTTCACACAAGATACTTGGAGATGATATGAAGAGGATCATTAGTCGGCAGACTATTTCAATTTTCATTAAACTCAAAGAGTTGGTTTGAAACTACAAAAGATATTCTGATCCTTCATTACAAGTATTGTACAAAACTAGCCTGTAGATTAAAGATTTTGGTTGCAAAAATAATTCCTTAGCCGATCGCCAACTTAACAACCCAAGAGCAACTTCCGAATAAATAAATAAGTGTATCTAACAAAGTTTATATTTTCTTGTGATATGCGATGAGATGAAATCCGAAAACTTTGTGCTTCCTCATTTCGAAGGACAATTGCGTACCTTTATTTGATAAGCATGGGACTCCCAGACATAGAAGCATGCAAATGATTCACGGAAGCGAAAACACAATATAACATTTTGTCATTTGTCTGATTGTGTTAATGTCCAATGAGGTAGAAAAATAAAAATAATGCGTTTGTATAATTCAACCTTCTTCAAGATTAATTGAGTATTGCTAATGAGTAGACAATTATAATTGGTTAATTGAGCAGTCAGCAGTACTGTGCACACATACATATACATATGCACACTATAGTACAATAGATGGAAATTGTGAATATAAATTAAAGTAAACCATAATTTTAATGCTGGACGTTTCCATCCAGCATGTATTTTATAATCAGTGCAAATTACGAAATCTTGGTCTATGTAACTACTTCCTGGTTTCATACCATCATTACAATTGATTGTATTCGAATCTATGAGTGACGCAAAAGAGCCTTCGCTTCGAACCACCATGTTATACTTACTAAAAGCTTCAATTCTTTTTCATGAAATTTAGTATGTGACAAATCCTGAAGAGCCGGGGCTCAACTAAAATTCGATGTCAAGAATGGACATCAGATCGAAAGTCAATCTCATACTTATATTTTGCTACTTTTTATCTGGCCCAGAAGATGTGTCAATTAATGGAAATATTAACGATGAGTTATGTTAGCGGAATACATGTAATGTTACTTTATTAATTTACTTTTGTTAATACAACATACATGTCTGTGCAATCAAGTTTATTCTTCAAATTGAACTACTTACTATATGTAATGATAGTATAGATGTACTACACATGAACATGTGGATAAGACCAATTATGACTAACCTAATCTTGTAAGTATTAACTACCACTTTAAATTGCAAATAGGCTGCATAACAATTGCCTTATCTGTAAAAGCTAATAAGTAATAACATCTGTCTGCAAAAAATCAGAAACTATAAATTACTAAATATATATATTTTTTCGAAATTTAAAATATAGTGATTATACGAATATTTTTTCTCATGCATGGATTATGCAGTGTCAAACATACTAGATGCTAGTAATATATCGGAAAAGGAATGCCCAAAGTACGGAAATGTCATTCATCACTACTTTCATCGGCTGACCAATATTTCAACATATTTTTAAAGCGTTCTGGAGCATAACCTTGTACAATGGATTTTAACGTTCCAAACTTGTATGCTGATCGTCCGTATTTATTTTGTAATAAAAATGCAGTTCCTAGAATCACAAGAGATAAAGTTGCCCATCTATGTTGAACGAATAGAAATTTGCTGACTGAAGCAATGACACCATTATTGGTAGAATGTGGCCGATGTTTTGGTCTGTTGTGGTTGTCTTCGTTCCACAATCGGTTTTGCATTGCCTTAATTTCTACACCGCGTTTCAATAGTTTATTTTCTTGTCCTTTATATTTCTTCATTAGTTTTACACTGTCAATGAGCCATGGCTCCAACGAGTCAAGCTCGGAAGGTAATTTAGAAAGACGATGATGCATTGATGCTATGTCGTTTAGAGAATCGTCTTCCATTATAGATTTTGAGCTCCGTAAGACTAACATACTGGAGACAAATATCGGAATCAGATACGGTTGACTCAGTTGATCCTGTGACCCAAGGATGAAATCATACAATCCTGAAAATTCAAAATTTCAAGTGAACCAAATTGTATATGAACTTTGTGAATTTATATTAAGAGTAACTATGTATTAATAAACATAATATATCGACTTTGGAATACTTACGAAATACGTCCGTATCACTTGGAAGAGTGTGGGAAAACCATGTAAGAACCCATGGTAGACAAAACGCAGGAGGCAAATGACAACCTTTTTTTGAATCAGAGTAAGAGTGAATCAGGAACGTAATTATTTAATTACGAAGTAATACGTATAATACGTTTCACTTTATGCAACTATTTTCAATGAGGCCACTTACCAACCACGATTTTTTCAAACAAAGTTCTATCTTCAGCTTCAATAACGGCAAACAGAACATGAATAATGTCATGAGTTTTATCCATCGTCTTTTCCATGTAGGGACTCAGATTAGACTCAATCATCTTGTTTAGACAGAGGTAAGCCAGGAAAGGAACGTTTTGAGAAATGGAAACCAAAAGGAATGTCAGTGAAATATCATGGAAGCCTTGATAGTAGTAGGCCCTGCGTTTCTCTGATCGGCTTCCTGGGGAAAAAAAACTTATGAATTAGACATAACGGAACGCATTAGATAATATTATAATTGAATAGGACCTTGAAGAACGGAACAAATTAAATTGCTCAGATATAGTTGAAGATGATCTTGCTGTGGGTCTGTTAACCCAGGGGGAAATCGTTTCAAGACACGAGCCACGTCCAGGTTCACCTGTTTATTGCATGCATATATAAGTTAGTATACGCATGTATGGTAAGGGACCTGAAATCACTTTAAGTAATTTACTTACAAGATTGTTGATTTTCTGAGGCACATCAGGGTAAAATGTTGGAATTTTCTTGTACTCATTCTTGCTAATATCAGTAGATGAGACCTTTAATAATATGGGCCACGCTTTTGTTCTTAATGCATCTGCGATTCAATCAATTGTAATCAAATAAAATAGATGCATATACAATTTTATTTTTGTTATAAGTACTTGATAATAATCCAGCACGTGAAGTCGCCAATTGACCAAGTTTCTCTATGTCTCCTAATGTTAGGGCCTGCTCAATTTTCGTCATTTTCACACGGTCGAAATCTTCTGCTTCTGCAATGGTGTTGCAAATTCTGGAGATATCCTCCCTGACCTCCATGGCATTTTCAGACGATGGGGATGAGGACATTTCCCGAGCAGCCATATTATCGGCTGACCCCATGCCGTCGTCGTACAAATCACTGCTCGAACTCTGCAAACTCTCCGCTCCTTCTAATGTCGCAGAATTTGAATTGGTCGTGGTTGCATTACTGTCACGGCGAATTTCGGGTCGGGTTAGGAAAAATTCTGGTTTTAAATCTCCTGACCCGGCTGGAGTCAAGTATAAGCTGGACGAATTATTGATGTCGTCTTTAGCAGTGTGATACATTGTCGACGAGGAAGCAACACTGGCGAATGAACCGTCCCTTGAAATCAAATTGGTGACAGGTTTCTGCTGGATTGTTAAATCGGGTTCACTACCCATTGTTCAAATTGTATCGCTTAATATAAATAACAATAGCACATACTAATAAATTATTATGAATTACTGATGAATGAATTCAATTAGCTGACTGACAGTACTTGATAATAGGAACCAAGAGAGACTAAGCAGCTGATGATGACTTTGTGTGAGTGTGAATCATCACAATAATCGTCAGCTCACTATAAGAAGCTTAATTCGTTAAATAAATAGTACAACATCAGGCTTAATAAGTAATCTCCTAAACAATCACGTGTCTTCGGAGCTATGTGTAATAATTAAGTTCAAAGTTATAAATTATTATATTTACCGCAATGATGAGACGACTCTATACTCTCGAGAAAAGGTCAAAGACTGGCCCGGGGTGTCCGAAGTGAAATCAAATTCTGCCAGCGACACTTCGTGCTTCGTGCATAGTTTTTTTTTATTTTCCAAATACCAAACAAGAAAATTTGTATAAATAAATTTGAAGTTTGAAGTTATTGACTAATAATAATACATGAATACTCTACCAACCACGGTATCTGTTAGAAAGTTGATACAAACGACTTATTTACAATTTGTAAATTACAAACCAAAAGATATGGAAAATTAACTCGCATCTGTGTAAATTGTGTCTAAATTAGACAGTCTAATACTTATTTTTAAAAAACTATGAATAGTGTGTAGTGATAATATAGTTCACGACACATGAATATTAATATTTAACCGTGCCTGGGAGAGTGAATTTCTTAAAAATGATGTTTAGGGCTCATTTTTGGAGAGAATGGAAAACGGATCGGTAATTTTGTGGGGACTGGGTTTCTCCACAGAATTACCGATCCGTTTTCCATTCTGTCCAAAAATGAGGCCTAAACATCATTTTTAAGAAATTATTTTTGTGCCTGGCTCCCAGGCAGCCTTAACTGATGGCCATATATTGCTAACCTACGTTAGCCCGTCGTGACCTGAAAGCATCAAGTACCCTGTCCATACACCATAGACTAATTAAGACCTGCATTTTAAAGTTTCAACAATCAAAATGCCCCGTAAAGGACCTGGATTGAAGGTGATTGTGGACACGTCTGCCCCTCCGGCCCCCCTCGTGCCACGAAACTTGGACACCTCAACCACAATCACCATCGATCATGATACGTTCGTTGTTGCAGCGGATGACCTGGAAGTCATATCCGAACTTGGGCGAGGTGCGTATGGCGTGGTAGAGAAAATGAAACACAAAACGACAGGGACCATGATGGCTGTGAAGAGGATACCAGTTACTGCAAATAGCATTGAACAGAAAAGAGTGCTAATGGATCTCGATATTTCCATGCGATCATCGAATTGCAGTTTTACAGTACAATTTTACGGAGCTTTGTTCATGGAGGGGGACGTGTGGATTTGTAAGGAAATTGAATGAAGTTGATGATTGAAAATGGTGTTTATAATGACTTTGTGTTTCCAATAGGCATGGAAGTCATGGACCTGTCCCTAGACAAGTTTTATCCACTGGTTTTCAGCAAGGGGAGTACAAAAATGCCGGAGAATATCATCGCCAAGATTGCATATTCAGTAATAATAATTTAGATTTTGCAAATTATGCCGCTGCCCATGCATATGTGTATAAACTACTTTATTTGTATCCATTCCAGGTTGTTAAAGCATTACACTACCTCCATTCTGAACTTCATGTAATCCATCGAGATTGTGTAAGTATATAACTGATTGTTTGATATAAGCTTTTGTTATTTCCCCTTGAATAATGTTATTTCTAAAGTCGGGCTTGACCACGTTTCATGTTGCCATATTTATTTTTACAGAAACCATCTAACATCCTGGTGTCGCGACAAGGTCAGATTAAGATGTGTGACTTTGGAATCTCGGGATATTTGGAAAACTCTGTTGCAAAAACAATTGATGCTGGGTGTAAACCTTACATGGCACCTGAAAGAATTGATCCTTCTGGGGATCCTTCCAAATATGATATCCGATCAGACGTTTGGTCCTTGGGTATTTCGCTAGTGGAATTGTCTACAGGGAAGTTTCCGTACTCCTTGTGGGGGACACCGTTTGATCAACTCAAACAAGTAGTTGTAGAAGCTGCTCCTAGACTACCCACAGATGCTGGATTTTCCTTTGAAATTCAAGACTTTATAACTCAGTGCCTTCAAAAAGACTATACTCAAAGGCCGTCCTACAATGCCTTATTAGATCATCCTTTCATTGCTCTGTTGGAGAAGACTAGTCTTACAAATGGATCCTGTCCTTGGCCAGATGTTGCAGAATTTGTAGCTCAGATTTTGGACTAAGTAAAGTCATCCGATTATATGTAACATGTAACATTCAACTGATTCAACATGTGTATATTATGTGTCCATGTAATGCCAAAAATCAAACAAGCTAGCCCACCTAGAAATTAATAGTGACGAAACAAGAACTTACATTTTTTATTGTTATTTTGTGATTGTTTTAAGTATGTACATATCGTCGTCAAAAATTGAAATTGAAATATTTTATATTGAACATCACAATAACACAGGAACTACTAGTAAAATAAATTTATTAATTCTGTACAATACAAATGCAACACGAACAAAAGAGTTTCCAAAAAAATCTTTTTCCCAACCAGTTACTTTTTAATTCAAAACGGATACAGTAATTCTATACTCAAATTGTAAATTACAATTTGTAATTTAGAATAGGTAATAAATGTTGAGTTTAATTATAACTGACAAACAAATCGTGCAATACTATGTACACGTAAGGCTTTAAATCAATCAATAATAAATCGATCGTTATATTACAAAACATATGGCATTGTCTAGTCTTGAGTTTTAAATATTGCATGCAATTTGTGCAGTTTGCAATTTGTTTTAACCATTAATGAACGCCAAATGATCTGCCTTTATTCACGAGTATTAGCAAATATCAACGAGATGGATGTATTATAAACCGGAAAATATGCAATAAATGGGCAAATTAGGCCGGTATTATACGCCATAAAAAGAATGAAAAAGACGCTGGTTTTTTAGCATGTAAAATCCATTCAAAGACAAAAAAAACCCTACAGTGCAGACTCCATATAGCCCGAGTCAGGGACATAGTCCCTGACTCAATAAGGCAGAGTCCGCTTCTAAATTTTTGTCCGAATTGACCGACATAAAGCTGTATATAATCCAGAAGTGGTTTTTAGCCTCCATACCAAATTTCAGATGAACATAACAACTTTTGAAAACGGTATGGGTCCCCCAGTGTCATTTTGGTTGCACTTTGCAAACTTTTAGCTTCATATTATTTCATGAGAAGCCATTAAGTATCACCGTATTGAATTTCATCTTTTTAAACCACTTGCTAAAAATCGGTATGGGTCACCCCATAGAGTCACTCCAGATAAAAATTTTACCAATTTCTTTTCATATTCTTCCATTAGGACCCATAAGCAACATCTCTACCAAATTGCAGCTCGATATGATGATTTTGAAAAATCGGTATGGGTCACCCCATAGGGTCACTCCAGATAAAATTTTTTCCAATCTGAAGTCATATTCTTGCATTAGGTGCCATTAGCAACCACTGTACCAAATTTGAACTTTCTAGGACAATTTTGAAATTTTGATGCATACTACCCCACCCACTCCGATGACCCCCACCGGTCAACCACTGGACCGATTTCGCCCATCTTCGAACTCGTTTCCTAACTTTGTCCAATATGCATATGGTACAAATTTCAAGTCAATCGGTTCAGCCGTTTTGGCTCTATCGTGCCGGACAGACAGACAGACAGACGGACGGACGGACATGACGGTTCCATAAGCCCTGACTTGGGCTAAAAAGGAGTACGAGTAGAAAGAGCGGCAAGTCACTCGTCTCAAAATCATGCAACACGTGCGTTTGTGTTTTGCTGAGAGTGAAATTTATTAATTGTTGGACTAATTTATCTTCAAAAAATATTAAAATTGTGCTGAAGGAAGGATGGGGAGCGACACTGATAGTGATAGTGAGGCCCCAGAGGTAGTTTCTACCCACAAAGCAAAGACGGAGAGGGAACAAGAAATTATGGGCATGTTTCTTCAAAAACGTAAGATTCGCGATGAACAAAAATTGAAGCGCAAGGCCAAAGCAGAAAAATTTGCGGCTCAGAAAAAGGTAGGAAACAAGGCTTGTTAAAGCTTTTCAAACATTGTGCCTATAATAGGAAAAAAGTGTCCTTGAGGTTTCTGAGCAGAAACTGTAAAATCATTATTTACTGAAATGAGTCCACTGATTTCAGAAGAAGTTACGCCAACAGAAGCTGGATGAGGAGCATGATGACCCCAGTCATATCCCTGGAGTCAACTTGGATTCGAATAAAGAAATTTTGGTGGAAAATGCTGTAGACACCAATTTTCCCGACGACATCGATGATGCCCTTTCCAGCTCCAAAAAGAAAATCTCGAGAAAGTTTTATCCAAAGTATAATGTCTCCGTTGACTCACTAACCAAAATATCTAATCCTCGAGCCACAACTGCCTTGAATTTTAAAGAGAAAAGACTTGCCCGAGCACATAGGGAACAGGTTACGGTTGCCGTTTCATCATACAAAGAAAAAATGCTTGTTAAGAATAAATAAATATCTAGAATAGTTATACATAAATTGACTTTTGAATTATACGAGAAATGTGTGAAAATGTGTAGTATAGCCTCATTAATATTTATTTTGGATAAAAATGGTTGAACACGTACAGTAAATGACTAAATGACTTAACGTATGTATTGTGTATAGTGGGAAGAATCCATGCAGGTTATCAAAAACAATCAGTTGCATAAAACTACTGTTCATGGCATCCAAGTGCAGCGTTCGCTGAGCCAAATTTCTCTAAAAGGTAGCTACTATGTAAGTCCTTATCTCAGCAAAGAACTTTGAATTCTGACACCGAAATATTCTGTAAGGGAATAACATAATAAAAATTAAGAAATTACACCTGATTGATAACCATTTAGAATTTTCAGGGTCGTACTTTTTTCACATGCACACTATATGAGCGTTGTTAAAAATGCCTTGCCTTAAGTGACAGCAATTATTGCATGTTTTCATTACTTTATTTAATTTATGGTTGGTGGTACAAATTATGTACAAATTCAAATATAAAACATATAAAAATAAATTTGTTGACATGATGAATAATTAGCAAGTTTTTTACGTGGAAGGTGAAGATCCCAATAGGTTAGATATGTTCGTTAAAATATTGATAAGATTGGAAAGATCTTGTTTCTTGGTAAGAAGATCATTCGAAGATTGCTCGAGTTTTCTAAGTCGCGTAATAGTTTTCTGAACAGCTATTGGACATAAAGATTTCTTAGCTGATAATTTGCCCTTTTCTGAATTTGCTATCAAAGCCCACACTGCAACTGCTGCACATTCCATTTCTTTTGGATGGTCACTCTCACTTAGTTTTGAAGACAAACATGGCATAACAGCATCTGAAATAATATATTATCGTTTGTTTCCCACCAGCTTAATATTAATTATGATTAATGTAAGTTACCTTCACACAGTAGTCGAGTTCTATTCATGGCCTGGAAGCTCAAATTTCGTAGTACTTGCAACGCAAGTACGGACGTCATGTCGTCTCCTTGATCAACAAGAAGCACAAATATGTCGATTGCTTCAGGTACCTATTACATAATCTTGATCAAATATCTGTATAAATTATATAATAATTAGTTTATGAATACGTTTACCTTCGCAATAGCCGTTTGCATATCTGGATGAATTGATAAATGTAAAAGAAATTCCAAGTACAATAGTTTTACTCGATGCTGTTTCGGACTCCATTTTTTAATTTCGCTGGTATGCAGGTTAATTAAAAATAAAATTATGGTGCTCTGTAAAAAAGGAATAATATAGATAAATAAATATAGTTTTAAATGTTTATAAAAATAATTAAAGTAGCACAACTAGAACTACCTTAGTCAACATGGTTCGACATTCCATTACGAAACTTGCATTTTTAAGGAACTCAAACAAAAGTTCAACAGTTTTAAGATTGCATGATTCTGCTAAATTCAATTCCGCTTGTAAAATTTCTGTACCAAAATTTGTAAGTATGTACTAATATAATATTATGCATTGCATTAAACCAGTAGTAAAACAGTAAATTAAAAGTCATACCAAAAATTTCGGATAAAATGGATTGACCAGATGGAGCCTTCCTAGGGCCAACCCCCAAGACGTTGGTCGTAAATGTTAAAGCTTGGCATCCTGAAATGAAATCCATGTACCAGGTAATTATTATTAAATTGTATTATATATGTATGATTTAAGAAAATAATTTTACTGATCTGTTAACCTGGTGGAAATTCTTCTGTAAAATTCAATAATGTTTCTACAAATCCATGTAACAACGTTCTATCAGGGTATGCCTTCCACCACTTAAAGATCTTATGGAACGTATCAACCACTTCATTTGACAATGCAGATTTTTTTCCATCTGGATTTTTGTATACGAGTGAAGATATTACTGACAAAATTGTCGCTGTTTCATCTAGCCACTGATAATTTCCCTGAAACTAAAAGACGATTACAGTTCCAGATTATAAATAAATTCAATTTTAAACGAAATAAAAAAATATGTAAGTCAATTAATGTTTGCTCACTTTCTTCATTTGATGAAAAGTTTCCGAGACATTGTGATATTTATGTGCAAAATATTTTAACTTTAATATAAGTATGTTGACTACGCCGCGTTGAGTTGCAGTGATTTTGGCTGACTCAGAGATATTTATCAGGGCATTAAATGTCCGTAGAATGATCAATTTTTCTTCATGGGTGCTGGATTCTTCATAAATTGATACAAGGCGATCCACAAGTGAACTTCCATATGTCATGTTTTTTTCATTCCACACACGACATAAAATTGGATGACCACCGGCTTGAAAATTATCCGCCTCCTTTTCTTCTTGCTTGAATTGAAGTTTGCTAAGGATCTCATGTAAAAATGTCAATGCCATTTTTCGGCATACTGCCAATGCGTCAGACTTTAGCCACTCGGTTAATCTAACAAAAATAATATTTCTTTGGTTCGAAATACATCTTTCAAAGTCCTCAAAATTGTTTCCAGAATCGGTGCACAATATGGTCAAGAGTGTAAATACATTGACCCAGAGAGTAGAAAGTGTCTCGTCGGCAAGATTAAGTTTACATCCTGTTTGTATATTATACAAAATTAAACTATTACATTAGACCCTTTAAGAGCGAGTGGTAATTTTTAAGTTTAATTATACCTGATGGAGGTTGAAGGGCTAACAATTGAATTAAGGAAATCATACTGTGTTTATCGCCAATCAAGATCAATGAAATTCCACGGTCAATTTCGCAGAGAGATATTAGGGACTCCAGCACAGATGAAAGAGCCGAGCATGAGTCAATCCACCATGATGCTTCAAGAATCTGTGACATTGAATTCGTACCTACGAGACTGAAACAATATATAAGGTTAGCAATAAAATATTTCGTCATTTACCAAAATTTGTTAATTTTGTTTCTGAACTTTATCGAACTCACCGAAACAACATGGCACACAAACCACTGGAGCAAATTATTCCTGAAAACGGTTCCGGATGAAACGGAGGAAGTAATGAAGTCTTCATCTTGATTACAATTTTGCACAGCACTGTCAGGACTTTGGGTGTAATCAGTTGAGGGTTGGAGTTGTCTACACATTAAATATTATTGGTAATGCATTATGTATAGTTAAAGTAACAATTTGCATAAAACGAAGAGCAATTTCCCACCCTTGTATATACCTTCGTCCGTCATTGTACTGTCTTCCACGGCCTTGTTGCCAAACACTTCCGAAAGGGTTGGCAACCAGTACACATGAGACAGCAATTTCGTAAATTCGTCCAATACTGACCAGGTTGTTGGTAGCTGTAACGACTTTCCAATTTCTGTCGATCTTTCAATATCGTCCCAGAGGAGGAGTAGGTTATACAGGGTATGTGCTGCATGGAGCTTGACAATGGCTGGTTCTTCGAAATTAATCAACGCACTGTATTCGCAAAGAAATATTTAGTCTCGTATCACGTCACAAACATGCTACTTAGATTTGCTTACTTGTAGCAACTTGTCCAAATTCTATCCGGAGATTCCGATACAGTCATCAAAGCAACTATTCCTTGAATCCGCCTACTGATCACCTCAGATATCTGTGCATAACAGTTAGCGGATTAGTTTAGTTTAATTAATCTCACATTTAAAATACTCATTTACTTGGAAAATGTATAACGATTTATTTATTTATTGCGATTGCTTATATATTTATTTACCTGATATCCCAAAGTTCTAACTTTAGAAGTCCGGCTATCCCATAAACATGGAATCACAGCACAACAAGGACCAATCCAATCAGAGTTTGGAGGAGCTTCAATCTCAAAGCTGATTAGCAAAACATGATAAAGTGACAGACTGGAGTAATAAAGAGCTCCTTGGTTCCGGAAACTTTCACTCGATAAGCCGCTACTTTGTTCTTGCAGGAAAATTATGAACTCAGTAAGTCGTAGAATCAAAGCAACGCAAAATTTGGGATTTTGAGCAAGTTGAGCTGTTACGTCATTTACACAAGACAATGATGCGATTCCTCTCAAAATCGGCTGAAGTACAACTGCACATACATAATTATAGACAGCTATATCAGTAAATTAATCAGCAACAAATATCAACCAGCAGAAAACCGTAAAACAATACTTACCGGAAAACGAAAATCCCAGGTCTCCAAGTTTATGAAGGATTAGACATAGCGTGTGAAATATATTCCATTTATATTCCGCATATGAGGGATTCGGCTCCGTCTTTTTTAAAATCACAAACAGAAAATCAAAAAGAGACCTTAAAGTATCTGGTAACACGGTTCCAGCAAAAACATCGGTGATATCACTTTTCAAACAATAAGTCCTCAATAGCTTCTGAAATGCACTCCCATTTTCCATGCACAGTGGAACAATCCATTCTTCCAACTTTTCTCTTCCAGTACTTAAATTTGCAAATAGGTATGCAATTAAATTAATGACTCTAATAAGGAGATCCTCGTCTTCAACACATGTTGGTTCCACACATAGAAAACGATAAAACGAGTCTCGAAAGGGAACTTCTTGGCAAATGTAATCCATCGCACCGTTTTTCCATCTTTGGTTAACAGCCAATGGAAGAATATATCCCCATAGATTGTCAATTGCTAGGATGACGGTTTGATGTCCGGTGGCATTTTGAATAGCAATAAGTAATTTTGAAATTGCTTCTTGGGGTTGAAAGTAGAATTGTTTTTGATTTGGTTCAAGTTGGAAAGAATCTTCAAATCCTCTTGTATTTGGTACATCTGGATCAGACGAAAGACTGTCCACCAATGGGGACGAGTATTGGACAAAATACTTATGAACTTCTGGCCATCCGTTTGAAAGTAGAGGACATCGGCTCAGCTTTCTGACACATTGTCGAATATCATACGCCAATATAAAAACCTCATCGTTGACTTGAATAGTTTTCATAATGGATGCAAAGCACATTGCCAACACTGTGCTATTGATGTCTTGTCCATGTTTTTCGTAACAATAAGCCAAGTCTAGGAGAACTTCTTGTAAACCCAGTGAGAGCATTTTGTAATCGATGGGGAACGTATACGCGTATTTACATACTGTTAATGCAAAACTGTCCAGTAACATCCAAAGGTGAAATTCATTGGCATGAAATAACAAAGTCCTAGATAGTCCCTTCAAAAGTTGACAACAAGTTCCCACAAATGAATCACTGATGGGTTGAGCAGAAATTCGATGTTGAGAAGTATATGCTGATGAGGCACCACCATATTGATTGGGGATAAAGGCCTATAAAATTATGTATGACTAATAACATTATAACTATTTTCGTATATTTATTCTCTTTTTACCTGGCGTTTTGTCTCGTAAAATTCACTTGCATTTAATTGCATTACTCGAACTCGTAAAGAATGTGATAACTGCAGTAATCCTTGAGAGGCAGCTGTTGCGATTCTAGGATCATTCCAAGGAGATTCAGCCACTTCCAGTAATGCCTCAAAAGTTTAGAACGAATATTTTTCTTTATATATGTACATAATCAAATCAGATCTGATCAATTAATAATAATTAAGCTTAAAGACATACCATACATAATGCAGACTCTTGAATGAAAACTTCTGGTGGATAATCTTGTAAAAGGACATCACGGAAAAAACTAGCGGTTGACAAAATAAGCGGCTCATTTTTTGAGAGTAAAGATTCCACCGTAGACGCTAACACTCGTCTATCAGTTCCAGCAAGATAAACTGAAGAGATTGTAAAATGAAATCCGGATGCCAAACTCTTGTTGTTGAGAATACTTTGTAAGGATTGATTAGGAAAATAACTATCTCCAGCAGCAGAATGATCAGACATATTTTTATCCAAGCTCTTGTGGTCTAATCTTCGAATTAAAATAATGTCCCCGACCCCACCTCCAATACGATTATCATCAAACTTATCTTCGTACGAGTAGGATTTCTCGGTTGATGTATTCTTTTTCAATGACCGGTTCGAGGTATTATCACCCCAAATTTCAGGTGAACCCTCCAATAAGAATTCAAAACTGGATGTGTTAATTCGACTGAAAAGTGTATCCACAAGGCGTATGTTTTCCCCATCCAAGCGTGGTTTTAATTTTGCTAAAACACTATCCAACTTTTCTTCCAAAACGAATTGTCGAACATTTTCGTACTATAAAAATAATAAACCTTAAAATTTTAAAATTATTAAATGAGTAATCTCATAACTAACTGATAATACCTCAACAAGGTAGAACAACAGCTTCAAAACATACGAAATTCCTTCCACAGCAACTGCTGTGTTTACCGACCAACAACGTCTTCCTCTTGAATCAGAACTGGGCGATTTATCCTCAGTGGCCTCGCTAGTTGCTCGCAGCCAATCTGATAATCGATGTAAAAGGTCAATCCGTCGACTCAGATAGTCCGTCGTGACAATAGAACATTCAACCTTCCCAATGATGCATTTCAATGCTCGAAGTCGTACGTCCCAAAGCTCATGATCTGAAACAATTTATATACGTACATTTACATATATAGAAGAGTCAGCTCATGCACGAAGGTCCCAAAACAACAGTACGGGTGCGAACTTTCACACGCCATTTCTTTGTACATTTGTTATTGGTCACAAACAACATAAATAGAAAATAAAATGATAGTAGAACATGGACATGAAAGTACCAATACAAATCTGTACTAATTGTAAGACATTTTCAGGTTCTGGGTCACATAGACTATGAATGAGTAAAAAATATTATTACGACTATTACGAGCTTTTAACAATAATCAATAATGCAGACACAGGAAGAGATAGCTATGACAGGTAAGACTTATAACTTTCATACTATTATGTACATAGATACAGGCAAATATTTACCCAAAAAAGATTGGTGCACTTACCCAAATTAGCGATCAGTTCATTCATACCCTGAAATGGGTTTGATAGCTGAGAACCTGCTGGATGACAGGCATTTCTGTGATTACTCGAATCGTTCGGAGAATGGTGCAGGTTAGCGGATGTGTCGTCCATCAGAAAAGTGACGTGAATTAATAACGCACAATTTGGAAATCAGAGCGTAATTATTTTTTCTAGATTATATGGAGACAATCTAGCCTAATCCACAGAGACGTTGTTAATACCACCCCAACATCACGCAATTGAATCAACCTGAAAAATAAAAGAAGTTTATACTTTGTACTAATCGTACTATCTCATCAGTTAGCTCAAAAGATACACACTTTCTTTATCCAAATTTTCAGCTACGAAGTTGTTGCAGTAAGCGATAATAATAATGTCTATATACAGTATGATTGAGAAGAATCGATCAAACAAGCAAATTCTGAATTCACTAATGATTAGATCAATTTGGAAGCACTAAATTGTGTTGTCCAAAAGTCTAAAGCGCTTCGTTTTATACACTACCATGTATTGATCAAACAAGAAATCTATTGCATGTCAGAATACGCATCAAACTCTTAGAAAATCAATGGATTTAATGATAGCATACATCACGCCTAAACACTTGCACTGAATATTCTCCACATGCAACGTATCAACTTTTATGTCGCACTTATAGTACAGACCTTACATCAATCAAATAAAAAAACAACACACACCAAGCAAAGGGGACTAACCTGCTGCTGAGAGTACTACATATCATTTCACATTTACCAATCACTTTACCCATGCAAAAGATACACACAATTGTCAGTCACATTCCCATTAGATAAGGGATTTCGAATTTTCATTGAAAAAACAATGAATCATGCTAACTAAACTCGAAAAATACCTCTATTTTAAGATAATTCAAAAATTGCTAGCTAATAATTCTCTTTAATTAAACCTTTTGAAATTTTCTACCCCGAACATACTAAAAGTTTCCTTAATTAAACCAAGTAATAGAATTTTGCAACCAAGACGTATTTTTTTAATTTTCCAGTCTTGTAGATCTTGTTGAGATTTTACTTTTTGATGTTGTTGCATGGATCGGGTCAACGGTTCTGTTTACTTTATTTCAAACATACCGTGGCGCATGTTATCGTGGGGTGTTGCGAGATTCCTGCATTTCTTTGTTCCTCCAGCACAGCACATCCCTTCAGCTTCTGCTACACACTCAACGTGGATAGAACCCGCACAAAAACCATTTTTATAACTCAGTACATTCTCCAGATATATGTATGATGTATGCGAATTAGGCCACGGTAAGTTGCAAAATCATGTAAGTTCTGGAGTTGATTAAAAAGAACAAAAGAAATCCATCGTGTTTACCGATGTGAGCAATAAGACTAATATAATTCGCGACATCAACGTATAAACATGAAACATGTTGTAGAATGAACGCCATGTATGGATGTTCTGTGCCATGTGATTGCTGCGAATAATAAGGTTTTGGGTGTGCAATATACAAATCTGTCTCGAGCCTTTACACTGTACTTACTCTGTGCAAGTTACTCACCTTTTCGGAGCTTTTGCGAACTCAAATTATATTCTCAGGAAATACGCGCAAGAAGCAAGAGACATACACAACAATATAATAAGATTATTTATTTGTGATCTCTGTACACTGTATACTTTCCCTGACATAGGCTGATCTTGAGTGAAAAACTGCATGACGACTAATCACGAGACGAAAGAGATCTCAACTTCATAATGACAACTACTGCTCAGTAACTCGAGAAAGTTTAATTGGAGTCATAGAGGAGGGTTTTGAAATCTGTATCCTCGTTATGTTTTCGCAAAATTCTGTGTGATGCAGGGATTGGAGCGTTGCAAATTAGAGAGCAAGGAATCGACACGCCGTTGTTGTTGGGACGCGTTAAATATCAAGTGGAAGAGGAGTCTGCACTCCAGATAAGCTCTCTGCACTCGTGTGACAAACTCGGTTGATTTGTACCAAAGAGTTACGACATTGGCAATTCATTCATCCTTTTGCATAGCGCAAAGAGCCAACCGCAATTAAGCGAGTCATAGGATTATATTGCATTTACAGCACTTTTGACCCTGTGGAGAAAGTCCTTGAGCACATAACTCTGGTTAGTGCAGCACCTCTTTCTTATTTCTATTGGTTTTGTTATTGTATTTAAAGTTTAAATTTTAAACTTTTGTAATGTGGGTGTGGGTGTCCTTTTTTGTGTGCCTGTACAGATTTTATTTTATTAATATTATGGATAAATTTGATAAAAAAAAACACTAATTAAACGCGATCTCATACCTTGTTTTGCTGTTGTATGCCGTTTATAATTAAGTACTAGCGAGCATAGCTTTTACGTAATTGTATTATGATATTTTTTGTTAATTTACAGGTATCTGGGAAGTGCATTTCAATTTCTGTGGAATGTGCAATATTAAGAATTGATACGACGTTAGTTGATTTTCAGATGCGCGTTGTGCCAAAATAATCAAAATACTTTTGTAGTAATCCACATCCAAAAGGATTAAGATTCCCTTTAGAGATTTAATCTTAATTGATTGGAAATAAACCGGTCAGAGCCAAGGATCCTTAAGTGCGTGTACAAAAGCTCGGTCTTATTATAAGTGATGCAAGACTCTCCTGTACTTCTCGTTGTCGTCATTGAAAAACTGTTCAGATTTTTTATTCTTCAGGTAATTATTGATATACAAAGTTTTTGATCTATTTGCGTGTGTGCACAATGAAATGCAACTTATGTATATACTATTCTTGGCATGCGGATCGAAAGAAGGTGATTTTGTCAAACGAGGTGTGGGGATAATCCGTTTAATCTTAAACTTTCGGTTGTCGGCATCTTGTTCACGGTCTCATTCCGATATCCGTAACCTAAACCTCATTGGCAAAACTTCAGTTTATTTTCTACACTGTTTTTCTTCATTTTTTGCATTCGTTGCAACTTTTTTTATATTGCGATTTGACAGTAAGAATGTGACAATGCTGTTGCAGTAGATTTATTTTGTTCTGAGCTACACCTACATTTTATATGCAGCTCTGTACACGGTGGACTGCATTTTAAGATATGAAAATCATAGACCATAGGAATAAAAATGCGAAGAAATAATAAATACGAATACGAATACCATTCATATTAGGTAATCCTCTCAATATCATTTGTGTTCCCGAACCGACAGTTCGAGTTTATCAAATGGTCTCAGGTTTTATTTTTAGTTTGAGAGATGAACTTCAGATTCGCATTGTCCGCATTTTAGTTAACACAGCAATTTGCATCCGGTATGTATGAATTACACATCATGAAAACGCAGACAAAACAGGCCAGAGTCCGCTTCTATGAATATTCTGCACGACCGACCCGACCCGACCTATGACCCCATCGGTCAACCACTGAACCGATTGTGCTCACCTTCGAACTTAACTACTCATTTACCCCCACACAACATGTGTACCAATAGAATGAGTTTACAGAGAGTTATTGCCTGTAGGTGAGATGAGAATTGCTAAACTTTTAGATTGCAGTGCATTGAGGAAATGCACATTGTTTGTATTTCTTATCTTATATATGTATACTAATTGTAATAGTGGAGGCGTGCAATGGTGAACGGGTTAAATGTATTGTCATGCAAATTGATTCAGGTGATTTAGCCCCAAGGAATAATATCCTTTCAATCAGTTATTAGTGCGACTACTTATATTAGTGGTTTGTACACTTTGTACACATGTAAGAATCAAGCTGTCTGTGTGTCTGTGTATACACTTTGAATGTGCATTTGAAAGACTCGTTGATTTGTCTAGTCTCTAGAGGCAGAGTGTGCCTATGAACTGTAGTTAATATCACATAATACCTTTAACACATTTATGTACATTCACTATTTAAGTTACATTTTGGGTAATTAAAGTTGTATTTCTCATGACTAATTTACAATCATATGTCCATAAACAACACAATTTAGTCGGAGTCAGTTGCATAAGGTTGTTGATACTTTGAGAAAATACAAAACTTTACAAAATATTTGTGCTTGAATTCCTCTTGTAACAAGTGTTGTATTTGTCTCAGATGAGTTCGTGACCGGAAAGCTGGCTTCGTCAAGGAGTCTGCCTGCGGATCCTGTTGATTCAGATTCAGCTGAATTACCTGGAAAAGTGTCAGAATTAAAATCAGCCATTCAGTGCCAAGAAAATGAGGTGGGGAGTAAGGGGACGGGTTGCGATTTTTATCCAGCCAAGCCAAAAAAGCTGGATTTAAGTTCGTCTGGAATCTCAAAGAAAGCGGCGGATATCATCAACTCAATTCGACAATCCTCATCATCGTCTTCCATTTCAGAGTCCGCACTGCTGGGTTCTGGAAAATCGTCATCGAGGTTCGATAATTGCAAAGAATTCCTGAAGCGATCCGACGCACCAACAGCATTCGATGTTTCTTCAACTTCAAAACAACCTAAAAAATTTCCAACGAGCAAAAGTATATCAAATTTGGGGTCGATACGGGTGGAAAGTAAAGAAACGTTGACAGAAATTCATAGTGGGAGGGTTAACTTAAAAAACAATAGTGTTTGTGCGGGGACTGACACAGACGAACATTTTGACGACGAAGTAGAAATCGTTTCATTATTGGAAGAACAAATACCCAAGTATAAATTAAGGGCTGATACCATTACTCAATTTACAGGTAAGAAGCTTTTGTAATTCACACCTCTTTCCTGCGTAATTAATTCCTGACATGATAAATCATAAGCATGTATGATGATGTATACCATCAAAATTTATTCATGTTGTATTTCGAGACAAATTGTACATTTTTCCACTTGCTGACGTTTAATTGAATCTCTTCTTGTGTTACAGGATATCAAAACCAAGACTTTGTTGGGGGTAAGTGCGCTTAGTAAAAATAATAATGTTCGTATTGACTCAAAAACAATATTATTGCAAATATCATTTCTGAAACGATAAACGATTTGGTTAATACATTAGACAAACTTCATGTAATTTATCGGGAAAAATGAGACTAATTATTTTTTTCAGCATCTGATCATCCCTTTGTTGGGATCCCATACCCAGCTCTCAAGGATTACAGTCCTGTAACTCCTGAACAAGCGTACCTCACATTAGGTTATTTTTGTAAGTTTGTTTCAGTTACTTTTTTGAACCATCTTTGTATACTCTTCTCCTTGGATGTTTACCTGAGCTCATCAGTTGAGTAGAATCTATACGTGTGTTAATCTTTGCGAAAAAGTTTTTTTTAAGATCCAGTTTTGCGTATTGCAAATTTTCTCGCGGAGTGAGAATGACCTCATTCCGTTCCGGCGAAGAACGGAATTGTGGTTATTGGCATTCAGTTTTTTCAGTTGGCCAAAATCCAAAAAGTTGGATTTGTGCATATGTGTATGTACATATGACTTATTTGTGCTGAATAATTCCATTGACATAAGGATCTCAATTATCTGAAACGGCTGACTTTGGAGTTAATTTATAAAAGTGGTGAAGGTTAAAGCTCATCAATCAATATATAAGTGGGGTGTATAACAGTCAGGTGCTATAATTAAGTCAAGTATTCAATGAAGCTCCTGGGATGAGAATAGCCTCATCATAAATCCGATTATTAATTATTTTATTATATTTCCGTGTTTTCCGAGAACAGCTAATGACATTTTAATTGACTTTATAGTAAAATATGCCCAAGTCTCTTTGACTGGGTATTAAGGAAAATTATTTCTATCAGTTGCGCATCGTCTTTTGCAATACTTCAAACTCCTAAAACATACATACGGTGATTTGGTGTGAATAGTTTAAATAGCCTCTGGTGATTAATTTATTTGGTATACATTATGGCTAATCCTGGGGAGATTGGCAATTTAAATATTACCATACAATGTGTGTGCTGTTACTCATTTTGTTGTGATATGTGCCTAACCGTGTACAAAATTTGAATGCCTGTACTCTGAAAGAGGATCTGGATAATAATTTTAAATATCGAAGCAGGATATATGCAGTGTTAAACAAAGTATTGGAGGTTCTTACTTGTTCAACCGTTTCTATTGTTCTTGGCATGTCATTATACATATGACCTTACACTCTACAAGATACTGACGCTTTCTAAAACCACCTAATTAATAGGTAGAGCATTATCATTATAATTTTTCTGGACTACGCTAAAGCATATTGTGCATATGTACATTTCAGTGACTGAGGATCAGCAAGCATTCATCACATGTTTTTATTAACACATTAGCTATAGTTTCTCGAAGCATTTGTATTAAATAACTATAAGACTAGTGTCCACCAGTTTTTCTCACCATTTAAAGTTCACATTTAAAATTCATGGTGACCGACCATTAAGTAGTCAGTCAGCCACCTCGTTAAAAGCAAAACTACAAAATTTTGAGTTTATTTTAATGAATCTATTATCCATTTTATTATACAATCCTTTTGTGAATTCTACTGGTTCATGCAATTTAGTCTGTATATGCACAAGGAATTTACCAGTTTTTTGATAATTTCTGCAGGCTAAAGAAATGTGTCATCGTCACATCATTGTGAACAGCTTCTGCAACTGCATTTATACATATACTTTATATAGATAGACCTGTTTCCACTGTGACGGTCTACGATCTGGAGTATTGTACATATATTTAGTGTCCCATAAAACATTATGCGCGTATATGTACATATCAGATACTACATGAGAGATGAGGATGAGAACATCATCAGCATAACCAGAACGACAGCGATGCATTGATCGATAAATGAGAAAGGTTACGACTACACTATATCTCATGATGTTCAAGCTGCATTTTAGTTTTAGCAAGTGGCAAATTACGCATGATTATCATTTACAGCATATCTCATCTTTTATGCCAACCTGGACTTGTTCAAGTTTAGCCTTGTGACTCGTCTAATGAGTTACTGGCTCATTTTATTCAGATAATTCCGCTTCGAAATTACAAACTAGTAATCTTATATTCTTCTTAAAATAGTAAGTGGACAGTGGTGAAATAAAATTAGTCGGCCGGTATTAATACCAACTTTGTCTCAGATCGTTGTTATTCAGATCAGTAACTTTTTTACCCTCAAAGGAATAATATTTGTGTTTCGTTTAGTGAAGCCCCCTGTTGTGTCCTTTAACATCTCTTTTGCAATAATGACCTGTTTGAGATACATGCAGTTCTGGAGATCAATAGCCAGCATTAGTTTTGTTTGAGCACACGCCTAATCATGCTAATCGATCAAGTCAACATTGACCAAACCCTCACGAAAAGTTCCAAAAAAGTTTTCTTCATGTCTGAAACACAAAATAAATTGGAGTCCCACTTTGTTGAAGTACAGAATAGGGCAAGTTATTTGAGTGTACTAATCAATCGTGTTTCCCTGTTTGCTCGAGTGTTTTTGCAACAGTCTTATCCAGTATTGTTATGCATGGAAACTGTAAAAATAATTTGCAAGATATTTATGTTATAAAGAATTTCATTTATATATCTATTGTAGTTATGCTAATATTATGGATGTTTAAGTTGCCAAGTATATACAAATAAATTTTTAGTTTTAATAAAAATTAATTTGCAAGCCGTATCCTTCAAAATTCAAAAGTGCTTTATAAATTCTCCATAATGATAGTAACGTTAGCTTGACAGTAGTCATTTAAACTCTTCACACCACGCCTATTTAATACCATCTACTCAGGAAGGACAGCGTTATGAACATAGAATGTGAAAATAGCGTCATTGATTTTTTAAAGACAGCAGCATCAACATACATATGACCTCATATAATTGAGCAAATATGGTCAACTCGAAACGTGTCCTATGTACTCATGAATTATCCAAATGCCTTGTGACACATTCTTTCGTGGTGTGATCCTTAAAACTGACAATCGTATCATATCAATTGAACCGCAAAGACTTTACATAATAATGAGCAACTTAAATCCGGGAGAAGAACAAATTTACTCTTCAGAAACTGGATACGACTTTACTAACAAATTGTTTAATCTCAATGCAGTATTGTCAGGGTCTCGCCTCAGTCAAATGACAAAAACATTTGATATTCCAACTTCCGGATATGAGGTACGTATGCTTTCATTACTTTATGCTTTCATTAAAATTTCACCCATACCAATATATCGAAATGGTGCCAACTATCTGAAAGTTTTTTTTATTAAAAGTTGAAATTTTGTAGAGGGGTTCCAAATGGGTTCCAATGAAAGAATATGAAGTTAAATTAGAATATTTAAGTAGTTATAAAGAAACCCAGTGTCAAACATAAATTTAGTGGTAAATAATCGAAAATATTGGTGCAAATAAAAACCACAAATTTAACTAGATACTCGGATAATTTTAATGGTTAATAACTGACAAAAGGGATTAGTAATAATACATGAGTCAAAAATCGTATCATTATTGATCAGACTGTCCGTTAACGATCAGTATGGCGTCACCTGAAATAATTAAAATAGATCTATTATTGTTAAAAACAACAATAGAAACTGAATACATACCATATTTAAGCACCAACTGCATGACTTTCAACGGGGTAAGAAGCATTGGTCCTGTCGTCCTTAAGCTAGTACCCACTGCCCCTGCACCCTTCTGACCGCGATCCAGTGATTTCCTGGGTTGTAGATAAATCCAAGGGATATATCCAAATCGAAATCCGCTGCACGTCTTGACACTTGATACTGAGCGTATAGTAGTGCCTGTTCCAAGACAGTGACATTATAGTCACCATCTTTGTTTCCGTATGCACCTTGATCCAACTGCAAATAATTAGTTACCAATATTTAGCAGATAAATCTTAATCAAGATATATCTTTAAAATATTATATACCTCCCCCGTGTTTACCCGTCTTCTCTCCTCCTCTTCCAAATTGGCCACGATTTCCTGAAAAAATTCCATCGCGTACAAAGGACCTCGTAGAGTGAAATTATTGACGGCGTTGATTCCACAGCTATTATGATTCTGATTTTGCTGAAATATAGTAATAAAAATGTGATCAGTTACTGGTGTAAATATCTAGTTCGATTTGATTTTACCTGTTGGAATGGCAGATACGATGGGAAAAGGTTGGCCCACATCGTGGGGGTGGGAACGGCTGGGCTGGTGGATTTATCCGGAATGGATGTATCTTCGACTTCTTCCTCATCGTCGAACACATCGTCCAAGTCCGTGTCAGATTTCTCTTCGTCCATCTTGTCGAGGATAACTTCAGTGATCAAATTTGGATCCGGATGTATCATGGCGGAGAACGGCTGACCAGGGTAGGAATGGTCAGTTGGGCATGGGACAGATGGATCCTGGAGAAAGTGGAATGGACGACGAGATGTTGTGGAGGCCATTGCGCGGATGTGGCGACGGATCTGTGGGTTGGAATCCATGAAGATGTCCATTTCCGCATGTCTATTCGCCCTGCAGTACTTCAACTTCCCCACTTGGGAATTTTGTGTTGTGTGGTTACGGGGGTTAATCCAGCTGAGATACGCCTGAATAATTATAGTAATGATTAGATACATCCAAATAAATCGGATAAATCAAACGTTACTTACTATTGCTGCTGCCTCCAATTCCGCAATCCCGACCCTTGCCGCCTTTCGAGTGGGGTAGTTGACCTCCTCAGTGTGGAGAAGGAAGGCACGACACTTCTTGGTGTTTAGTTCTCGTCGAATAGACGACCTCATCTCTGAGTTGAAAATGTAGGTCGATGGCTTTGGGCGTCTGTAAGAACAAAATGGGATTAGTTAATAAATAATAATAATGATACATTAATTGTTACTTACCTGCCATTCCGCCCCACGTAGAGCTGAACAGAGATGGTCTCATCGTCTTCGTGGTCTCGAAGAAAATTATAAATCTCATGTCCCAACTCGGTAGAATCCGACTTGATATGAAGCAACAATTCTTCAGGAATGATTACGACAAAGTAGACGTAGCGTCTGCGTGTACCGGTTCGTCCATCTCTCGCCTTGTCCAAATTCTTAAAGTGCTCGTTCAGTTCTTCATCTGCCTCCTCATCTGCCAAAGCATCCACCGAATTGAGATGAATCCTGGGAGGATTAATCCTGAACGGAGTTATTCTCCACAGAACCGTTCGGGGGCTGTAATTTACAGAGGTAAAAGAAATGATTAGATTAGTAATTGTAAAATAATTACGAAATCTGAATATGGATTAATTACATGGGTCGGGTTTGGTGAGTCAACCATTCACGCACCATTTCCGGTACTTGAGCATTCCAGCGCTGGCTATAAGATAAATCATATTATATGATACGTCACAATAAATAAAGATGAATGAATTACCTTTCCGCAATATGTTTAATCCATCCTGATTTGGAGTAGCAGATTCGACTATTCTTGTAACGAAATAAATCCATGCCGGATCTCTCACTCTCCTCATGATCGTATCGTAATTCATACGACGACCCATTTACGTTGATATAGGAGATGTCCTCGGGGGCAAGGTTGGTAATTCGTTGACGATTCCTTGTCCTTGTACCAGCTTGCCAACTATAAACAGGTGACAATTAATATGTTTGAAGATTCATCATTGAATGATATATCTTACGATGATCGCATAATGCAGATAAGACCTTCCTTGGTTCTGGGGATGATTTCATTGCTCCCTTTAGTCACGTACATTCTTCTATACTTGCCTCGTACTTTTCTGGTGGACATCCCCTGCTTCTTCACCTCATAACGATGTCCATCCACCTCAATCTCATTTTCCGTTTCCGAGTCGGGGGATAGAACTGGACTGGGCGATCGAGGAGCCATTTCTGGGGGTATCATCCCGTACCTACATAATAATTATAAGTAATCTTCCTTCGGATTTATTATTTATGGTAATGTTTACGTTAGCTTCATGTTGTTCCACCATCCTTTTTCTGATCTTGCAGCAGAACTGGGAGCATTCACGTTCCAATACATTCGAGTTCCTTTCTTGGTAGCATGGCTAAATTTGAGATCCCTTTTGTGCGTCCTATATCGAATAGTTTTCCTTTCTGGAGATTCACCCTTCGACGGATTTGTCTGTTTCTTCTTCGCTGACCTGTAATTGACATATTAATTAGCGCCATACTATATCCTCATTGGATTAAGTAGTTGTACATTATTCTTACTTGGTGGTGGCAGACATTTTGAGGCCAGAGTATGGACTCTCCGGTAAGTCGATAGGGTTGGAGGCCACCGCAGCTGATCTCGTAACACGTCGAGTTGGTAGTGAGTTATCATCCACATCAGCAAAGTCACAATCCGAGGAGGATGACGACGACACTATCTTTTTTTGGACAGTTTTCTTCTTCTTCCTCAACCTGTAGTTTTATAATTATAGCATTGGACGCCACGTTTTATTTAATAAACAAATAAATAAGTAACCTACTTTTTCTTTCGGACTTTCTGAAAGTCCGAGTCGTCTAAATTGGATTTCTCAGATGAATCCGTCTGTATGACTCTTCGGCTTCGCTTTGTTCTACGGCTGGTCGACTGGACAGGGTCGTCGTCATCCGTGAGGGTTTCGCCGACCTTCTCCGACTCCTCTTCGGATGGGGGTGGTGATGGGAGGCGTGACATTTTTTAATTGGAACAATTGTTTAAAAAAAACAAGTTAGTTGCTCTTTCGAAAATAATCGAGCGTGTTCTCTTCTCTCTCTCCGTTAGGATTTAGAGAGTGTTAAGCAGTCGAGCAGGCGTGAACACAAGTTCAGTCTTGTTTTAAAGCCAAACGGCTTTCCGGTATCATCAGCATCCGTCCAGCATCCGTCTTGGATTTTGAGAATAATTTTCATAATTAAAATATGTTGTAACATTATACTGTTGATGGCTACACAATCAACGCATAATGTTACATAATAACATTTTTTATATTTTTTTTTTAAATTATAAGAAATATGATGTATTTTTTTGATGCCTTGCAGAAACTACTGGAAGAGGTAAGTGTCTTTCTTGTGAGAATCATAAAAAATAATTATTTATTATGCCAACCTATGGGTTTCTTTGCAATAACCATTACAATTTTACAATGAGCTTTCCGTCGGCATATTAGTTTACGCATGCAGACAAACACTGATTTTCTACATACATAAGAACCGCTATTGTATAGTTGCATATACAAATCGTAGTGGCAATTGGTTATTACATATTTTGTGGTCGGAATTTTTTATGATCTGAAAAATAACCGATTGGTATACTATTCCAATTTCATCAATGCAAGGCCTAGGTATGGTATTCATTCTGTCTTAATATGCATGTAGTTATTGTTATCCACGTCTGTGCAAATATTTATTGCTGATCATAAAATCAGGAAGGAGTTTTAATTTACAATAATTTCACTTGCAAATCTGTTCTGTTCATTCTGTAACGATCTTCGCAATTCATAACATGGATGCGAATAATAACTATGTATGTAGTTATCATTTCTTCAGGGTGGGGATTTATAAAACATTTTGCATTTAACTATGCATATATGTAGACTATCAGCGAGTGCAAAAAAACAATTATACACACTCGGTATTTTCGTTGCTAGTCATTACCCCCCATTACAATTTGTTTTCCTGCAACGACACATATACCTTTCTTTCTTTTACGCACTTTGGTGGATGTATTTGTTACTTTGTTAAACGCAGGATGAATTACATGTACGTATCGGGAGGACATAGTAATTCTTCTACGATATCCATTCTTGCTCTGTGCCTCATAATACGATGTGGATTATAATCTTCTCAGAACATTACAGTTTATGTAATTACTCATGTGAACTTTGCATAAACAAATCCAATATTAATAAGATAAGGTGCAAGCACTGTTTCTGTATTCGTGGAGAAAACTGGTTATAGCAGGGAAACCGGAAGAACGGGAATGTGCTCAACGGCACGTATTATTTACAACAAGCAAAGTTAAACATTCGTCAATCGTCATTGTTGGTTTTGTCTTGATTTAAATGCACTTCTTGTAAACTTCTTCTTCCACGAAACAAAATTGTCACAATTAGAACGTAAACAGTTGCTAAATACTCTATTTCTGCATACGAACCATGAATGCCATTGTTGAAATTAAAGAGGTGTTTCATTCAAGACAATCTAAAAGAAGCAATAAACTTTACATTTATTTACTGTTTCTCCAATTTCAGAAAGAAAAAGACTTGGAATTAGCCGCAAGAATTGGTCAGGTAAGCAGACAAACTTAACTATGGAACTGTTAGTAACGAGCATATAAACTAATTCAGCAGTATAATAAAGCGAGATTTTGTTGCAGCAATTGTTGGAGCAAAATCAATCGTTACGAGAGAAAGTTACATCGCTAGAAACCGAAAACAAGGAAAGCGTCGAATGCATCACACAGGTTGGTTCCCAGAAATGTTAACCAAAAAAATACGGTATCTAGTTTTTGATGAATTTTGCAAATGTGCATATGCATATGCCAATGTTCAATATCTACCGAGTAAACATTTGAAGACTATGTCCAGACACGTGGCAGCAATAACAAAATAAATTTTCCTTGCCCCTTTTAGTATTTTCTTTTTATAACTTTTTGCATTTACAATATAATGAGTAATGTTATTGACCACAATAATAGATACGTTTTCATATAGCAGGAACAAGTATTTTTCTTATTGGTGTGCTTTTAATATTTGCAGTTAAAATATGAACTGAACTTTAAAGCGCAACTCTTGGACACTCTTTACAATGACACAACGGATAGTGCGGAAACAAGTAAAGCAGGTCTGTTATTTATCACCATATAATTTTTCGAGCCTCTCTCTTGCTATAAAGTAAACACTATTTTTGAATCTCTTAGGGACACCTGTGGGGACTGGGGTTGCAACGGTGCTGGAACGCCGAATGCAATTACTTGAAGAAGAAAACAAGGCACTCAGGGCAGACGCTTGCCAGTTGGCAGAAGGCAAGTTATTATATTAATGTTATTATGTATATTGATGCTGTAATTATTTGTCCCGGCATGTTCTTTTTTAAATTGTATTAAAATGTATCTATGTATGTGTTGCTATTTATTATATTAGATGTGGAAAAGACTGAAGCACAAGAAAAGTATCTAGTAGAGGATGCGATATCCAGATTAAGTGAGCAGTTTATATTTTACGCGTATCACAGGAAATCTTTTAACTTCTATTTATTACTGTTTATGCAGCTGAATCGAATCGAACGCTATCAAAACTCAGTGATGATCTGGAAAGAAAGACAGAAGAAGTCAAGATTCAACAAGAAGAGTTAAATTGTCTAGAGGAGGAATTGAAAGCGTTTCAACAAGTAAATCGAGAACTTGTGGACGAGAATACCGAGCTAAGAAAGGTGGTTGAGGTGCTGTCAAGTAATCAGAACCAATTAGGAACTGAACTAATTGACCTAAAGGTCTGTGTTTATATCTCCACGTATTTACATGTATCTATGTATGTGCACTTGACTTATATTATGGATTTTATATATTATCCTTTTAATTGACCCTCAGGAAAACTATGTTGAGGTCGTGTCAATCTTAAAAGAAACTCAGGAGCAATTACGAGAAGCTCAACGACAAAAAGAGGAAGGAGCGGACGTAGTCACAGTGTTTGATTCTCTGGCCTATGAAATAGATTCTTCAGTAGCACGACATCGACGCTCGTCCGATTACTTCCGCCGAACTTTTGATACCGTTCGATGTGCCAATAGCAAATTGCCATTGACGTCAAGTAATTTTTCATTTAAAAATAAATCCCAGTTGGATTTACATTTTTAAAATTTCTGATTTGATTATTTCAATCTTAATTTTTTTAGGTGCGTTGATAACCACAGCTTCTTTTCTAGCATCTTCTGGGTTGCCTTCTCTGGATTCTTCTTCTTCACATGAACTGATGAATTCCAACTTTAACTCGCTGGTATTGGAATCCGGACTAGGTTCTTCTTTGTGCTATTCTCCAGGTAGTTCAACTCCAGGCGGAACATGGAGGTTGCCAGAAAAACTGCAAATTGTTAAACCGCTGGAAGGATCCTCGACGTTACAAGTCTGGAGTTCTTTGGCAACGCCACATTTGGGAAATTTATTAGACAAACGTCCCGGTGTGCAGACTAGAGTAGAGCGACCCGTTGAAGGAATTGGAGCAAATGTGAGTTGTAGTCTTGTAAATCATTGGCAAATTGTGCAGTGCAAATTATTTATGCATATTCATCTTTTACAAAACATTTATTTACCTTGTAGACAATTCTCGCGCTAACTTCAGAGCCTCATACACTTGGCACTCCAGCCGTATTTACGTTTGTTACCACATCATCAATCCGCGATAGTACAACCACGATATTCTCAACAAACATCTCTTCGAGAGCGTCAACATGTTCATTATCATCTGCACATTCTGAGTCGGATAGTCACAGTCCAATTCCATCTTTCTCGTCGAGTCGAGAGAAAAATGGTCACAAACCCGGCACGTCAGCTTCATTCTATGCGTCAGGAGATTATCTCAAAAGCTGCGAAACACCTCAAAATTCCCCCATGGAAGGAAACTCTAGACCATTATCCCCATCCTCCCATCATGGAGGGGGCGGAGACTTCGAGAGTAGTTCGAAAAATAAAACTATAAAAAGTACGTTATCTCATTCATTCAAAATTTTGTAACTATTCTTTGTCTGATATTATCCGTGAATGAACGTTTTCCCGTCTATTTTGTACATTTTTGGATTTTTTGGCGCAACATTTATTTTGCTTGTGTATTATTTTCAGCGCTTTACGCCGTTTATGACAGTTTATGCAATAAAATAGGAGGTTTAGGAAACCCTGCACGAACTCTTAACTCACGACTCGACTTTGCACCATCCTCCTCACCTCAGGTACACTAATCCCTTTAGGTATTTGCTTGTCAACTTTGGTTGTTTATCTGTCAACAGTAGTATTTCTCCACATTTAATCGCTTTACACATATACGATTTGTAAATAGTTCTATATAATTATTTGTCGATATCATTTCAGAAATATGATCTGACGACCAAACTCGGACGACTGGAGGTGTCTTTTGAAAGTAGTCGACTTCACGCTCCTCCGAAACCTGGTACTGGTGCATTAGAAAAAATACTTCTGGAACCTGACTAGTAGATTCATATTCAATTCCATAGACAGAATTATAATTCAGTAGATGCGGTGAAAATGTACTTAATGTCCAAATAATAATCCCATGTATGAAAATGTATGTATTTAAAGGAATGAACGGTAATATTTTTTCGTCAAATACTGCTATATTATGGAACGCAGAACAAACAAATCAAACACGGATGATGCGCTGTAGAAGTGTTAACTATGGCTAATAATGCCTGCTTAAATGTGATAAACTTACCTGTTGTACTTAAATACATTTAGAAAATCTAGAAGTTTCTGTTTCCTTATAGTTTGCTCCTAACCTACTACTCTTAAGTAAGTTCGACATACACAAGTACCACTTTTTTGATTAAAATGAATATCAAAACCATGATGCTATGTCTGATATCTGCTATCAATCAACTGCCATTTATATGTATGTATACCTGTTTTATTGCACAAGTTTTTAGTAAGGTGAACTGTGTAAACTGGCTAATTTAGTAGTTTACATAAGTTTAGTGATGATAATGAGTTGGTCTCAGTATTTCTTAGTATATTGTACGTTTATTATGGCATTTATCTTATTACAAATTTTGACCAGAAAACCAATCCATGTTGTTCTTTGATGAAAGTGAAATACAGTTGCAATAAACCATTAGTATTTGTCGTGCATTTGTAGCATGCATAAGAAGTTACCAGCTTAAAGATGGCTCAATTACACAAGTGCTTGTTACTGTTGTGTTGAAGAAATGCTTATATGTGTTGTTATAATTTTCTAGTCGTTTGTGAATGCGTATTGAGTATATACCAATTTAATATGTAGGTGCGACATAGAGGATTAAAATATTGTACTAGAATCTTGAAAGCACTTTTTTGGATTTCTTGAAATAATCAAAATACTTTAACTTTACGACTGACTGTGTGTTACAGTGTGCAATTGCATTGAAATTTGTATTCAAACTTGCGACGTATTCCTTTCATAATAAAATAATAGCATAGGGTTAGCAATTTATAGGACATATTTTCTTTCGCTTGTCAGTTTTGCTGGACATTACAAATGATAAGATGCGTGAATAAGTGTTTAAGAGCAAATTGAAATAAAATAAATTTAAAACATTGAGAAAAAGTTTTATTTGCGTATTTTAACTATTTTCTACTGTGGGGTACTCGTCAGAATATTTCATCCCAGAAATCCAACTCCAGATAATAGAATGCTCTACATATATCTGTAGGCTGGCTGTTGCATATTTATTGAAAACGACTCAAATATTTAAATCCAGTTTGGAACTAAAAATAAGTACATATTTAAATATCTACTGATACATTTAACACTCAACTTATAGTCTAATAAGTTAAAAACGAAATGGTTCATTATTTTTTATTTGAGTATATTTTACTGTATATAATTGCATGAAATGTATCCAGACGTATTTACATATATAAAGATGTGTGAAAGCATTTGCAGTCTGTCTGCAAATATTTTAAAATGTCTGTTTCAATACATTAATGCCGTAATTTTTAAATCATTAAAGTTCTCATAAACCACATTATCTTTCCCTCGATCATCAACCATTTAGCACCTTGACGTCAACTCCATAAATCTTGTTTGCACAAACTAACATAATTCATGGCCAATAAGCAATAGTATTTTGTCCACGAGAGGATAAGGGTGAAGTTCACGTTTGGAAGTACTGATACATTCGAGTCTATATGTCTTCATGAAACATTTACACTTCTTCCAAGCAAAATCAATCGTGCACTTTTTCAATTACGAAAATTGCAAGGTTGCAGAATTTGTTTATTGAGCACGACAATGATTGCAAAGGTTCGCACAAAAATGTCCTCGGGTGGCATTTTCGTATCCAGTCTGCAGTTCGACAATTTTTGAATGATTGAAATATCCAGTTTTAACGAACCCAAGCTTGTGGAACAGTTTTATTCAGCTATGACGGGGGCTTGACCAGCCAATCAATATACCTTAAAGCATGCAAACTCTGCAAGGGGTTGAATTATACGGTGAAAGTTCCCAGAAATTGCTATCCATGTGTTATTAACTTATGTCTGCCGGTCGTACATACGATTAAGGAATCTTATTGGCATCGTATTGGAGTCATTGGGGAGAAATATAACGTGATAAAATCCATTATGTTTTATCATTCTGAGGGGAAAGAGAACAATCTTAGCATGGCGGATATAGGCGTGTCGTGTACTTTGGGTAGTTCTGAAATATGTGTCGTTTCAACCAAAGCAATCACTTCAATTTTTGATCGTCTAATGTCTAACAAGGTGTTATAACTTCCGACTATTTTGGGAAAGAACATGTACATATGAACGTATTTATGATGATGAGTAGTGGTTGCGGCTGGTGAAAGAATAGCTAAATTTTTCTAAGCTTTGAAAAGTTGGTACTTTATGAACGTGTTCCTACTATCCGCCATGTGTCCTCGCATTATTCCACCCAAGACACTCAAAATTTGAAGGTTAGCAGATCAAATTTATTCAAAGGATTTGGACAAACACGAGTTTGCTTAAATGCATATGAATTTCACAAATTGTGTGGACCGGTCTTTCTGTATGTTTTTAAAATTCATATCTCACATATGCCTGCCGATTGATCAGCCAAGTCAACAAAGGAACTACTTAACTTTATTTTATGATCATTCTTGGAACTCATCCTCCGTCGGTTGAATCTGCTCCCTTTTATATGTGCATACGTACATATGTACATATGCATGTACACATATGCACATGGGTAGACATGAGATGTAGTATGTAAGATGTACGAAAGCGGACATGATCTCAGGTTGCTACGTCACGTAGGCTGGCTTCGTACAGAGTTGAAATATGGGATACAATATCATATCAATCTTGCATTTTATGTTCGGAAATTATATCTAAATATCGCAAAGCGTATTAAATACATTTAAACTAGAACATCAATTTTGTGTATGATTTAATATCAGTTTCATAAAGTTAAATTCATGGAGAAAATCATAAAACAACTTTGATAACTTTACAATCTCACATTTTTTCAACTCCAAACCGGATTTATCCACTATTACCTTGTGTCATAAGTTGACTATTGAGACTGGAAAGGAAACAAAAAAATGTGGTTCAGCTTCCAGTCGTCTGTCTTGGATGACATGGTCACCTTATTCAATATCACAACATACATATTTAGTGCACAAAGTTGATGAAAAGAAAAACTTGTTATGCTTAATTAAATGGAGGAAAACGGGCAACTCCAGCTAATAAAGTTGAAATGAAGAGTGGACGTAAAATGGCCATTGTTGTTTATTAATTCATGGCGTTGTTGTAGTCTTCTTTCGGTATATTGAGGTTGATAATATAGGTAAATACAGCGAGATAGATATATTATTATAAGGTAGTATAATACTGATTGTTAATGAATAGATTGGCACGTGCATATGTCTCCTCGTCGTTTAAACTTTTTTAATCAGTCATCCATCGCAGCAATATTTTAAAGTAAAGTCATAATGAGAATACCAAATCCACAACAAGAGAAAATTAAATAAATTACTTATTGAAAGTCAACATTATTATAGCTCTCTGGCTCTGCGGGTGACAGATGTGTGTATTAAATTATTATGCACCTAGTGTACATAAGGTTTTGTAATCTTTAGAACCACAAATTGTCCCGTCTTGCATACATAATGAAACTCATACCGTGGAACATCCAATGTTTCACGGTAATTCCAGTGGTTTGATTAGAAATTATTGCATTTGTAGAATATTGCATAAGGTTCACCTTATCTTGTTTACCTTTGTACCGAGTTTTTGTTAATTTTGGTCCAGGCTTGAGTATCGCGTAAAACTGCGAGATTGTCGTTCTTGGTGGAATATTTTGTTTTGTGACCGCCTGCGTGTAATCTCCAGCCGTTGATGCTGTGCTGTAATTAACTGTACTGTACCACTTGTAGAAATAAAGCATGACATAGTTATGCATGCATTGATAATAAAAATAAAATAGCAGTCTTATTTTATGCCACTTTTTAGTATCAATATGATTTAGACTTGTGCAATTTTGTAATTCATAAAAATCTGCAAACAAGGATTAATTTAAGATTTGCAATCAGAATTTCATCATCATGGATGCGAAGACTATCTGCATGAACATCTCTTTGGTTGGACCATTGGTTGCATTTACGCTGTTTTAGAATGTCTTTCTATCATGTTTTTAATCCTTTTTTTAAATTTTAAGCATCTTGCATAGTTTGTTACAGCTTCTCTTTAATTACAAGCAGTTAAATGCCAAGTTGATAATGCTGTTTTCCACACTTAAAGTCTGTCAATCTGAACTGATTTTTTCTACTTTTACTGACAGTATCGTCGACTGACCTCCACGTCAAAATGCTTCTGCTGGCAAAATATTTCAGTGTTGAAAGCAGTGTTTTGGCAGAACCAATGTTTTCTAAAGCAAGGTTATGGAACCTCTAATTACAATTCACACTAATTCATCATCACATCGTAGCCTTTATTCCTACTAAACCTCAACCCTGCTGCATGTATGTATGTATAAGCGGAATACATAAGAAGTTTTATGGAGGTACACATCATTAATAACTAAAAGTGTGTCTAGCTGAGAGGACGCTGTACATATTTAGTACAAGAACCAGGCAAACAGCAGTGGTCTAAAATTAGTGAACAGCTACATATACTTCATCATTAGCGCTCAAGCTGTATTCAACAATTAATACTTAAAATTTTAAGCTTGGGCAATGTTGAAACCTAATTGTCTCACTCTCACTATGCTCATGAATTTCAACTAAACTTCAAATGCATGCATCTCATCATGAGTAAAACCATCTCCGTGTTCTGCAATACACCAAAGATCATTTAGCACGGCTTGTCATGAAAGACATCATATGCAAAGCATTGCGTTGGTCCTGCAAACCAAGATGTGATCTAATACCAACACATCCATAGAAAAACTCAAGCCGTAATAATGATAACGGATTGTAACATCATTCTTCGTCTCACACGTTGCAAGTTACGAGTCGTAAGTTGCGATACAACAGAGTCCACTTGAAACAAGAATCCAGTCCACTTTTGTGCCATCATCGCTTGGAGCAAAGTAGTGGTTGAACAGTTTAAGTTTGTTGAATGAAGGGGAATTGAGACTGGAAAGCAGGCGAGACTTGTTCGTGCAGAGTCAGTTCAACTCCAAGGCTGGGATTCAACGGATCGTTATTTCATGGAAGCACAAACGACGCCCTTCTTATCCATCTAATCAAGAAGTGCAGGGCAGCCACATCCACCGTCATCTCAGGAGAGAGATCACAAAATTATATAGACCTCAGCAGCTGAGATTGCTTCAATCCTGACTAGTCTCCCTTTTCAACGAGAAGATTTGCAGGTGAAAGCAAAGAAAAAGGCACTTTTCACATAATCTCACTGCTCGAACTGCTTCCGACCAGCTCTGAAAAAGTACGTACAGATTGTGATTTCTGCTGGAGAAATACGATATACATCTACTCTCAGGAAGTGTGAAACCGAGGCAATTTGAGACACATAGTTAAAGGTGAGATAAGTAGCTTATCTTTCTATTTTGTCCATAACTATACACTAACTAAAGCATGTTGATAATGTATTGACTTTACAAGGCTGAAGGTGATGGGTGAAGAGTAATCATTTTTAACTAATAAAAGTAAAAATTTTAATGCAGAGCAAATTAACTGCTGCACGGAAAAGTTGAGCTCAATAAGTAATTAAATTAATGTTTATCACGGCAATCATCGATATTTATTGATAGGCAGAGGCTCTAATCGATATATTTCTTATTGTTACGTGCTAACTGCCATTTCTGGTGTGCGATTTCATGCAACGAATGATATAATACTGACTGACTGGATATTAATATACTACGTACTTTAGATATGGAATAAATCTGGATCCGTCCAACTAAAGATAAAAACAAGGACGTTCATTTGTTTTATTGCTTTCATTTTTTGCCCAAGTAAATGGGTTGTGAATGAATATGTAGTATGTGATTGTGATTTGTGTTCTGTCCAGCAAGATAGCTCAAGAGTTATCATGCTACATGCGTATGCGACCTTTGTCTATCCGAATCAATTTAATTCGCTACCCATCATACTCCTCCATAGCTTTGCATGATATGAACCCTCAGTCGTCGTCATCCTGACTCCGATGACTCTGAGCCATAAAAATGATCCGAATATTCATTCCGTTTTGAGTAAAGCCAAAAATATAAAGTCAGACTGCGGTATCCTGTGTAAAGATATAGTAACACACATATAGCACATGTCTGTGATACCAGTAAATCCCAGAGTGCACTTCCATTCTTCTCGGGCTTTTTGATCTGATACATAATGTCAACCGATCTTGCTACACATATCTCTGTGTTCACAGATGAAACAGCTTAACTGAGGATTACAGGAGATAGGACACCGATTCGCATGCAAGTGATACAAAAGACGATTACGAGCAGTAGAGTGAAGTAAAAGTTAAATTTAAATGAGTTGCTCGCCCATGATTTGAATGATATCACAGTTATCCATCCATCTCGGGCAGCTTTGTTGGCAAATTTCGCGCATTCGTAAAAAAGATAAAAGCATCCAGTCTATATATTTACCTTAATCCCAGTCGGGACGGCCCTTGATCTTTCCTGAATGGATGGCTACAAAATACTTGGGATTCAGTTGAAGCATTTAGATTTTTAGTGGTGCCAATGTCAGAATGTTCCAAGAAGTTACATTAGTGTGTCAGAATCATAAGTGCTTGTGAATGATTCAGTTCAGTTTGCAAGGTCTGGAGTGCAGTGTTTTATTATTCCTGTCGCATGAAATATCTGTGATTTGCTCACGTGATGTTATGTTTAGCCCACTAGAAATTGGTATGCATGAATTAATTAGCACAAAGTTAAAGATTCTCGCGGATTCATTCTACTTTCCAAAGTGAGTCATTTTCTGCCTCAATAAATGTCCTTACAAACTTATGTAGTTACCTTACACGATAACAAATAGTCTGCTAGTGATTTGACTAGCATTTGTTTTTAGCATTTACATATTGTTCATACTTACATACAAAATCTGTAATAGCTTTCGTATTAATTAAGCTGTTGCCACTTGTTGAATTTCAAAGTGAGAAGGGTAATTATGATGCAAAATAAGTATAGCAGAAAGCGAAAATTATATTTAACCATTTATTGGCTTATGTTCAAATCCCTGTAATAGTTCGATATTCGACGTGTGTTCTTTTCATGAAATCGTTGGAACGACTGCATATCAGGTTGCACAAGTGTGCATAAATAAATATATGTGAGTATACACGTATGCGTATAAATGTGCATGTATGTAGAAGGAAACTTGTAAGTCCTTTTTTATTAATTAAATGTTACCAATTTTCCGGAACAGTGAAATATTTTTTGCATTTGTGAGGGAATTTTCTTATTGTTAATTAATTCTTTACTAAACTCAAGTTAAGGTATCATGCAGCGCAGTTTTTATGGTTCAGATAATTTGTATGTGTTTCAACATTTGTCATAAGCATCAAAGGAAAATGAATACTCGTATAGTTTCATTATTAATCATAATTTTTTGCAATAATTGAAAACGTCCGAAACCAATGTCACGATCTCGACGACATTTATTTTTACTTGGATTTCCCCAGTCGGTTTCCTTTGTTAGATCTTTGCGTTTAATTTTCTGCTATTTTTAGGCTTGTCAGTAACAAACCGGACCATCTCCGTTCTTATTATAAAAACAGTTACATGTATATGACAGCATCTTGTGTCTAACACTTCTGAGGGCTATTAGACTTATTTTACACAGTGGAAAACTAATCTGTTTGTTCAACATGTTCCCCAAACTTTTACCTAGCCAGTCTAAATCATCGTTTCCACAATTCATCACTTTTCCTATACATACATATCCTTAAAGCTAAACTTCTTTGACTCATCTTTTGGAACTTTCCAAACCCTGTCAAAAGTAGCATCATTTGGCTCCTCTTTTAATAGTCCAAAAAAAAAATGTGTAAAATATCTACTGATCCTGGAGGTATAATTCACAATTGTGCCCAGTTTTTACTGGAATATCTACGATTTTTTAAATCTGCATGAACCGTTTCTGCTACTATTAGGATAATGACAAAATTATGAATATGTAATCTAGTCATCTCAACACAGTACCGATCGAGCGAAGATTAATGATACTTGTAATCTTATTATATTTATTTATAAGAGTTTTTTTTTCGTGCACAAGTACATATTTATGTACATATGTCCGGCGAACGAATAAAAGAGAACGTTTATCTCCATCTGGATGACAAGCTAAATTTCAAGTCAGTTGTGTTCATATATTTGCGAAATTTAAAATCTATTAATAAATACAAACATCGTCAGTAAAAACTGGAAATGGGCATTTCAAGACAATTTTTTATTTATCAGATAAATGGAATGCTCATTTTGCGCATCCCGTCATTCTTAATCCAGTCACTTTCGTTGCTTTATTCACCAACCTCATGAGAACATTTCCTATGTATAGATAAATGCAGAAGCACTTGTATTGTATACACGACATATTTTAGTACAAGTCATTCTTATAGTTTGCATTGTATTCTTTTAGTTTTCATTAATGCAAAGTATCGTAAATAAAATGGGGGCTCATTACTCTCCACAGTGAAAATGCCATTGTCATGAATGAAATGTCAATTGTCAAGTTGACCGACTCTAGAATAATTACAGCTTAATTAGATAAACTCATCCAGAATGTTATATAAGTTACCTCTGCGTATATGCACATAGATAAATAGCTGTCATACGACGAGTTAACTGGTTATTTAATCTGAAAGTTTGCAATTTTATTAATTTTGCAACCTCTGATCTTTCGACATATTACATAGTTTTCTTATTCACGATTTTGTTTAATGGAGTTTAATGGATTTGCAGAACAAGTTTCCAGTCATCGCTATTCTGGAAAATGGAGTCGAAGCTAGTATTTGCTACAACTCTGGTTCTCATCTTCTGTGCCAAATCTTCACTAGCCGGACCACACGGTGGTAAGTACAATAAAATACACATATCGATGGCATGGCTGCAAAAAGTGTTTGATTTGTTGGTCGTTTCGTCTATCTCATGTTTGCTAGTCCTGTTAGAGACGTTGTGACACGTAGAAAATTAAGCCAGCTAGTTATGCAATAATTTTTCTTTTCACTGGTTTCCTTGATTTAATTTGCAAATCTATATTGGTATACGATTCATGCAGGCTTTTATGCGCTTGAACTAATCTGAATAACTTTTGAACACAAGAGGAATCTGCAAAAGTGATTTAAGTAATTCTCCAGATTAGCATTTGAGAGATTGTCATTCATTATTTTTCTTTAAGGAAAACAAAGCTGTTAAAATAAACTAAAGTCATTTGCTTCCTACGGGAATAAGATTATCTTGTTCAAACGTGGCATTGAAATCTAGTTTGAAGGAATACTCTCCAGCCTTTCATTTATAATTTAAAATTCCAATTAGCTGACCCACCACCCACCCTGATGTCGTGGAGATATTGCATATGAATAGTGGTTTCCAAGTTTAGATTTACTAATTACTAGCTAATTAAATCTACTGATGGACTCATTTAGTGTCAGGCTGATGCTATACGTAAGTGGTTGAGCGAGAGACGGGTTCTAAATAATTCTTTGACGTCTCCGTGTTTGTAAATTCAATAGCTGAAATTAGCAAGTTCGTCACAAATTATGCTCACAACAGGTTTGTCGTATCCTTTTGGCTTATATGCACAGTGCGATCGATTATCCTGCTTGTTGTCCGGTCAGGAATTTGCATTTTTCATCGCATGTGTTTTCAGTTCCTAACCTTTTACATTAAATTCTTTGTTTTCATGCAGTTACATTATCATCTGTTACGTGCTGTTAAAAACTTGAATAGCAAATTATCAAAATCATAGACTTTGATATTTGGAGGACATGGCATGATCAGTGTTAATATGTCAATTGTTAAAGTCAGGTTCAATGATACACAAATGCCTTAGATACACATACCTAAATATGATCGGGTAGTATTTATAGGCCGTGGTCGGTTTGATGAAACTAGAATTCAGCGGATAAAACTGGTAATAAGGTTTCGACGTGCAAATGAGACAAGTCTTTGATAGGAGTGGTAGGTAGAACGGCTCATTGTTTTCGCATTTGGACGAACCAATAAGCAGTTAATTAATATACTTGTAGATATATGACTTGCATAGTGAATAGTGACGCATTGTGCAAGTAGAACGATTGACAAAAAAAATTTGGTCTTGGAACAGCTTTTACATATAATACGAAAGAAGCCAAGTAAGACGATGTTTACATGTTTGATATGTTTTAGAAAATTTAATTTTCCATATGAGTTATACAACCATTTACACAACCATTGAAATGGAATTTAATTTATGTTAGTGCATCCCGTGCGAATTAGTTTGATGCATTTTCATATCATGCACAGGATGATCTAACTCTGTACATAGAAGAGTTGCAATACCTATGCAGCCGATTTCATATATTGATTATTCAAGCTATATAAATTTGATAACACAGACACATCTAGTTAATTGCAAATAAAACTTGCAATTCCAATTTAACGCTGATTGAATAGGGTATGCATGTAATAGAATAAAATTAAGACGTGAAATTCACAACCCATTATTGTGGAACGAATTGACCACGTCATCCTATGACGAGTTACGGAATTATTTATACAGGTTGTGACAGAAGAGAGATCATGGACCGATTTTTTGTTGTTTTGGCATATACTTATTTAATACATTACATAGTATTTATTGAGCGTACGTATCACAAGAACTGCAGGATAATAGCATGAAACTATGCACAGTCCAGACAAGAAACTTGCAATTGAAAGTAAATTATAATTCTACTCAACATTCCATTGACTCCATGCAGTAATCAGTTCGTAGAAGGTTTAAAAAAACTGACAGATCCTGGACAACAAATGTAGGTCCAACATACTCATATTTGTACATACATATGCGAATTCAGTCACGTAGGTGAATCAATTTTCGTTTGCTACTGACAATGTTCTTGCTTTTTGATATTGCTAGAAGCATTGATTGTAAACTTAATCTTTAGCTGTGTAAGACACTTGCAATACATTAAACTTTGTGTCCTCAACATTGTCATTTGCGTTACGATCTCTGCTTGAGTGTTCGTATAGTGTTTAAAATGGTTAAGTAATTACACAAGCTCAATTGTGACATTTTTTCCTAACCTTCTACTAAAATCAATTTAAACATAATTAATTGGAGCAATTGTATTTCATGTCTGGACTGGCAGATTATTGGAGAATAAAATACATCAGCAATTACATGTGTTCGTCATGACCGAAGATTTTTGGCAATTAAACGAACTGTTTACGTGCATTTACATATATTCTACAAGTGCATACACGGAGCTCAGCATTTTTTAATATCAAACTTTCATGCATCAGTATTTCTAATGGCTTGGTTAGGAGTTAGGAGACTGTTTTTGAAATTTTTGACTATATACATATGCATATGGTTACGTATTTATAATAACATATGTACATATGTTCTATATACATTTTCCTGATCACGGGGTTATTCCAGTCATCCTTGAATTGTCAATTATGTAGAATAGAATGTGGGAACTTACATATTAATTAAATCAACCAACGTTGATCCGAGTATGTCAAAATCAATTAAGAATTGTTGTACTAATTATATCCATTACAAATCTGCACGTAGACAAATTCGAACTGCATTTGTGCAGAATTCGTATTCTTTATTAACTTGATTAGTCTCATGCGCAAATTATGTTATGTTTATTCATGATTCTCAATTTAGTATTGTGACTTCTTATTACGTGTGGTCCTTCCTTCGATTTTTCATAAGTAGAGTCTCAAATAAATTAATAATCGAGATTTAGCAACTGCTTGCGCCATACTTATATTACTCAAAGACCTCGAATGAATGTACACTAAATGATACTAGTAAAATGGTATTAGGAATAAACCTCTGTAAAGCATTTGTAAAATCGAGAAGTCATCCGAACTCATCACTTTTTGGCTGGCTGACTGATTCTGAGTTAAATTACCTACATAAAATTGACCTTAAATAAAATTGAAATGCCATTTATCTTGACTCCTTACTTTCAATTTCATGCTTAATTGTAGACTTTTATTAAGTGAGCATTTTATAATTTTGCAGACCACCCGTGGTGTTATAACACTCCAGCGTGCGGTAAGAAATATTGACATCTTGATCTTGAAGTAGTTATAAAATCACAATTTTAATTGCCATCCTTCGCTGCAGATTCTAAGACATGGTCCGGTATGTGCCATACCGGAAAAGTACAGTCGCCAGTGGATTTCAACACGGAAAACATTTCGGAAAACCGGACCCAAGTTAGACTACGATTCAATCAAGCCTATTTCGATGTCCAAAATCGTTTTTATGCAAAGAACAACGGGCACACTCGTAAGTTTAAGTATGGGTGTAGTCTAGACATGCATATTTATTAAAACTATGATTTTCATAAAACTTGCGAAAATGCTCACTAATAAATCAAATTCTAATCTACTATTTCTACTTCAAACAGTTCAAGTGCAGTTGGAGCAAGACTTAAGTTCAAAATTGGTTATGGACGGAGATGGTACATACATAACAAATTGTTTGATCTGCTTAATGAGTACTACTCATTGAGTAGTCGAAGATTTCTGACAGCTTTCTATATTTATTATAAGAATGTACAAGAATGAATAATGTGAGTTTGAATTTTACAGGGTTAAAAGGAAATTACGTATTTTCTCAGTTTCATTTTCATTGGGGTAAGTTTAAGGTTTGTTTAAATATGAATGAGCAAAAACTATGTATTCAACGCAAACAGTTAAAAAGACCACCAAAATCTTATGGAATTGATTATTTATCTACCGAATTATTATTAGGTTCCACTGACGACAAAGGATCTGAGCATACTGTGGGTGGGAAATCGTAAGTTACGCATCTTATCATCTCGGTGTACATATATCGCTTGAAAGTTTGGAATAGCAACTAAGAAAAGTTTATCGATTTATTTAGATACCCTCTCGAGTTGCACTTGGTTCATTACAATGACATGTTCAAAGGCTTAGGGGATGCTGTAGGGTGAGTAAAAAGTCTTAGTAAAAAAAGTTCGAAGTGATTGTGGAGGGCGAAGGATGTGGACACCAAATTTTATCAGAACACTGTTAATAGGTCTAAAAACCACCGAGCTCTAGCAGTGTTTGGAATATTTTTTAAGGTATTTTGATCATGAATTGTCACATTACATAGAACGGCGTTATAATTTCTTTGTTCTAACTACTGACCAGATTTCGCCTAATGATAACTGGGCCCTAAAGGTAATGTGAGATAAATGTGGTTTGAAAATGGTTGAGATGCACATTAAATATTACATGCTAATCAATGTCAATGATTTGCAGCCAATTATTGAAGCCATTGCTGGATCGCAGAATGTGCAAGAGGAAGCGTCATTAATTCACCGACCACTCAACATTTCTTCTTTCTTCCCAGATGAACTTGACTTGTTTCGCTACTACGGATCTTTGACGTTAGTTATTTATTGTATAAATTAATGTGCTTAACTTCACTTTCAGTCAAGAGGGCATTTTAAAAATCGAAATGTACATATCTAGAACACCGTCTTGCTTTGAAATTGTTCACTGGAATGTGTTTAAGAAACCTGTACCCATCTCTAAAGCCCAGGTAAAAAAAACGAGTCAGTATATTATTGCTCTAATAAAAGTGCATTTATACAAATGTAAACAATCTAAATTATTATCCGTTAATTGTTCTAGCTTCAAGCTTTCCGAAGCATAAAGGACAGTCATGGGGACAATTTGGTGGACAATTTCAGGCCCACGTTACCACTTGCCGGCCGAAGAGTTACGGAGTATGAAGTGGTTGAGTTGGATCTGAAACCATCGAAGACGGCTGAAGACGCCAGGAAGCCAATGCCTGATGCAGATTATGAAGAAGTCATGAATGTGCTGGACCCTAAGACGACGTCTTCTCATGGGAAAAAGAGCTCCGCTGCGGCACCACGCACAAACTTCCTACTTTTGGGACTCTTATCCGGTGTGGTACTTTTCTTCCCGAAGCTCAAGTAATCACCGGCTGCAGAATTCTATTTTAAAATTAGTGTATATAATTGATGTTACCATTACATTTTAAACAAAGCGTCAGTTTGCATGCACTACCGAAAAATCTTACTATCACGTGACCTAACCATGCTATATAGCTTTTCAGAAATGCATGCACATGTTTTACTTATTTCTAGTTTATCAAAACCGATGAATTCCAGGCCTGTCATGCAGGAATGCATTTAAGCGCTTTATTGTCAATATATTTATTTGACACTGTTACCATTTGACAAAATATTTTGAGATTATCCATTTTAAATTATATACTATATAGTAATACTAGCTTCTCGATAGGATAATACATGTACGTAGTATTTGGGATAGTAGTGCGACAAATGTTGATCTACATAATTTATACGCAATCAAAAATTGTGTTACTTTTAAATGCCATTATTTTTGTCAATGTCTAGTCATGACTATGTAGATTTCCTATGATCCATACGGGTCAACTAATGTGGGGATGAATGAATGTATCAAAAGTTCGTAATAAATGCATTGATTTGTATTTTGACGATGATCGCCACTTATGGCAAACGTCTTTAGTTTGGTGTCTGCGTTGACTGATGATATTAAATTTGTTAAAGAATAAAAATGTGCGTATAAATTTAAGTTAACTTTTATTTTTATTTTTTTTTACGAGCACGAACTTGGCTGATAAAATTTTTCGCCAAAATATTACGCAGATAAACTGATGGTTCAGGTTGTACAACAAAAGGCAAGTTAGCAAACGTAATTATGTTGTATAAATTTTAAATTTCTGTCCAAAGTTGGAGTTTCTGAATTTTGCGAATCTAATGAAAGTTAATTTTATTTCAAATAGCAATAAATCAGCATTGCTGTTTGACATGACACCAACAAGTTTCTTTTTCTCTTCAATGAATAATGCGTCAAACGGTAATGCAGTTTTTGTTATTCCACTCAAATCTGCTGAATTTGATTGATACGATTTTGACGTTGCTGATTGACCTGCCATTACATGCTTGGTTTTTAGTATCAAATTCACTTTTACTTTAAACTATGGCATATGTATGGGCACTGCCTGAAATTAATAATGCAGGTAAAAATTTATGGACATTATCATGCATCCCACATACGTAGCCATGAAGAGGAAGAATGCGTACTTTTTGTGTAACTCCAAATAAGAAATAATTAAATTCACTATCGACGAATACCTAGTATTTGAGTCAGATGTAACTAATCATGATAATATAAACATCATGATATAAACATGAAATAGCAAAATTTTACATGTGCTGTACATATTTATGAGAAAGTTAAAGTTCAAATTTTATGAGTCTCACTTTGTTACTCCCTTGCATTTCCTTAGTCGCAGTTTTACTCATAAGATAAAACCTTCAGGTTACTATTAATACAGTATTCGATAATAACGTTTGAAAATGTATCACATCCGACGTATATAATTTATTACCTACCTTGACCATCTAAAAATTTGTTCTACGATACGAGCGTAACACAATTGCTTAGGATTGAACTATACTTTTGGCATTTCATCACAAATGAATATTGAAGTTGAATTGAGATGAGACACGACAAAATCGAACCAAGATGTTTTTCATTATGGCAAAATAGTGCCCAGCAGATATATTAAAAGTAGGACATTGATATAAATTTACATTTGGAACAACAACAAGTAAGGCATTTTGTGTAATTGATTAACTAGAGGCAGATAAAAATGGGGAGTACTTCCAACTACTGATCACCATAATTCCTCTAGTGCAGCTGAAGGCTCTAACGGTGGAAGGAAGTGTTTTTCTTTCAGAAAAAAACTAGTTAGTTTGGTTAATCACTCAATTTTTACCAATTTATTTATCTCCAAGATTGAAGGATGTTTCTAGTTTATTTGGATTCTTCATCTAGAGCAATCATTAAGGAACTCAAAAATAAATGTGTCACAGAATGATCAAGAACAAATAATGTATCATGTACAGAACATGTCATTGTACAATTTCTAAATATGGAGTTTATACAATTATTACTAAATTCAAGCTCATTTTGCAGATACTTAATTTTATCTGACCACCAAAATGGCAGTATAACTGAAAACCATTTATTTGCGGTTAATTTATTCACTTTACTCTCTATAGTTTTTATGCAGTAATTATAAGTGCAATGATCTATATAGATTTTCTCATAAAATTAGGTATATAAATACACATGCACCACAACTTTTTTTAGCTAATATTATTTACCTAAATAGTAAGAGATGATCTTATAATGAAAAAAGTGGACTTTCTTGTCTCGAAGTGCCGACCAACCAACCTGTGACATGTATCTAAAAAAGTTGTAATTGGGATTGTTTTTTCCTAAATCCTCCGAGTTGACTACCTCAATTCTACCCCCCTGATCTAATGATCTCTTTTAACGATATTGTTCTGCTGCTCACCGTAGCTCCTCAGTTACACGCAGCAAACAATAATTTGTAAAATCTTCACGTAACAGGAATGGGCAGGGAGATATCTTTCAAATTAATATTTCTGCTCTGCATTACACACTTGACTCTGACTCGTCCTGCATTTTGCCTACATCATAGTTGGACTTTAGTTGCATGCAGTTTTGAATCGTGCATGATAGTGCGTGTGTGTCATAATGATAATCAAATCATACGCGTCCTTTCCCTTCCCCTCTTCTTCATTCCCTTCCTCTTTGAAATGCACTCAAAACTGTTGTAATGCATTCTTGGGTTGGAAATATTGCGTCAGTATAAAAGAATCATGTTTGATTTATATATCTTTAGTAATGTGACATCTGCGAGTGAAGTATACGGCCCGATGATGCAAAGAATTAGTATGTTTGTGGTAAGATCAGAAATCTTCAATTATACAATTTAAATCTTCGATTTTAAAGATATATTTCAGCAAACCTGATGCAATTGTTTATTTGTGCAGCTACTTTTCATCGGTGCATTTTTGAGCCCAGTGCAAAGTGGTGACAGTGGGGCTGGAGGGAGACAAGTAGCGTCGTCTTCGTCGGCTGTTGATTTCTTGGACAGAGGACCAGCCGGCCCTTCAGGGCGAGAGGAGGATGCTGGTCTCTACGGCCCAGCCCCCCCACTTCCTCTCATAGCTGGAACCAGGGGTGGTAATGGTGCTACCACATTAGCAGATCATCTAAAGGGGGCAAATTATCCTCCAGAGTCTGCTATTGACCAATTTGAAGTTGGTAAGTTGATATACTCGTTAAATAGCCATTAATAAGTCGTGATTAGGTAAGGTGTACATGTATATATAATTTCCAGGATATGGAGGGACCTACTACAGGAAAGATGGGGACCGCTCAGGTCCTGAAAGAAACGTTCGCCCCAACAACAATCACATTGGATATGGTCCATCAGGGTCAAGTTTCGACAAACCATTGGATTCTTTCCGTGAAACGGGGTCGAATCCACTGAATTTGAATGGGCTTAGCGTTGCCGAATTGGAACAACTGAGAAATTTGGCTGAAGCAGCCCAAGGTATTGGAAATGCTGCACGACAAGGTGGTGGTGGTGGTGGTAATGGTGGTGTTGGTTCGCTTAATGCTGGAAACGGAAATGCTGGGGGTCCGAACGTCGTTGCCAACCATGGGACTTTGGGACCTCTGCTTCCCAAAGATTCCCAGGATGACAAGGGGCTTACGTACGGAAGTGGTGGTGGAGCTTCATCCTCCTACAAACCATTGTTGGAGTATGGGCCTGGAGGTGGACCTGGAGTTCTTCAAGGTGTTTTGGACGCCCAAATAAAGTTGAACGCTCTGCGCAGTCAACTTTTGGCTCACAATTTGGCTAAATTGGACCATCACGCCGCAAAAGTACATGCTGGAGCGTATGGCCCTCCTCCAGGTCACCATTATGGTCCTGGTCCACTAGATCATCATCATCACAAATCAGCCTTGTTGAATCTTCATCCGCTATTTGGAAAGTTGGATGCCGTAGATGCTCATCTTCTTGGAAAACTGCAAGCCAAAGACATTGAGCTGGCAAACTTAGAAAGGGAGAAACTGCAATTGATTGCTGCCGCAGGGAAAGCTGCCTTGGGGTCCATACGAGAAAAGGAGAAGCTGGTGCATTTATATGGTCAGTTGGGAATTGCGGATGCTCTCAACAATCCTCTAGGAAAGCATCATCCACCTGGACCTGGATTCGGATATCATCCTGCAGCTGGAGCCGAGAAAGCTGCTGCCCTTGCGGATAAGGCTGCTCTTCTGGCAGATAAAGCTGCCGCCCATGCAGACAAAGCCGCTGATATTGCCAATCATCATGCCAATCATGCTGCCGGACACGAGTACAATCCTAATTTTGGTCCACTCCCTGCTGACAAGATACATCTCAACCCCATCAAACCATTAGGGTATGGTGCACCCTTAGCACCACCACTTGGCAATTATGGAGGAGCTTTTGGCGGAGGACTGCTTTCACCAGCAGCGCGAGAGGTGCTGACAATTCATCCAATTTACAATTCGCCTCTTGCTGTTAAACAAGTTCATAATGTGATTGTGAAGGAACAGCTCAAGGGTCAACATTACTACGGACCTGCCCCAGGACCCAATTACGCTGCATACAATGGTCACGCTGTTGGCAAAGGTGCATTATTCGGTGAACACGGCCTAGCTCCACACCAACGACCAGGACCTTACCCATCCGTGGATGATGTGGTACATCGACATAATGGAGGATACGGGGTTCCACCAGCGGCCCATTTACATGGAAAATTGGATGTCTTGGTGGAAAACGTGGCAAAAAATACTGCGAAAGCACTTGTCGGGGCGTTACAAGGGTATGGGTATGGTAATAAACACAACCATTACAATAATCACCACTGAAAATTTACTGGTAGTTCTAAATACGAACGTGAAATGTTAATGAAAACTAATCATAGGCTGTTTTTGTGAAGAAAGTAAGCGTGCCAAATAATTATGCATTTTAACATTTTGTAGTGATATAGTGTTGGTTATGTATATGTAAGGATCCGAAATGTGTTCTCTAGTCATCATGTTGTTAAGTATCAAATGCTAAAAGCCAAAATATAAACAATTTCTCTGAAATAATTATCCGTTACAGCTTTCATAATCACGAACTTACCTATACACACGACCATAAATATAAATACATACACACATACCTCAGTATCCGTATCATACATAATTCCCTGATTGCAACTTTGTATTGGTCTTCAAACTAACCATCAATGAATGGAGTTCCGGTTTGTAATATCAAGCAAAAAAAATATCGTGCACAATAAATGCATAGCATGCAACATTAAATGTCTCATAGCCAATAGGATACCTACTGAAACAATGTAATACATATACTTGTCCACTTTCTCAAACTTAAAATGTCCCACCCATGCGAAGAATGACACTTAAGCACATTTGTAAATATTATGTAGTTTCTCATTGGCATCGGAAAATAAAGCCAATAAAAACACCATCCTTCGTTACTTATTTTTTTGTAAATCACTCTGTACATGTGTAGTTTCTAAACAAAATGACCATGGCCCTAACCCACGCATCATAACAAAAAGTAGTACGTACGAGCAAAACACTCACTTAATTTTGTATAACAAGATCTCTTTCCTTTAACTTTAACACGACATTTTTACTTTTACTTTTTTAATGCGATTTATGGAAATCATAAGACCATTCACTGCCGAGAAGGGTATACATTTAACGTCTAGACACTAATTTGAAGGCGAAATTTAAATTCCACATTATAAATTTGATACACAGTCTCAAGTTATGGTTCCCCTGCATGGCATTATATTGGGTTGTCTGTTGGTGGTCTTGAATATTATACAAGAAACCCTAATTTCCTATGTAATAAAATATCAACGTCCCTTCCCTAATAGAAATCTCATTTTAACTACCAATTGTGCATACATGAAAAAAAAAACAAAAAAAATTGTTTGGTTGACTTTTTAGGCATACATAGTTTTAGATTGGGTAATTTTAGTTCATTTTTTGCATTAGTTCAAACTCGTTTCTTACATACTTTGTAGCACCATTTCCTCAGTTCTCCTTTTGACCTGCAATACTTACTTGCTAGAAAAACAATAACAGAATGCACTAATGTGCAGGGCGTCACATCCTATCGTAAATGTAATCAAATACAGACACGCACAATGCATACTCATGAATATTATTAACTGACTGATCTGTGTTTGATTAAAAAAGTGACGTGGATCATTTATGACACTAGTTAGAAGAATGAATTGGAGTGCTTCTGGCATATTAGTGGTGGAAAAAAATGAATAGTTCTTCGTATTACAATTATCACAACCTGTCAAACGAAAAATGTTTGTCGTTTCATTAGTTATTTAATCAGAAGTAATATAGCATTCTCTTGTTGTGCTGTCATCAATAAGTATTTGGCAAATGAGCTATTTATATACTCAATCTGGTTGATTTTACGAAGTAACTCGTTTTTCATAGTTTACGACTCGTTGTTGGAATATAATTCTCGTGATATATGTTTTCGAATTGAATGATACAATTTTCTACGCATACAGTATTTATGTATGCACTTGACAATACTAACCATTAGAGATAATTATCTGAAGTCTAATTTTGAGATGGGAATTATGCATTTAAAAAGGTTAAACTAAATACAGACTAGTGGTAATTTTATTACAATAATTGTTATCACACAACTTTCAAAGGAAAATTAGATTTTACTTTCGTAATCAGTTCAATAAAATTTGTCATCATTGTATTGAAGCTCCCATCATTTTGCCTTATTGCTACTGTGTATCATTAATTTCATGCTGCTACAATAAACAAAAACTTGAATACTTTCGGCATTTTGTAAAGAACGATAGATTGTAACGTCACTCATCAAAATGACATTTACAAATGAATAATATATAAAAATGTTGTTCAACTATGTATAATTTGCAGCTTCGTTTCGTAAAATCACAGAATTATTTACACTGGCAAAATACATTGTGCAGTAGAAAGTATTATTTTCTGGCTGAGGATGCTTTATGGATTACAATCGTCAAAACCCAAAACAGCGAAATTCGTATAAATTCTGACACAAATCCAGGATAAACATTTGCATGCGTGAAACCCCATCCACGACTGATAATTGAGCGGACAGCCTCGCTTGGAAGGGTTGCAGGAAACAGAGTTAGTCATAATCGATGACAGTGGTGTCAATCAATGATTGAAAACCGTCCCAAACAATGGCTTGAGGCATGGACAGACGTGATAATGGTTGATATGCACCCCCTGGAAGTGGTCCTTCCCCCCTTGGGTTGTATTCGACTTCCAGAGTCTCTTGGGTCAAGTATTTGAAGAAGGCCTTCATAATATCCAAATGGGGAGGGTTGTAGCGGTGGCCTGTCCCAATTTGCACGTTGGCACTGCGTATGGGAAACCCGTCACATTGACAGCCAAGAATTTCTCCAAGTTCAATTGCGACGTGTAGGAGGGTCTCGATTAGTAGAGTTTCTGGAAGGAGGGCTAGCCACACTTTCCTCTCCCTCTTTGTCAGCTTCTCTTTGTTGGCGATGTTTCGAAGTACTTTCTCTTGTGCAGGTGTTACTTTTGGCTGCCAAACTCTAATTCCACTCGGGTCGTCAACAATGTAGAAGGCCTTTGAAATTGCCGTCCTTGGTTTGTGATTAGGATTGATTCCAGTAAGCTTCAAAGGCGACGAGGCATTTCCGTTGACGCCACCGTAGCACTCCCCTGGATGAGTGGTGGCTAAATAAACATTCGGTATTGGATACTCTGATGTGGTTGGGAATGGCAGTTTTGTATCTTGTTGTCGTTGTGTTACTGCACTTTTGATGAATTTGACGCCATTGTCCGTTAGGAATTGCAGGACATGCTGGAGGGACGCTTTGGAGCAGTCAAAACTGTCGTGGGGGAAGATTATGCGTTGGTCTTCGTCCACGTTGGTGTTGTGGATAAGATGTAGAATGAGTAATCCGAGCTGGAATAATACGCATATAAGTACATCATTCGTAAATTTTGAGAAACTATTTTTAACCTTCAAGGAGTGGCGGAACACAGGGCTGGGGGATCCGTTTACTACTTCCTTCCAACGCTTGATAACGTGGAAATCATCCACAGTCAGGTCGCATTTCTGCATGAAGGTTCGGGTGGCTCGTTCCATCCATTTGTTTCCAATGGGAGGATCTGACTGGGGTACAGGGCTTGGCAATGTCAGACACGCAAAGAAATTATTCATGACATTACATACAACAGCGGAATGGTTCCAATCATTATGATGGTGGTCGGTACAGGACTTGTCATTGAGGTGGAAAAACCAACAGTTGTTGCGCCGACATTTCACCGGATTGTGTTTCGAACCTAACCCTTCTCTGAATCGCAACCCTTCCCTATTGAAGTAGACTTCTAATTTTCGGATACCGATTCTGACGACGATTGCTGCTGGTTTCATTGCTCGATGTCCCAAGGTCAAATCCGTATTTTCCCGCCTGAATCGCCGGTAGTGTTGGGAATCTTCAAAAATCTCTCTGGGTCCACTATAGTTGGTGTACATCATGATCATTTGAAAAACTGCTTCATCATCTGACCCTGAGAGTGGTGGTCGCCATAAGTCGAGTTGTTGTGGAGGTTCCGGATGAGGAACTAAAAGATTCCATTTGAATCGAGGACTCCAGGCGGGGTCGTCTATGATGAGTTGAAGATCTGGAGGCCATTGTGACGGAACATGAGGTGCTGGTGGTTGGCTGAAAGAAGTGGGTGGTGGTGACGGTGCAGGAACTAGTGGCCTAACCCGACCTAGATTTGCAAGAAATTTTCATTTTCATTTCATCCCAAGTTCAATTTTACGATATGCATACCAAGCTCATGACACTCGACGAAACTGCTCTCATCTTCGTCGTTGGATGCCATCAGCTTAAAAAAGGGTGAGTTGGGGATGAACCCTGGGGGGAAGCTGTACTCCATCGTGCAATTCCCATACGTCACAAACAGTCTTCTAGGTCGTGGTGGGGGAGGTGGTGGGGTGCATGCATCCTCTATGTCGCTAAACACGGCCTCGGCTCCAATGGGGATGTCATCATCGTGATCCACTTCTCTCACGCCCCGAACGTTTTCGGGATAGTTATGGTGGCCGTAGTTGGGGTCATTTGCCACCCTTTCCCTCCTGTTGATATCATCCTCCTCCTCCGTAGAGTGGTGGACGGAAGGAGGGGAGACCTACAATACATACATATATTTTACATAGCTGCCGTTGAAATGCATACATACATACATATTCAAATTGTGTGAATGGATAATGGATGTATAATTTTTGAAATGAATCATGTATTTACCTGGCCCGAGGCGACTGGTGGCGCCAGGCGACCCCGGTGGAAGCTTCCAGTACTGGGTGTGGTTGGTGTCTGAGGGATAAATTCCGGGTCATCATCATCATCCATGCAGTCCATCCGCCGTTGGTCGGTGTCAGGGTCACAATCCGAGTCGTCATCATCATTCACATGGCACTTAGAATGGTCGGAGTCAGAGGTGGGCTCATCCTCTTCCTTTTGATCCTTATGGTGGTCGGGGTCAGAGGTGGAATCATCGGAGTCTTCAGTGTAGGTCACTTTTCTACGCTTCCGTAAATCCATCTTTGCAGTCTTTAAAAAGACTCGAACAAAGATTGCAACTTTGATGGTCAAGTTGAAGGAGTTGGTGATGGAAATTTGGGAACTTTGTGTGAGTCTTAGGAGAGGAAGAAAACGTTGGTGGGGTGCCGACAGTGCGAACAATCCCAAGAAAATGATACCTGCTTCTTCTTTATATACCCTTGACCCACGCTACATAAATGCTTTGATATTATCTTATCCAACAAAATAAAGATAGGCTTCAGTAATGCATGATAAGATGGATAACAAAAGAAACAATGCCGTAAAAGTAAGGCACATTCTTCAGTTGTCAAACTTGAAGCATTTTCACGGAGCAGAAGAAACCATTCGTTGGGTCCACGTTCGCACAACCTACGAACGTGTTGGTTCGTGCATGTGAGTGGAGCAATGCAAACATGATTTGTCTTGTTCATTTCCATCCATAATTACTTCCTGGGGGAGAAACAAGCTCCATCCACCGCACCATGTCTCACAATGTTGAGCTTATGGCCCGTTTTTTTTCTTTGAGTTGAAATTTCTCAGCAGAAAAATGGAATTTGATGAGATGTTTGATTGCATATGAAAGATTATTAGTTGCACCACAATTGCTAGGGTAGTTCTGGTCAATTTTTTGTTTGCTTATGCAAGATAACCATGTGGATAAGTACATCAAATTACAAGATGATTTCCGAGCTTCTTATTTCGTCGACAAACACGACACTGAGTCTCAAAATGAGACTGCCGAGAGTTTTCATTGTGTATATGGGTGACGAATTAAAACCGAAGGCAGGAGACCTCTGCTGTCTGCTTTATTGCCACAGTTCTCTTGACCCCGCAGTATGCATTTAGCATCGGGAGCGATAATCCTTAAACTGACCCCACATCTCTGCACTATCTTCGGATAACTCTTAGGGCTATGATGGGGTCGACCTGGCAGAGTGTGGTTTAATCAAGTATCACAAATACCTTCGCTAAGAAGTTGATAATAATTATATTCTCGTGTTATATGATGCTCCTTATTCGGTTGCATTTGAATTGAATTAATTATTTATTTATTAATTAATATAACAATAATTTTTAAATCAGTTTCAAGAGATTATAAATAAAACGAGTTACTTGAATACAAAAGTGTCAACATGTTTTTATTATCATGCATAATACACACAGCTTGTATACAACGATATATAAATCACAGAATTGATAATAAGGAATTAATTACCTCCTCGCAAAAGACGCTTTATGGATGACAATCGTCAAAACCCAAAACAGTGAAATTCGGATAAATTCTGACACAAATCCAGGATAAACATTTGCATGTGTGAAGCCCCATCCACGGCTGATAATTGAGCGGACAGACTCACTCGGAAGGGTTGCAGGAAAAAAGAATATTGCAAAGTATTGCATCAAAGGTGGTCCGGCTTGGATGGGCCACAAAGTTCCTACAAATTTTTGAAAAATATGCTGTAAGTATATGCTAATGCATATTTTCAAATTAAATACTTACCAGATACAATGAAATTGGCCAGAAAATATCCGATTCCCAAGATCACAGCTTCAAGCTCCCCATTACAAAACGCAGCAACAAGAAATCCTGAAAGATAATCAAATATATAAACTAAATAAATACATAGTCAAACAGAATTGGGTTATCCTGAAAAGTTTACAAAATCTATAGTACGTAAAAGCTTTGAACGAGTAGTTAGCGCCGCACAAAAGTATCCACATTTATATATTATATTATATTTCTTTGTGTAACAAGGCAATGTCTTACCCATTGATACGCCATCAAGACCCATAAGAACAGACATAGACAACCTAGTAGCAAATGAAAACGTCGTGTGAATGAAAGATTTACACATAAATTAATTAGATAATGGCACAAACATCAGATGCATGAAAATTAGGTCAAAACTTGGTAAGTACAAACCCAAGAGGAACTGATCCGGTGACATTGATCCCAAAGTACCAGGTTGTAAGAAAGAAAGTTGAGAATGATTGCACCAACAGCACAACCGTTTGAGTGAGCAAGAATGATATCATCAACTCAAAAATGGAGGCTCCAGCCACCTGAGTTCTCGAAAGTGTCCCCTGTTTCTTCTCCAAAATGACAGCCAATGCTCCAGAGCAGTAAGGAAAGAAGAACAGAACGCTAGAATCATCAAATAGCTAATTGTATGAAAAATAGCTCCATGCACGTGTTTGTGATTAATTATCTACCCTAGCAAAATCCCAGGTGCCACAAATTCTTTCATGTCCGTGTTCAATGCTCCATGAGTGGGAGGGAGGATCTAATTTCATTTAAATATAATAAATTAGAGCAAATATCACAACAATATGCATCAGGCCAATTTGTCCATTTATGTATTTAATACCTTTACTGGTAGTTCTCCAAATTCTGGGTTCAGCCCACAATCGCTGAGTAAACCTCTGATGAAAGTCTTGTATGCTTCATAAAGCGTATTCAAAATGACGGCCGCCACTGGTCTATCTGAATACACATTTTATTAGTCATCAATTTGACGACGACGACGTTTGGGTCTTGTAATTACGTGAAGGGAAAGAATAAGTAATCCATTTCTTATTCTTACTTGTTGCATCAATTTTTACTTTCATATTGGAAAGGTCCAAGGAATTGTTTGCCGTGTTTAATCCTTCCGTCGCACGTTCAAACAAACTGTCCGAATACCCGTTTGGAAACGAAACAAATCCCCAAATTTGGCCTTCGTCAACTCCAATAATGGCGGCTTCATCGGTGGGATATTGTTTCTACACAAGGTGTACCCAATTAAAATGCTGAAGGGGTGAAACTTAAAACAATGAAAATTCTCACTAATGTAAAGGTATGGCCTTTTGACAAACTGTGCAGTAATCGACAACTTAAATTTGCCAAGATACAGGTTTCATATTCAAAGGACTCTGGTGCACAAGGAGTACTACTATTCAGTTCATAGTTTACATATCCAAAATTTAAGTGTGAGGGGTCTCCACCCATGGCGCTACGAAAACAAAATGGCACTGCTGTACTAATTACATACACTTCTGCATGTGGCAATCATGTTTTATAAGTACCTGTTGACAAGACAGACATCAATTGCTGGGTTCAATAAAATAAGAAGAATGAGCCTGAAATCGAAATAAAATCAGCACTAGTTAACAAGGTCATTACCAAATATTTATCAATATTTTGCTTCTTTACCAAAAGTTCCTGACCATTAGTAGAGCATTTTTTATGGTTAACGCTTTAATTTTTGCCAGTGAGGTTTTTGAAAATAAACGATTGTCATATTCACAATGATAATTGTCTGAAGAATTTGCCTCTATTTCTTTCTGTATACAAGTTTCTGAAAGTTGAGACGAGAATGAACAAAATTGTAGAAATGCAATCATGCAAATATAAATATGCAAATATCAACTACCTGTGTCTGGGGTTATAGGGTCATGGCGCACATAACTTTCCTCAAACCTATTGTTTTTGCAGAGTTTTAAAACAATGTCATTCAATGATTGTGCGTTGTGATCCACCAACAACTTTTGCGGATTGTCTTCAGTCAATAATCTCCCATTGCGCATTAAACCAACCTGCATATTAGTATAAAATTATATAATAACATGTAATTAAACCTTGATAACAATTAAATAAATCTTGTTTATTATATTTAATGTGAGTACCGTTGCTGATCTTGAGGCTTCTTCGATATAGTGCGTTGTAACTATTGAACCAAAAATTACATAATTAATTTGCGGTACACGGGTATTTATGCACATGGTATAAAAGTTATGTTACTTATAACAGTTGTCCCCTTCGTTGAAACGAGGTTTGTCAAGTGTTCCCAAATGCTAGACAATTTATGCAGATTCATGGAATTGTAAACATAGTTTATAAGATCAGAAAAATGTAAATATTTTTTAAATAGCTGCACCTCTCTCTGAGTAATGGATCTACCCCTACGGTTGGTTCACTGAAATAAATGTAAAAACATAAATTAAATTTAACTTGAAATTTTAATTAACCCTAAAAATTAAAATTAAAAATAAACTTACTCCAAGATTAGCAGCTCAGGATCATGTACCATGGTCAAAGCTATAGAAAATTACAATTTATACTCATTTTTAGTCATGTCCTATGAATAATTTGATCATGTGTCTGGAAGATAATTTACTAACCCAAACTCACTCTTCTCTTTTGTCCACAACTAAATATTTGACACCAAAAACATGGTTTTAATTCCATCAAATACATGCTGTAGATACAGTACCTGAGACAGTCAATTCTACGTTGCTGATCTGGTAAATCCAGCAGCTTGACAAGAAACTCTAGTCTGGAGTTTACTTCATATCTTGGCAGATTTGCCAGTGCCCCATAAAATGAAATGGTTTCGCCAATGGTCATGTTGTCATATAACGCTAGTTCCTATTAATACATATCAATTGAACGACACATTACCACAAAAGAACTCAAACTGATATCAGAAAGTAATATGCATGGAAAATTTCATACCTGTGGCATATAGCCCACTCTACTTCCTGGCACCCCGCACCCTTGGCTGCCTGGCTTCCTCCCAAATACCATAATTACCCCACTATTCAACTTCCTCAGTCCGACAATGCACTAAAATGATATAATATAATCAATTTTCATAGATCCGTTATTAATATAATAGTTTTAAGATCCATACCGAAAGCACTGTGGTCTTGCCACATCCGGAAGATCCGAGGAGGCCGTAACTAAAAAAATATTAATTCTCACTTGTATGCAGCTCTGTTCTTGACAAAACAGAAAAAGGCGTGGCTTACATTGTGCCTTTAGGAACTGTCATGTTGAAGTTTTTGAGAACGCTCGTGCAAGCGTTTCCAGTTCCGTAGTACTTGATCGCATTCCTCACAACCAAGGCAGCGTTCCTGGACGTGGATGACAGGGACGACGACAACGACGAAGAATTGATGCAAGCCACGTCCGGATGTGGGAGAAAATCGTTCTTGTTGTAATCTTTCAGTTTTCCAGACTCCAAACCTCCTCCGCCCATTCCCTCAATATTCGGCTGAGCGAAACTCTGCTCTTCGAACCCTTTGGGGGTGTAACTGAGCGTGGTGAGCTGCAAATTTCTAGCAGCCGTCTCATTCGTGAGACGCCAAGTGGAGGACCCCACCATTGCTTTTTGAATCAATTGCCCAGCACAATCAGTGATTGATATCTGTTATCCACTGCAAATTATTAAACTCTGATCACAACAATTTATTTTGAATTATTTAAAACTTTGAAAATTGTCTATTCTTGACAAAAATAAGGTTCTTGACTTCAGCGTTGAAAAAATAATATGCATGTAAAAGTGAAAATGTAAGTGTTTCTGGATCTGCTTCCTGGGATATATCAAAGGGGTCCTTTCGTCCTAATGAAGTGACAAGGTGAGACTGAGCAGGTTAGACTAAAATGACCTACTTCCTGCAAAAAGGTTACAATGGCATGGAAAGGAAAACATAGAAAGCTTTGAACCCTCCATGCATAAATAAGTATATGCAGAGAATATAAATGTAGTATCTTTAGATCTGTGTCGATATATGTAAATAAGTATGCGCAAGAGAAGGAGTGCCCACCATCTGGTTAATATTAAGCTTTGTAATGAAGGTCAAATCCAAGAAAATAAATTCAGAGATCACCTTTGTGAATCTTATCAACCTCCCACAGTGGTTCCGGAATATATCAATCAACTTGGTTCATTTCTCACAAGAAAAACGTGCATATTATATGTAAAGAAAAATACGCGTATCACAAAGCTAACAAATAGATATATGTATATATAGCACGACGAAAAATCTTCATCTAAAACGTGTTAAATATGTTCTATAAATAATTTCCACGAGACCATCATTATTTCACAATTGAATTTTCTTAATTTGTGTACATCTTATGATAATTATTTGTGTATGCAATTCTATCTCCAGTTGATGTTGGAAAAGCAAAATGTGTTAATAAATTATGCGAATAATAAATTATTCCACCAAGAACGTAATGGACATCAAGATAATTTGCTGAATCTATATATTCTATACATCATTATTTGTTATTGTACATGGTTATTTTTATGCCAAGAAGGACTTTTATTCATGGCCATGGGTGCATTCATGGCAGGAGCATCACTTTACTAACCCGGAAAGCACCGATTATGAGATAATTTCAAGACCTATATTTGTGTTTGGTCAGTAGCGAAGGCCAAGGGTTTTCAGTAAACAAATAATAATGGGAATAATCCTGCAAGCCTGACCTCGTCACAGACTTCAGCATTATTAACACTAGATCCCAACGACCTAAATATAACTCAAGGTCGAACTGAAGGACGCCACTTATTCGTTTTTAATATCACCTGAAAAGCAGTTCAAATGTTTATCCATGAATGAATGATCTATTTAAAGAAAGCCAGCACCTAGTTGCATGAAACTTGGATGTACATACTAGTAGTCATTTCTTTATTTAAAACCGTTTAGAAAATAGAATATATTTCCAATTCAGTCATTTAATTCAAGCTCCTCCTCCTCGTCGTCATCTTCCTCCTCCTCTTGGTCTTCATCTTTCCACTCTTCGTTCTTATCTTTGTCAACTCCTTCTTCCGCTTCGTCTTCATCGTGCTTATCTTGGTCGACTTCTTCTTCCGCTTCGTCTTTCCACTCTACGTCCTTATCTTGGTCGACTTCTTCCTCCTCTTCGTCTTTATCGTCCCACTCTTTGTCCTTATCTTGGTCGACTTCTTCCTCCTCTTCGTCTTCATCTTTCCACTCTTCGTCCTTATCTTGGTCGACTTCATCCTCCTCTTCGTCGTCATCTTCCTCCTCTTCATCTTCCCCTTCTTCGTCTTCATCTTCATCTTCCTCCTCTTCGTCCTTATCTTGGTCGACTACTTCATCCTCTTCATCTTCATCATGGCCTTCTTGTTCCAAGTCAATAACGTTGACCTGTTCTTCATCGTGTTCTGCTGCTACTGCTGCTGCATTATTGCTAGAAGAATGGCTGGTCTTGGAGGTGCCTTCCGTCTGTTCAGATTCATTATACCAGTTGTCACCTGGTAAAATAATCCCAGGAAATCTAATATCTGGTGGGACCGAAAAGTTTCCATGTTGCAAATAAAATTCAGCATAAAGAGAATTTAGCAATTTTCTAGGAACTGGAAAGTTTGGATCAACCATTTGTTTAAGAATGGAATTAAGGAATATCTTTTCTTCCTTTGCCAGTTTTGCATCCGGTTTTTTTGAGAGGTCTGTTTCTTCCTTGTCCATGTCAACGTTGGGTTGCCACCGGATCGTCTGTTGACATTCAGACGGTAGCATTTTTTCAAGGAAATACATAAGGTCCACTCTCTACAGATGGGTAGTAATTAAGTATTAGTTATTATTAATGGTTATTAATATATGTAGATCTCATTCTATAGTCGTATGTAGTAAATACTTCAGGTAAATCAACCAATTCTTCGTCGTCTTCTGGTACATCAAAATCTTTCATCTCTTCGTTATCAAATTCTCCCAGCTCTTCGATCATCTGAACACCTTCTCCACTATTATCCTCTTGTTCTTCCTCAAATGGTTCAACGTTTGAATTGCGCTGTTCTTGCATAAGTGATTTTCTAGCGTCCTGCTGATCGTCATCTTTGTCACCCACATCTTCCTCCTCAACGTTTTCAGCTTCGAGTTCGTCTTGTTCTTGTTCGTCCTCCTCTTCATCGTCTAGTTCGTCGCCATCATCATCGGATAGAGTGGAACTAGAGCCTGAAGAAAATGACTCGAACTCGCTTTCTTCCTCCTCATCCTTCTTGATCGCACCAGTTATAGATGATGTCGAGCTGGAGCCACTTGATTGTACTTCTGTCAGCACTGTGTGGCATTTTACATCCCCAAATTCTCCTGGCACTCTGACATCATACATGGCGTCAAAGAAAATGGGGAAATTATTTGATGAGATTTTTTCACCTGTGTATCACAAAAGAGGTACAATTATTATTATCCAATGTATGTAGACAATCGTCACAATGCTAGCAAAATTTATTACGTAAAATATTATAGATAATCATACCCTCAGTTGTAAGATACTTGACAAAATCGTGTTTGCAAATATAAGGTTGATCCTGTTCACCTTCGAACCCCAAAGTCTTGAAAGCTTCGTCAACGTCTTCGTCAGTTGTTCTATAAAAGTGGTTGACAAAAAGTTTTACAAATTCATCAAAAGAAAATTCAGTTGCAAAGTCATCCGTGTATGTTTGTGATGCTAGTTTAATCCGTCTCGCTTCATCCATCATTAGTCCAACCTATAAATATAAATATATATTTTTAAATAATTTAAATTAGTACACAAACGGGTATAAAACTATTAGAACCTCATATTCTGACGGAAAGAATCCACAAGCTCTACACACGGCAGAAATTTCACAAAGTCTGATATTTCTGTTCATTCTATACAGCTCGGTCTGCTTGTCGATACGTTTTACATTGAGGAAAAAGAAAATCATCTGCAAGTAACGTAAAGAAATATAATGTTACTTATTAGATTCTAATTATTTGGGCATCTTCCATCATTTTTTCTGAATCGCATTATCTGACTTAATTCATAGTCAAAATATTAAAATATTATGTGCGCACGTCCAAATCCTTGATAACGTCTTGACAGGCTCCACCCCAGTGTCGTTTGATGGTGTGATAAAAAGGCGTAATTCCTGAGCCACCCATGAGAACTGTCGCTTCAACTGCTTTTGGCGACGCAGAAAAAACAAACGCAGCGTTGTCATCCTTTCCAATCGTAAAGATTCGCTCTCGATCTGGCAGAACAGCAACATCGACGATATCTCGAGGATGGGTGTAAACAGCCATGTATTTATGAGGATTTCCGTCTAATGGGGTATCCATTAACCCAAGTTTGTTCTTGACAATATACACGATGAATGTTTTAAACCGTTCTTCAGTAAGTTGAATTGGAAATGCTATCATTCTTTTGATTCCTTTATCCCTTCCGAAAACGGGCGCTGACACTTTCAGATTAATAATAATAATAGAATAAGATTAATAATAGAATCAGACTGTTTTCCTTGGAAGATGAGAAAGTGAGGAAAATTAATAGTCATTACTTTATAATTAATGACTATATATTAAACAACGCTTGAATATTCTCCACGTCCCTTTCTTCTTCTCTCTCCAACTCCTCCTCCTCCTCGTCTTTCACTTCATCCTCTCCATCTTTTGGTAATTCTAATTTTGTTACGTTATCAATGTGGGCAAGTCCACGAAACCAAAAGTCTTCCACACCCAAACTATCGAGAACCTTTTCCGACAGGAAGTGCTCACTTTCACACCCTAAAATTTACAGATCGGTCCTCTGTTTCGGAACGCGGTCAGATTGGTCAACTGCTTTTCCTCGTCGTTTGATAGATCGGCTAAAGGGTCTTTTGATGAATTAATCCACCCAGGAACAAACTTCAGACCCTCAGGTTGATTCGCAGCCCCTCTTCTCATCCACAGATAAGACTGGAGTGAGCTTTCTCTTCTAGCGGCTTGACTTTCACTGTCACAACTGATGGTGTACACGGTAAAACAGGCGTGAGAGTTGTCTAATAACTTTTTTCCGATGCACGAAAATTGAGACAAAATTGCGTGAGTGTGATAACGACTTGCTCTGGGCCTATTGCATTTTCCTATGTATAAAAATAATTCCCTCCACTTTCCCCTCGCGTCTTTCTCCTTGTCAATTTTCGCAATATATTCTGTTATCGAGAAATTCTCTGTGATATCTTCAATTGGGATGCACAGCACAAAGTACACGAACCACTTTCGAGGTAGTAATCTGGCAGCACGAATAATGTTTATGTCACTTTTAACTTGCAATGCAGCAGGATTTTGCGAACTGATGGGGGACTGACTCTCTATGAACGTAAACTTAGCACCACACTTGAGCGAATCTGATAAATGCCTATCTAAATAATCCTTCCTTTTGAACGCAGCATCACACACGGTGCATTGGAAGGGTCGAGATTGAATTATGAATCACTTTATGTTTTTCTAAATTACTTTTGTAATTGAACGCAGCACCACAATTTGGGAAATCACAAATAAATTGTCTATCATTGTTATGGATCAATTTATGTTCTTGTAAATAATATTTGAGATTGAACGCAGCAGCACACTTAGGGAAATCACAAATAAATTCTCTATCATTATTATGGCTCCGTTTATGTTTATGTAAGTCGTCTGCGGTTCTAAATAACTTTTCACACCCCCCAAAATCACAAACAAATGTCTTTTCGCTATGTACTTTTATAGTGTGGGCGTTAAGTTGCCATTGTTTATCAAAACTACTCTCACACAATTGACACTTGAAAGCCTTATCAACTTTTATTTTTTTACTCGAAGACGCCATTCAACTAATTAAAATGATAACGACACTAGAGCAGACTGACCGATGCAAGTGACTGGCGAGAGAGAAAAGTTGGAAAGAGAAGCTGATTTCAGTGGATATGAATTGCGAGGGTTCATGGGGCAAAGTGAGATGTTATGAATAATAGTAATAAATAAGAAAATAACTAATAAATAATTTATCCAATAATTTTTCTTACCAGTTTTCCTGATTTTCTCATCTTCCAAGGAAAATAGTCTGATTTTATTCTATGAACAATTGTAGAATCACTTACAAGTATTACATACAAGTCAAATAGTTCAGAGTATCATAATTAAATTTCATTATCTTTCGGGCGAATTACTTACAATACTGTTTGCCAGAGTAATGCAGTCAATTCCTAGTTCATGTGGCCCTTCAAAAACCATTGCAGTTGGAGTTGCCGTTTGCTCCAAACATGTAATTTTGACAATGTATAGTCCAGTGTCTTCAGCACTTTAAAATTGAAAATGTATAATATGCATTGTATATTATACAATATATGTATGCATGGTTGATTTGTGCATCAATTCGCAGGTGTATTTAAAGGCATACATATTTTTGCATATATTTTGTTTATTTATGAATTTATACCTTCTATCAATATCGTACTCAATCAAGTGTCGATCCAAACTCATTGTGAAGAGACGATTGCATGTGCCTTCGGGTTCAACAAAAAACTGCAGAGAATAACATTACTGAATTATGTACCATAAATATGATAATTTAGTGGTCTCTCTCTCTCACCTGTAAGTCCACAATTGACATGAAATGAGCTTTACTTTTTCCTAGCACCATCCAGCCATGTCCTTTTGGAAGATATTTCATAACGACAACAGTTTGATTTTTATCCTTTAGAGCAGAAAACAGTTTTGTGTCATAATGTTTTCAACTTGGTTTGACATGAGAACGAAGACATTTAATTTCATAATAAATAAGAACGCTTAAATACATTGTACGCCATGTGCAGACCATCGACGCTGAAAACTATACGAACAATGGGATCAGGCGTAAGCACCATTGGGGGCTAAAAAGTGTCAATTGCATAAAATTATATTATGGATTAATATGGACAGGACAGAAATATTACTCTTCTACTCATATTGTGCTTATAATAAATACCATTGATGTCTTCCAGGTATAATTCCATCGAAAGCTTATTCTTCCATCATAAAGCCCGAATGCGCAAATTTGCCCTGCATGAAAATATTCAAAACAGTTCAGTCGATAATAATAAGTATAATTATTGCATGAATAATCATATGTATATAAATACGTATATTAATATTCGCTATTCGAGTAATAGAACAAGTTTTACCAAAAGGATGAAATTTCATAGTTGTAATACGACTATTCGCCGCAAAAACTCTGTCGCTGAATATTAGCTGATGAGTGATGTAATGGTACACTTGAACATCTCCTTTTGCAGTTGTAAATGCGACGTGGTTCCTAAATTGACAAAATACACAGTTGGATTTGTTATACTATTATTATAAAAGTGAATTTAAATATTTTAATTTTGGTAAGAATCATACGAGCCTGGACAGGCATCACATGCAATAAATGAGCCTGGCGACCCACGAACAAGACGGTCTTGTTGTTCTATGCAAGAATGTAAATGTTACGAAAGGGCGACATTTTTAGTCCGAATTTAGTGTGCAATAAACAAACCTTCATTAAAGTGGTAGTAATAAACATCCCCACCGGCCACACCTATGAATTTCAGCCGACATTTTACACAATCTCTACATTACTACTTACTGGTAGTAAATACATATTTCTTGTTAATTTGATTTATGATTACCAATTACAAAATCGGGACATGGCATTGGTGGTCGAGGTAGTGTCGTTTTGGAAGCTTGTTTGAACTTAGAACCTCCCCGTGTGTAATCCTTTGCTCGGCTATTTTTATTTGTTGTTGGGTAGTTGATGTCTCCGGTATTAAATTTTTGACCTATATTTGTGAAAAAATGTAAGCTGAAGAAAGATCTACTTACAATAACAACGATCTGCATAAAACAAAAAATACCAGGACGAACTACATCTTACGAAATTGTTTTTTAAACTCTGGAACATCTTCACTTCGATTGAATGAAATGCTATAAATTGCAGGTAAATTGAAATTCCGACACCACCGCAGCAACTTGAATTCATGATCAAAGAATCGAACAATTCCAACTTCATCTCCAACAACGACGTACCTTATCGCATTGTACAATAATGTCTCATTAAGGAAATTGTAATACAAATGCATCAAAAATCAACGGCAACAGTTCAATAATAACCAAGGACATCTCACTCTTTGTAAATTTGAAATACAGTAATCCCATCTTCACATAGTTTAAAGGAACGCTGATATTCTTTAATATTTTTGATGGGATCTGGGGGATCCTCTAGCGCCAGGATAACAGGAGGTCCCCAGATTACGACGTACCCTATGTCAAATCAAGTCAATAATTGAAAGTTTACTTACAAATAAACCCATTGATGGTCTAATGATAAATTAGCATGTGTTTAGCACTAGTATTAAACCTGCTCCAGTTGCGGTTGCTAGCCACTCCCCCTTCTTCATCCATATAGACGAGGAAAAACGCTTGTATTTCAAGATGAACGACGTTCGAAGTCGTGCTTTGTGTAAGAATACTGATTCACTTTTCCTATCTCGTCGCTGTTAACGTTATACGGATAAAGAAGAGTTGATGGGACCCACCAAATTAAACTATAAAGTCATTCGTAAATATATATATATACAGATAATATACCCATGTTCCAAAGATAACATTTCTGTCCCCGGTTGCGGCAAAAAATTCTGGCTTCCCATCCAGAAATGTGAGTTCTCGGATGACACTGGTGGTCTTGGGGAATGTCTCTGTAACTGGTGAAAAACATGAAATGATAAAGTTTTACAGATTCTAAATTGAATTAAATTTGAATTAAGCTGAATATTTTGTACATATTGGAATTTTCTCAGGGTCCTTTGGTTCATAGTCCCAAAAACTTATCGTCTGCTTTCCCACTTCGTCTGTACCGACAGAAGAAATTGAAGCAAAGATAAAGTCCATTCCAGTAAAACATGCGAAAAGGCAGCCATTTCCATCATGAGAATTTGGGAAATACTTTAATGGTTTGCTAGAATACGTGAAATTTGAGACGCCGTTACGGTTTTGTTACTTAAGGGCGATTCATTCAGTTAATGATTAGATATTCTTAATTTTATGTGACCGACATTTCATTGTTCGTCCATTCCCATACAATTATTAAACTCCGCTTCCCAGCATCTGCAGACACAATAAAGCGTCCTTTGGTTTCCATTTGAAGACATGTAATGGTGTTGCGCTGCACAAACATCATAATAATTTGAGACTTGGTTTGCTTTTACTTTATACAAAATTGCAAGATGCAAGTCCAAAAGTCTTACGTGTCCTTGTAAACATTTCTGAGTGTTATCTATATAGTCGTAGAGTATCACTATATTGGAACTTGCGTACACAATCCCAGTAAAGATCCCAGTAAAGTTTAGAACCGGAACGTTGTCCAGCCTTCCGTAGACTCTTTTTAGGCTCTGTTCGCATACATATGTAGAAGTAACAAAATTTTAAATTCAACCTATTTTAAAATGGCACTCAAGTTAAATTATCAAGCTGTGAACTTACGAAGGGTGCCAGAGATTCAACTGCGTGCAATCCGGATGCGAGGAACTCTTCATTTTCAATTGCTCTCGCCTTTGAATACTCTTCAGCGGTCAGTGCAGAAGCCTTTTTCCCCACACAATGTTTCGCCGCTTCGTCTTCAGGAGCAGGGCCAGTCTCGTTACTCTTGATAGTGCCAAGACTGGAGGAATCAACTTCAACTTCCACCTCAGTAGGTTGCGTCGCTTTGTAAAGTGCTAAATTTGCATATCCAGCGGATTCAAGTATCGACGAATCCTCCAAATTCTCCAACTCCATGTTTGTAATGTCTTATCCGAACCGAATTACTTTGTAACTGCTCAGTAAGTCTGCATGTAAGATGCAAAGTTAATAGGCATGCAAATTGTTACAAATAAATAATGCTCAACTCCAATATGAATAGACTTACTACAACAACTCGGATTTATTTATATTTATATTCCAATAAATGTTTGATCAATAAATTCTCTTCACTTGCTATCATATAATTTGTTTCTATCGTGCGTAATATGCCTGTTGGAGACTCGCTCGTTCTGCATTCAATAACACTACTACGCCACTACTACTGATCACACTATTGATGATTAATGATGACTAAATATGTATAGGACGGGTTACTTGAAAACTTTGTTCGAAATCAGAAAAATAAATTGACACTACTAACGAGTTGACAAATTAGTTGAAAGAAACGCAGAGTGGAAGTAGACTCGTTTTTCCTGAACTACCAAAATTAGAATTCTCAAATCTCAAGACTGGCTGATGAATTTGCAATTGCATATTAGCAAGATTATTTGACACTTTATCAATCTATAAGGTTACGACAAATGGCCGAGTTACAAAATAAATTTTCAATTTTAGAAAACTAAAAATTGTTGAAAATATGCCATTGGTTACAGTTTTGGAAATGTAATTTTGTAACCGTCATGTCCGTCATGTCCGTCCGATCATTTTACGATAACTTTCGTTAAACTCGGCCTAGCGACTTTAAATTTGGTATACATGTAGTATGTGACAAATGAGGAGTTAAGTTTGAAGATGGGCGAAATCAATTAAGTGGTTGACCTGTGGTGGTCATCTGGGTGGGTGGAGTATTTCAAAATCCTCGTTGAAAGCTGTAAACTGGCATTGAGATTGCTAATGGTGTCTAATTGAAGAATATGAATTTAAATTGGGAAAATTTCCGACTGGAGGGACCCGATACCATACCGATTTTTGAAAATTATCCATCGAGCTGAAATTAGTGCAGAGATTGCTAATGGCCCCTGATGAAAGAATATGAATTGAAATTGGTACCATTTTTATGTGGAGGGACCTTTAAGGGGGTGACCCATATCGATTTTCAAAAATTGTATTAAAAAGATGAAATTAGACACTCGTAGAAGACTGAAATTTGGCACGACCCCGTGGGGGTAGACCAGATTGAAAAATATGAACTAAATATTAAGATTTTTTCCACAGAGATTTAACAAGGTGACCCACGCTGCTTTTTATATTGGTAGAATAAAAATAAAATTCGGTATCATGGGTAAGGGCACATCAGACTAAAGAATATGAATAATGTTCATATTCATCGAATATGAATATTTTTGTGGGCCCAGCCCAGAAGACTGAGACCCGTACTGGTTTTAAAATTGGTCAAGGAGCTGAAATTTTGCATGCTGGATTGTGGGAACATTTTTGCCGATTACGAATAGTAGTTGGTGCAGGTCGTCTGACTAAAGTTTAGAAGCTGACACTGACCCTGACTCGGGCTAAACAAACGCTGCACACTGGGATTTCAAATTTAATTTTCGAAATAGTACCCTCGAGATTTTGATCTTAAAAAATCAAGCTAAAAATTACGATGATTTCATCTTAACGAATTAAATCTCTATGTCTGCCCATTCAAAAGTTATTAAAGGTCAAAGTCGTTGGTACACACGACCATGGGACGTGTACCAACGATTTAAAAAATAATTATTTTATTTGTAACTCCACCATTTGTCGCAACCGTTAAAAGACACAAGAGTTACCTAGATACTAAATGTCAAGCAATCGTGGCATATTAGAGATCATATGTATCGTGTCGTGGCAACAGAAATATTTGCAAATTGAGTTATTTGACACTTTTGAGATTCAATAATACCAATAAGTACTACATAATTTATATTTGTGACAAGAATTGGTTTTGTGATCGCTGGCATATACTTTTGTAGTTTTTGTTTTAAACAGATGGGGTAAGAGATGGAGAAATAGAGTCTTCTTTGTCAAGAGTGAGAGCAAAACCAGCATTTCGAACAATTCGGTTGTGAAGTTTCTGCATCACCAAAACAGCAGTTGGGACGACTATAAATAAATGTATAATATTAGATTAGATTAATACAATTTTAGCCAAAGCCATACAAAGTAAAATTGTAAATTATAATTTCCTTACGAGGAGTCATTATTGCAACTGCAACAGGAAGAACAGTTGTGAGATCTGAAAATTTTATTTTCATAAGCCTTAATTTTGCCGTTTGCACCAAGATTCCTAAACTTTTTAGCTTGTTTCCGTGGAGGAAATGTATTAGGATTATGTAATCATTACATAATCCTAATACATTTCCTCCACGGAAACAAGCTAAAAAGTTTAGGAATCTTGCGTTTGCACCCAAGATTCCTAGACTTTTTAGTTTGTTTCCATGGAGTGAATGTATCAGAATTAGTTTATCAAGGTTTATGTTAATAAAAGTTAATCTCTTCTTTGCGTAAAAAAAATCAGAATTATGTAATGATAATTCTTACATTATTACATCATTACATAATTCTGATACATTCACTCCATGGAAACAAACTAAAAAGTCTAGGAATCTTGGTTTGCACCCATTTGTCTAAATTTTAAAAAACTACCTGCTTCAGGTTGGGGAAGAGAAAAGCGTAAGGCGAAAATCGATAATCCCGTGTTCTGTACACCTGTCTCAATTGCAATTGCAATCACATCCCCCCATTCACGACGTAATATGACAGCCAATCCTCCTCCTACGAGGTATCTGCGTGAAACAAAATATTTTGTTTCAGAATTTAAAAAACAGATTTCACCCGTATTAAGACAATAAGTTAAAAGGCTTAGTTTTATTACCCGAGCCAAGGAAGTAGCATTCCACAGAGAATAATCTAAAAGAAAAATGTGACTCATGTTTAACTGCATCATCATAAATCACTTAGAACAGCGAATGATATGAATCATTTGGAGAACAAAAGAATACCTCCCAAGTAAGTAGTTGCAACAAGAACAAATTGGTGTAGACTGCGAAAACGACAATAAATACTATGAGAAACAGGGCGAATGGTTTTAAAACCCGAACAAGGAATTTTGCCACTTTCGGCCACTTGAACTGAATGCCGACCCCAATAGCTAGAGGAATCACGAGGCAACCGGCAAATGTGGCAATTTTGGAGTAAGGGACGGTCAAATTCGCATCTTTAAAAATTGTAGATCCGAGAGTAAGCATCCACAGGGGCATCATTACTACAAAATCATAGATAACTTGCAGAAATATACGAGACGAGTTTGTAATATAAAATTAATTAACCACTCACTAAAGGCAGATAATGTAGATATAGTTGTCATTGTGATGGAAAGGTCCAAGTTTCCACCTAATGTCAACGTCCATATGTTTGATGCACCCCCACCAGGAGAACATCCCGTTATGAACAAGCCAAGTTGCAAAGCTGCTACCGAGATGAAAAGTTTAGCAATTCCAAAGGATAGCTAAGAGAAATTATTAATGCAATGTATTGATCACTCCTATTACAAATCTAGACTGTTTACAATTTTAAACCAATCTTACCAAGGGCATTACAATAAACTGACACATGAATCCAATCGCAGGTCCATATGGCTTTTGAATTGTCTCCTTCATTGTTCGCATGTCCAACGCTGCTCCCATATTGACGTAAATTACTGTCACAAGCGCGGCCACGCTGTAAGTGAAAGCCTTATCGAGAACTCTAGACTCTCGTACAACCGAGACCGGCATGCATTGGAATACTTTAGACGCATTTTTTGAAATCTGCGAGGTCGCACAGATTTCCGTATATCCGAGAAAATTTCCAGTGACATTGAAAGACACACGATCCAGTCCACTCCCGTCTTCAATGGGTACTGAATGGTCAAGCGGTATTTTCACCGGAGTTACGTATGCGATATAGGGATCACTGGCGTGAAACTCAAACTCCACGATGGGATCAAATCCTAGAAGCTTGGCTTGTCCTATTACTTCAGTCTTGTTGAATTTGAACTGTGTGCAACAACCAAGAAAGAAATAAATATATTTTACAAAAAGTGTGTCTTTTATTTATCTTTGAACTTACATCGACAACCTGACTGGCCCCCATTTTGACCTGGTTGACACGTTCCGGTTCAAAGGAGACACCCCAGGAGGACATGGACTCTGCTGCGACACCGATTACGCCAAATGACGCAAACAAGAGTGGACCCAGCATTCCTAGGTAGAGAATGAAGATGTGAAATGGCCAAAGGGGACACATTTTTCCAGTCAGCTTCTAAAATAAATAATTGTAAATTTAAGACGCATGCTCCAGTTTCTTTTTAATGTATCTTAATGGTCCTAAAACCAAGGTTGGCAACACTTACTTTAGAAAATATATGAAAAAATACAGACACATTAAATGAAAGAATAAAACTTACTTTTCGGTTATTATCCAAGTATTTACCAAAGACAAATCTCGAGATCTACTGGGTGCCAGATGAGTTTACTGATTTTGAAAATACTGATAACATATTTTAATTCGCAATATTTGGCATTGCAATTGGCCTAGAAATAAGTCTAAAAATTTATGAAAGTTTGAGGAAATCAGATGTGCACCACCATCTTCTTCTCCTGTGAATGTTGTACCGCCCGCCATCTACCATCTACCCTATGCTACCGTACAGCATCTACTTTTTTATCATCTACCTTTTTTTCATCATCTACCTTTCTAAAAATCTCAAATTCCCCAAAAATGTTAAAGTGCCCTAAATCTCCGGCATTTATAAATCCACCCCCACAATTTTTATGGGGCAACGTGAGATACATTTTGGGGCAACTTGAGATTTTATTTCATATTGGGGTATCGTTCGTTTTTTAGCGAGCGAAGCGAGCAGGTTAGGTTAGATCTACTAGGTACGGGAAAAGTGTGAAATGTTTAGTTAGCCAACCTAACTAGCTAGGCTAGTTACAACCTAGCTAGCTAGGATAGATACAACCTAGGTAGCTGTGCTAGCTAGGTAGCTGTGCTAGGTAGCTGTGCTAGCTAGCTAGGCTAGGTAGCTGTGCTAGCTAGATAGGCTAGGTAGCTGTGCTAGCTAGCTGTGCTAGCTAGCTAGGCTAGGTAGCTGTGCTAGTTAGCTAGGCTAGGTAGCTGTGCTAGCTAGATAGGCTAGGTAGCTGTGCTAGGTAGCTGTGCTAGTTAGCTAGGCTAGGTAGCTGTGCTAGCTAGATAGGCTAGATAGCTGTGCTAGCTAGCTGTGCTAGCTAGCTAGGCTAGGTAGCTGTGCTAGCTAGATAGGCTAGGTAGCTGTGCTAGCTAGATAGGCTAGGTAGCTGTGCTAGCTAGATAGGCTAGGTAGCTGTGCTAGGTAGCTGTGCTAGCTAGCTAGGCTAGGTAGCTGTGCTAGTTAGCTAGGCTAGGTAGCTGTGCTAGGTAGCTCTGCTAGCTAGCTAGCTAGGTTAGCTAGCTAAGCAGTTCACACTTTTCCGGTACCTAGTAAATCTAACCTAACCTGCTCGCTTCGCTCGCTAAAAAACGAACGATACCCCAATATGAAATAAAATCTCACGTTGCCCCAAAATGTATCTCAAGTTGCCCCATAAAAATTGTGGGGGTGGATTTATAAATACCGGAGATTTGGGGCACTTTAACATTTTTAGGGAATTTGGGATTTTTAGAAAGGTAGATGCTGAAAAAAAGGTAGATGATAAAAAAGTAGATGATATACGGTAGCATAGGGTAGATGGTAGATGGTGGGCGGTACAACATCTCCTGTGAACCACCGCGGTAAAAAGCACAAAGTCTCATATTCCGTCCGTGAATGGACTTATTTTAGTTTGCGTTTTTGAATTGGTTGGTCAGGGTCACTCCCGACTTTTTGCAAATATAATGCATGATATATAGACCTTTTTATTATATATTATAGTTTAAGAAATATAAATTCGGGTCGAATTTAACTATAACCGAATGATTCGACTATAATATGCACATGGATAACATGATGCCTTCTTGACAAATAGCCTGTTAAACTTATTATGATTACGTTATCATCATGATAAGCATACAACATCATTATTTATATTCGAAACAAATTTGGTGTATTCAACTAATCTCCGTTTTCGTATATAATAAATATTAATGTTGATCAATATCAAATTTTATTTGTTACAAAAAAGTGTTGCAAAATTATACGACATGCAAGAATGTAATCTCCTCGGAATAACAAGTAACCTCACTATTGTTTATATGTCCGTCGTTAATAGTCGTTATATATCGTTCGCATCATTAATAGGATTTTACATTTGCTGGTTGATTTCTACAATATCGAATGCACACAATGCATATCACGCAAAAGTTGCATTAGGACAATGCAGATGTGCCAGTGACATAGTTATCCCAGGTTTTACTTTGTCTGCTGTCTTTGGCACACATCCCAGCTGACGTCCACTTCCACTTTCCTTCATTCTTGTTATTGTTGTTCAGTATTCTAATTTTCTAGTTATTTATTCGTTCAACGCCTATTAAAGTATTTTGTTGCAACACATCTCGACAAATCTGTGTACTTCGGATCAGTTCGGGTTGTTGTATCGTATGCTACTCATTTTATGTCGAGCAATATTATAACTTCCATCTCATCATCTCGTCCATATTTCTCGGACATTAAATCATATCCAACTTCCGGGGACTCTCAAAGGCCCTAAAAGAAGTTGAGTTCTCAAAGGTTTGTGGTTTAGCTGTATAGTTTGTCTCCACAATACTTTAAGAAAAATATATATTCGTATGGTGTTTAATTTTGGGGTGGTTATTCTATAGTGAGTTCAATATTTCTTTTTATGTATTAACATCTGTGCATCTATTCTCTTGGTGTATAGGAGCTGTGCTGCCTGAAGTAGTGATAGTTCATAATTGAAGCTACACGCCCACCGATTTCCGATCAAGACCAGGAAGACAATCTATCAGTATAACTAAGATCTCGGTTTGCATATCATATTACACATTAAAGAATAATATGTAATAGAGAATTCTCAAGTGCAGGAACAGAGCAGTAATAATAGTGAATAGGAAGTAGGTACGTTGTTAATTGAGTACTAACGTTAATATTATCAGTAGCAAAGTAGTTGATATGAGTCATTGAAAAGTATTCATCATCATGGAACTCTCAAAGGAAAGGTTTGTCTTGGGGTAATAATGAATAGTAACTGATATCATGCACCCTAGCTGAGTTAATTGCATTATACATGTCCTGGTGTTATCGCAACCACACCAAGTATGACGTAATCTAGATTAATGCGTCAGGGATTAAGAAAACGGTTTTTACTCAGTCCAAGACATTCACTGTTGTATAGTAAGCCTGTTTCAGTGTCATCCTAATAATCATGGTATGAAACTATATTTGCTAGTTAATAAATGCTAAACAACTGCGGCTTTAATTCTCATATAATTATGATCTCATGCATAGCACACTTCTACAAATAAGAGCAGCTGCTTGAACCAGAAAGAAATATGAGAAATAATTTTCTTAATCACTTTGCAAAATAATTAATTTGTAAGTGTATATTTAAACTGGTAGGATTGATGTGTATGTAATGAATATGACAAGATAGAAAGGCAGTAAAGACAGGATGTAATAGGCTTTGGTATCTCAGGTATAATATTTAGGATATATAAACACACACAAGCACGAGTTGATAACTGTACAAAATAAATAATCATCCTGGCTGAGGGATACAACTTCGGCCACGGCGAACAGATTGATGAGGTATGGATTCTGTAGCGGATTAATTTGTTTCAGTAAAAAAAATTCCGTGTGGGACAGATGTTATTTGCAACAAATTGTTTAATCTTGTAGGACGACGACGACGGAGACGAAGGGGACGAGACGACCACTCTTGTTGTGTATGACAGGCTCGAAGAATATCACCGCCTACGGAAACGCTGTTCCCCCGACGGAATTGAGATGGCTAACGTTAACTCGGAAGATATCATAACCAGTGCGGACACTGCAGATCATCCAATCGAGTCTGGGTTCAATGATTATCCTGGTTCAGTCAACCGCTCGTATGATGAAGGGGACGAGGATGAAACTTTGTTGGAAAGGGAAGTGGATGGAAACGAAACACTCGTCGCCTGTCTTGCGCCGAAAGATCGGTAATCTTAGTAGATTTTTTGTAATTTCCATTAATTTCTGTCCATATTAATAATAGTGAGTACTTTTGTGATTTTCTTAAACAAATTATTTTATTCCTAGGTGGTGGGGAGTGTATGCCATATTTTATTTCTTAGGAATTACAACGTTACTCCCTTGGAATTTTTTTATCAATGCGGATAAGGTAGAATAATCAGATATTTGTTTTATTGATTCGAGCTACTATTATGTTTTATGTTTCATACAGTACTGGATGTACAAATTTCGCGATGTAAATGCAACAAGAAATGGAACTGATGTGTTTTCACCTGACTGGGATTCCTCTGAAGCTATAGTTCAGTTAGATTTACACCCCCTTCATGGGAAGACCCCTTTTCAAGCTAGTTTCACATCTTATCTAGCAATCGCATCCAATGTTCCATCTACAATTTGTTTTCTATTGAACGCCGTCATTTCGAGATGGTAATGTGAGATATTTTTTTATACAAATATATTACCTATGTAGTATGATTCATTAATTTGTAATTTTTTAATATTATGCTTTCAGGATCTCAGCAAATATGAGGTAAGAGTTAAATTTTGCATAGATAGAAAATTGAGCAAATATGACAGCTAAACTATATGTTCATGTTTTCGAATGCCATACTTACATGTGTACGCTGTCCTACCTTGCAGAATGGTCGTGAGGTACGAATGTTACTTTTTACAGTCTTTCTTTTCTTTAAAAGTCTTCCTCCTATGTCTTACTGTAATTGAAATGAGACTATTTAAATATTTTTCAGCTTGATCATCACTCTAGTAATATTTATTGCATCCACGGTGCTAGTTCAAATCAATACCGATTCATGTAAGTAGTAAATTTTCATATCTTTAACATGAGTTGTTTGTTATTTAATTAATGCTATCAATAACTTGTTTCATTATAATTGTACAGGGCAGCAGGGATTTTTTGCAACCACAATGATAAGCGTAATATTCATGAATTGTACGAGTATATTTAATAATGTAAACATATTTTCTTGGCAAACTTATGAACGTTCCCACACTTGTTATATTTTTATAGCCTTTTGTGCATTTTTTCAATGTGGATTGCTTCAAGGTAAGAAAAAAAAATCCGGATTCAAAACTAAATTACAATTTTCCGCTCTTCAGTTGAAAATGGCATTATCTGAATTTTTCTGTATACTTATTATTATCTGCCACAGTGGCGTTATTTTAGATTGCTCATAATGAAATTAATCTATGTAAATTGCACTTTATAGTTGTTGGACGATTTCCGCCAGAGTATACAACGGCGGTGATGTCAGGTAAAGAGGAATAAGCATTAAAAATGAATTTCCATAATAATCGTTCCTGACTTGATATGTATCGATTTACAGGTCAAGCCCTTGGCGGAATATTTGCTGCTTCAGCCAACCTCTTATCTATATTTTTTGCTGCAGGTAAGTTTTGTTTAATTAAACTCCAACTAATAAATACAAATTCATAATGCAATACTTGCTATTATTTTCAGATCAAGTGAAATCTGCCTTTATTTATTTTCTTCTGGGATCTGCATCTTTATTTTTTAGTGTTTGTGCATCGGTATATTTACCCCGAACTTTATTTTTTAAATTTTACACTGGAGGAAAATCTCATCAACCATATCGATTCATTGAAAATTATCCACCTCAAGCAAGAATCCGGCCTAATGAAACGAGAAAGGCGAAAGGCATGTGGATAGTGTTTAAGAAGGTATTCGCTTGTTATTATTTATCCTTGACAAAACCCATGATTTTGTCACAACAATGATGTCGTACCTCATCGTACCTCAATCTTAATCAAAATTAGGTGTGGATCCAGGCCATCTCAGCTATGATGGTGTTTGTTGTAACATTAGCTGCATTCCCCACGTTAATGGTCTTGGTGGTCTCTGAAGAAGTTCCTTCTGTTTGGAATGAAAAGTATTATGTTGCTCTTGTCTCCTTCCTCGTATTTTCATGTGGCGATTACATCGGAAGAATTTTGTCTGGGGCACTTCAACTGGTACTAATTGTTTCCTCCGTACCGTAATTTGTCAAAATATCATATCGAATTTATTAAAACATTTTATTTCATAGCCTGAAAAATCGTCATCGTGGACTTTGATATTCTCTATTCTGAGAATTGGATTTCTTCCCATGATTATGATGTGTCAGCTTCACCCAAGGACACTCCTTCCAGTCATTTTCAAGTCAGATATTGAATTTGGAATCATCAGTTTCCTTTTTGGATTTTCCAACGGATATTTAGCGAATGTTGTATTTATCAATGCACCTCAGTATGTTCATTCCACCTTCTTCTCTAGCACATATAGTCTAGTAAATTTGAACACTTGCTTAATAAGTGTATGTAATTCGTTTAGGATGACTAAATAATTTGTCTCTTGATTATGACTTTAAAGGTTGGTGTCTCGGGAAGATCAAGAGGAAGCTAATGGAGTTGTCACCACAGCTCTCGGCATAGGACTCTCAGTCGGCGTTAGTCTTAGCTATTTTCTTTTAAAGTTGTTGTAAATTGTGTGCAAATTGAGTTGTGGGTTCCTCATTACTGGAGATCTTGTATTCATTCCATGAGTTTAAGCCAACGTGGCTTCAAACTCTCTCAATAGAATCATATTGAACGATCTACATATTCATTTGTCTATCTAATCCTGTGTAGTTGTAGTGTATATACTGTTGTTGCCCTTATCCATTTTGATTTATATGGGCACATCAGGTGACGTGTATAATCTGTCGAGACTGTTTCATGTAACAAAATGTAATTTATTTTATTTAGTTTGACTTTGTATAGTGTTATTATTACTTTACATAAACCAGCTTCCATTTCTGGAAAATGAAACGGATGGTGATTTTTCAAGACCAAAAAAACTCATATTTTTCATGAAATTTTCATTTTAATGATTTTACCTCTAAAAAAGAATGTCTATTTATGATAGCAGAAACTGGTTAATAATATGCGATGTGATAGTGTGGGACTACAATCAAAGTCAAAGTTTTAACGTGATAAAGGTCGGGTATGTATCATGATAAAAAGAATAGAACTGAACAATCAGAATAAAAGATATATTAGCGCATATATATCATTAGTGGTTTATATTGTACCTTTTTTGAATGAAATTAGAATGAATCAAAAGATCTTCTTGATCGATACTCCTGCTATTGCTATTGCAGAGTGTGGTGTGTTACAATGTCACATACATACTTTTTTAAACTACATTCGTACCATCACTACCCGGAGTCATACATAATCTGTTCATTTCTTTGCCAGAAAAAGGGTTGAAACTTGCATATAGAATGGAAGCTCATTCATGTTTCATGATCACGAACAATACATAACGAGAGATGACATCGAGGGGCGAGAGAGAATGGACATTGACAAAATCCAACAGCAGATGAGCCTGCCAAATAATAATGTCTTCTCTTCTGTGGATTTTTGAGCCACCAGAACCTCCTCATCTTTTCAAATTGTGAAAGAACATAAAGGCATCACCCACAACGACACCAGGATGTACTTATGTCCTTCTCTCTTATTTTTTCTCCGCACCCTTGATGTGAGTGATGCAACTGCATATCTACCACCACTCGCCAACAGTTCATCAATATGAATCTCTCTCCGTCCGTTTGCTCTATTTGCTTCACTTCGTAGGGAACAAGGGGTGGATTTGGATGATGTGATGGCTGCTGCTTCGAGGAGTGCAAGCGAGTTGAGGGTTGTAAAGCTTTCGAAATTGTAAATTTGTTGTTGTTTCGTCCTTCTGTTATTATTGCAAGAATCATTATTGTCTTTTGTTCTTTTGTCGGCGTGGCACTTCACTCGCTCCGTAGTCTCGGCCAGCCAACATTCGAATAAAGTTCCAAAGGGCTGACAACGATTAGGTTAAAAGGGGGCTTTTAACTGGAACATATTTTCATGACGGCTCTCTCGTTCTCTCCACAGTTTTCTCCCATACATGTATGCTCCTAGCCTTGGTAAGTACAAGTGTAATGTATGTGTGGACATGCAGGGAGAAGTGGGTGTTGCTTGCTCGAGTCTTTCAGGACAGTGCAAGACATACAAAAATTCACATTTTTATTTTAGAATTGGACAAAGCAAGACGGACGCATAGTTTAGTTGATCCCTTGTTCTTGGTCCAGAGCGGTGAAGAAAAGAGAGAAAGATGTTGTTGATGGTGGTGTGGGTTCTTCTTGTTCTATTCTTCTGTGAACAGAATTCCACTTAAGCTAGTTACATGTGTTCCATTACATTAGATCCTAACATAAAGCTATTTTCACTATTATTACGCTCATGGCTTGTCATAAATGCCCATTCTCTTTCTTGGCACTCGATTTCTTCTTCGAAAAATATGACCTGCTTGTAGCAACATCATCATCATCATATGCAGTATGCTACATACAAGTCCTACATACACAGAGCTTCCGTGGCCACTTTCTCCTCTGACCAAATATTATATTACTATTTCTCTCTTGAATGTGTGGGATGGTCAGCTACAAATTTATCCACTTGCTCTGCTTGCTACCCCACAGTGTTTATGGCTCAAGATTCGTTGGAAATATCTTGGATGCTTTCTATCTATACTAAACCCTCCCAATAAGCTACACAATGAATACATATGTACATACATGTACTACTGCCTTGAGGAAGCAAAATATTTCTGGAATTTTAGTTGGTGATGAGGTCCTGATGGACAGGCTGGAAATGAATTTTGAAATTGTATTGAAGCACCTTCCCATCACGAATTCGTCACGACTGAATATTGAGAGGAAATAACGAAGAAATTGGGACTATTTATTATTCAAAAGTTTTACGACAGATGCAAATATTTATAATTACGACGAATAAAGACGAATTCCTTTAACGACATTTTTGTTTTAGAGACTACATATTTATGATTTTTTTTACAGAAAAAACTTTAATTTCCTGGGACCCCAAGGTATCATAATAGTTCAATTTATATACTGTTTCCGAACTAATATTACCAGAAGAGAGAACAACGTGCGTCTCATGTATCTATTTATTTGGGATGGAATGACAAAGTTTAACATGCTTAAACAGTGTACCATCATTCATGTTGGGTGTAATATTACAATCACCACTCTTCGCTTTCATGGTGTGACTGACGTTAATATAAATTGCAATCAGACGCTAAACCAGTGATGGATGGATTATGGGTTTTCGAACTCTCTTTCCCTTTACCGACGAGACACTTTTGTTACTCTGGGGTGACACTACATATTTATAACACATGCATAACCGACAGCAGCTACATACATTTACTGAGACAACTAAAGTGAACAATTAAAATAAACTGCATCATCCAACAAGCATAACAGACTCAGAGAAAAAAAATATATGCAGAAGAGGATTTGTTTTGAATCCAAGTAGTCAAATATTTTGTACGATTAGAAAGTTTTCACCTGTTCATTGATTTACCTTGCTTATCCTCAGTTGATACTAGGCCTAAAAGTCTTTAAATACTACGCATGGCATCAATTTTGGCTGCTTTGAATTGTCAGCGCTATAAATCGAGAATGGTATTAGATATTTCAAAATTTCCTTTTGACCAATGTGAAGAGACTGAGAAAGGTTGAGGAGAAAACCACCCGGTTATCATCGAGGGAGAGCATCATCAGAGTCAACAAAACTGGCTCAGCAGCAGCGCCCTGAACATGGCGTACAAATTGCATGGCGTGGACTCCCTGGTGGGATTTCCTCACTCTCTTTCTCTCTCTTTCCTCCGACTTTCCTAATTCGGGGGTGAACTGTTCACCATTCTCCAGCCACTCGTTCTCTCACTCGCACTTGCAGCTCTTCCGTTGCCTCTCTCTATTTCACCCAACCTCTCCTTCCTGATTTCATACATTCGGAATTTCAATTGCGAGAAAACAACCTGTCCTCAGGGTCTCCACTTGCTAAATTCTCAAACTAAAGCCTTGCGCCACTTACGCCTCCAAGTCTGGAGAGAAATCTTCACGGAAAGGGAAAGTATTCCAGAGAAAAGGGGTTGTCTCAAAGTGCCCCGCTTCCCCATCCTACACTTTACTCTGTCTACTTATTCTGCCTCGCTTGGTCAGATACACACCTTCACAAGGTCACTTTGTTTCGTCGCCTAAGATGGTCATACATGACCTAGTCGCAGACATTAACTTTGTACACTCTCGTTAAACTCTCGTTAAACTCTCGTTAAACTGTGCAACTCTTTTATCTCTACAACATTTGCATATAACGCAAGAGGTGTTGGAAGAAACCGGAGTTCAGACGACTGTCACATTTCATACCTACTCCATTCAAGTTTGACATTCTTTTGAATGTTTCTACGTACATATCCCAGGGCTGCATCGTAATATTGGAACAACACGAAACACGTGCACAAATACATGCATGTTGGCGTAGGCGGAAAAGCGGAAAATACATACACGTTTCAGGAAAAGAAAAAAATAGACTGGATAAAACGTTCATAAACAATTACGAAATTTTAACTCGTGTCTAAAAATACGCTACATTTGAGAAATCAAACAATGTGTAAATGTTGCAAAACAACAGCATGTTTAACATGTTGATGACTCCTCTGTGAATCTCCTCTCTGTCTTCTTGTGTAGAAAAGTAAAGGGTTTTATCCCTTCTGGCAGGGAAGGAAAGTGACGGAAGTGTTTAAGGAAAGTTTGAGATTTGTGCTAATGACTTGTGACACGTGAACAAAAATATTTAACGAAGGTCGAGTGGTTGAGGCAAAGTGAAGCCATACACATTTCCTCACCCCTCCGCGTGCAAGATCTACATATTTCCAGATTTAAATCTCGTCTCACCTCTCAATTACTCTGCGGTGCGGTGAGGCTGGTGGGTGAGAAGCAGGATATAAATATATAATATTCCTCCTTTGTTCATTTCTTTCTCAACTGCCAAAGCAATCGAGATTCGAGATTAATTAGAGAATTAGTGCGTCCTACCACAAAATGAGGGTCCCATTCTTCACGAGAGCTGGGAATGATGACAAGGATGGCTGTGTCGGAGGTGGGGGAGGTCGTCATAATAATCATTCTCATAACTCTACAAGTCAGCAGCAGCGTAATAGTCATCATCATCATTCCCACTTATCCTCGAAATGGACTCGAATTTTGATCGTGGGTCTATACGTGGGCTTATGTCAAATGGCAGCTGTCTTGTCACAAGGTAATTTTCCTCCGTTTTTAACATTTTTGTGTTTTCCTTGCAGCAGAACAAAAAGCTTATTCAAATTTCATCACGTACATCCAATATATTTAAACAATGTCACAATCCAAACGCCACAAGACATCTTAAGGAGCAGATACATACACACGGACGGAGGAAAGTGGCAGTGAGAATAAAAGAACAAATTCATTCCTGTCAAAAGAAGTGGTGTTCGTGGTGGTGGTGGTGGGGGCTTAATAATGTTCTTACAAATTGTTGTGAAAGGAGACAATGAATAGCCGAGTCAAACAAAAGTACAAGAAACAATTTATGTATGTACATACATATGTACGTATAATCTGTATTATGATTATGTACAAGTTGGTTCTCTGACACCACTCGCACACAATTTTAGTGCTGTAAAAACCACAAGTTTGTATTACCATAAAAAATGCACAAAGATAAGAATACAGGCAAGGAATCAACCAAGTGCATCGCATTATTATTGTAAACATGTGTCAACTCTGGAGAAAATGGTGTCATTGAATTTTAAGGGAGCACAAAGCAGAAAAGTCAAGAGTCACTCAGTCAGTCACTGGGTTGCCTCATCCATGTCATTGTCATCCACTCTGTTCGACATCATCAACTCTGGGGTGTCATTTCCTATAATATTAAGAAGTCGTAACATAACGTAACAAGCTTATCATCCAAGCCATGCAGCGTCTCAAGTACCAAAAACGGGAAGAATAAGAAAGGACGACCAGACTCCCTACCGTTTCACTTCATGAGAGAGGCCAAGTATTATATTGCACTACGGGGAGACTATAGTCGTCCTGGATGGGGAAGTAAGGAAGCAAGTCTCGCTTGAATTGTACTCAACTGCAATATGTAGTCGTAGTCGCCGTACAATGTAAAAGTTGGGCTTGAGCTTTGATCCACTTTTCAAATATTATCATCACGGATGAAGGAAGCATCTGCATAAACTCAGCCACTCAGCGTATAATATTATGTAGGACAAAGTCAAGTCGACTGGAGCAAGAAGCACCACCAGCACGATACCTCCTTTCTGGTAGCCAGTATTTTTCACCACTTGGTACTTATGGTGCATTTGTACACTCATTTTCACCCAACTTTCTCCGGGTTTTCTTGGTGCTTGGACAGTGAGGTATTGCGTTCCCTTCATTTTTCATCCCTTTCTCACCACTCGGGATGGAGGAGAAGTAGAAAATTGTGGCATGACTTTATCTGCGACAGTTCATGCTCTGGATAACGCACGAGGAAAGGATGAGGCAGATTAGTGATTATGGCAGAGAACCACTTTCAACTGCAGCCTCCTTGTTACATGAATTTCTGCGAATGTTTTGGGCTCCTCTGTCTGATGAATATGTGTGCAGCCTATGACACTCGTAGTATAAACACATGGATGTACATATGCTTAACTCTGAAATTCGCTTTTACGACAAGAGACAGATTGTTACAGCATGGCATCAGTGTGTTTACATATATTGAATTAAATGCGTTTGCAATTGCTGAAAATAAATACGTATGGACAACCCACCTCCACTTTCTCTCCCGTTGATTGATTATTATAATAAAGTGTCCAATTTATGTGCCGTGACTTATAGCCACATAAATAAACACGTGTTTTTGTGCACATTTCTGTATTGAGCTTACGGGTTGTATTAAATTGTGATTTTGATGGCGAAATAAAACCAGTAATCGAATTCTGGACGATTCTTGAAAGGCTCAGTAAATGCATACATGCACACGAAATTGTGTTTCAGAGAGAAGGCATTTCCTTTACAACACGATAATCAGTCAATAGTATGATTATAATTTGTTTCATTTCCATATTAGGCCGTCATAATAAAGGGAAAGAAGCTGCAATAAGTATTTAAATGCAGGAATAAAATGATTGAAGTCAGACAAGTTACAAATTCCTGTAAATTGCTGCGAGTTGAAAGAGGATTTGAGTCTACATAGGCGAGGTGATAATGGGAGACAATTATGTTGATTCTATAGAATACGGCATATCTCTTTCCCTCTAGAGGACAAATTGCATTGTTTTCACCAAAGATAGATATACTTTGCAGAGTGAAAGTGTGCGGACTTTATGGATGGATTGGGATTCCATTCTATTTCCAGTCTTTTGTCACGTTGATTTTGATACTTTGCAATGTCCTTGTCCTGTTTCACAGTTGTGATTTGAAGATTTGACTGCCTGTCTATTCTCTGTCGCCCACCTTGCGTTGCTTCCTAATATTTTGATCAAAAGTTTTGACTCTAGTCGGTTAGCTCTTCTGTTCATGATTTGTCCCTTGCTGCTGCTGGATTGTGTCAGACTTTGGGATTGAAGTTTGAGGTTTCATTTCACTCCTTGTTTGTTTCCGAGTATTTATGTTGTGTGTTACCGTGAGCCCACTGCTGGGGCTTGTTTTGTTCTCTGAAATTGTATTCAACGCGAGTTATCTTTCCTTCTTCGAAGTAGCGGCTCCGATTTTACTAGCTTTGAGTTTATGTACAACAAGGAGATGTGTGGTAATTTATTTCCCCACAAAAGAATTTAGTGGAATACGCATAATATTTTCTATATTATGGCATTGTCAGATTTTGAGATAAAAATAATGATCTTTAGCACTACAAAAGGCTGAAAATTTTTGAAATAATGATATTAGCTATTACGACTTTCGAGGTTTAAGTGCTGTTTCAAAGTAAACTGCACATTTTCCATTTCCTTTTCTAGTAAACATTTTACTACGTGTTTATGTATGTACGCAGCCACGTAGCATCTCCAAGTCAGTATTGACACAACCATCATAAGGACAAAAGTATAAGTATGCTCATATCTAATACATATGTGCATGTATTATGCTTGATACTCATTAGTATCCAACTCTTCGTATTTATTACAACCGACCCCTGATATAGCTTGGTTGAAGGTACGCGTAATGCGAAAATAATTTCGCAATAAAAGAAAACAAACAAAAGGAACAAGAGGAAAATATTTGTTCTGATTTATAAGTACTTTCACTCCGTATTTACCACACTCAAGTCACATTTGCTCGGATACGCTGTATTTTCTCGTTCCAAAAACAAATCATTTGTGTTTCATCATAAATTACGAAGCGGTGAGGCGGCTAGTAAAAATGGGCACAGGTCGAACCGAGTGCAAAAATAATTAAATAAGTGTTACATGTGCACATATGAGGTAAATACTTCCCACCACCAGCACCAGCCTATCTACACCGTCCAATTGTCCAACATGTATGTACCAGCTCTGTAAAAAACAACACTTTCACTCTCGCGAAGGGTATAATCATCTCTCTCTTTTCGTCGGTGGCTGGTCTTGCTGCGGTTTCCCATGATTTCTTATCAATTTGTATTATTGCATCGGATGTTTTCGTGCCATTTGGCTATTATCGGCGTCCATGAGTTACATTACTTTTATTCTATTTGTAGCATATATGTATGTATGTGTGTACATATGTACATACGTATATGCTAAAATGTGGTATACAACATGCAAGTCTTTTTTTGTTTATTTGCAATGCCACACATTTGTGTTTATGTAATTTCATACATAATGACAATTTCCAACCTTCTTCAATACCAATGTCAACTGAAGTAGATATTTTACATTCTAGCTGAAAAGTACGCTTACAGTATTTGCTGAGTATATTTCAATTTTCATATTTCTAACTCGTAAGCGCGGGGAGCATTCAAGGCAGAAGGAGTGATTTAATGCATTTGGCTATTCCGACTACTTTCCCCAATAATAAAACAAAATCATAAAAGAGCAGCAAAAGCTGTGACCCTTCCTGCGCCTCCACATTCATGGGGGCTGTGTGAGTGAGTACATTATTGTGTCTGAGTACATTGTTTAGTACTTTAGTTGAAAGGAGGAAGTTGCAAATATAGTGAAGAGAGTGTTGCCCATGGGGCTACTTAGCTGGAATATATAAGATCAAATTGGACACTCTTTTTGTGCTTCCTCTTTGTCGTCGTCGGATTGAATATGCCGTCCAATGCTAGAATGCAACGAAGGTCCAAACAAACCGGTACGGCTATGAATGAAGTTCTTTTTTGGTTATTCACAAATTCACAACACAGATTTCACTAGATTCACTACTGCGGTCTAGGAAGCAAGCAAGCAAAAAGTCATCAGAAAACAGGATCATTCGAAAATCAAACTTATGTACGATGTAATGTACTACAGGTTCATTTGGGTGTCAAAATTCTTAATTCCCGCATAAGTGCGTACAATTTTTTTTCATACACATGTGAAAGCATGAATTGCTTAGTTCTTGAACTAATCCCATCCCGTCTTACTATGTGCGTACACACATCAGTCCATGATTTAAGAGCTTGGTTTGTTTTTTACTGATGCATATGGAATCCGGGATTGAGAAGAACCACGGGTGGTGGTTGTCCGGAAGACCCTTCAGAAAGCAAGGAAATGCATTCAATTCCATTCAATTCGATTCAATTCAAACGCCCAAAAAGCAAGAAGAACTCGGTCCCGTACGTACTAGCACCCCACATTTTCACTTACATTACTACACTACATTATGAATACAAATATCACACCACAGCAGCAGCACTTCTGAAATGCGAAATGTTGTAGAGTTCAGAGTTCGACTGTTCTACAGAATTCATTCTTCGTGTGAAGGTTCTTCTTCTTCCTCTATACTCTCGTTTCTCGTACATATTTTATTTCCTTTGTTTTCTTGTACCACTCTAATACTCCGTGTGATGACTTTACGTGCAATACTGCCACTTTTGGTTCGGTGAACGAGTTACAAAGTTTTTGTGTACTTGTTTCTTAAGTCTAAGTAACTGGGTAATATTTTACACAGCACAACAATTTGTATTCAGAAAGGAAGCGATTCAGTAGTTACACTCCATATTGTTGTTTTGTTGAATTTGGTTTCCTATTTCTCGGGACGAAATCTTGGAATGAAGTAGACATTTCAGAATTCACATTTGCTAAATAAATTTTGGAATGCAACATGTAAATTTGAGTGTTTTCAACAAAATGAGTTGTACAGTAAAGTAAAATTTTGCTGAGACAACAAGGCAAATCTTTCTACGTACATACATCAATTTGCTGAGACTGTACTGCAATCGTAGTCGTGACATTTGCTGCCTTGTGGTTCATACGATGTATGACTTTGTATTTTTGCTGTGTCTACTTTCTGTGTGGTGGTTTAGGGTGTTGGAGTATGTACGTAGTGCATTTCAGGATGATAAATATTCGGATTTTGGTCTATTTTGTCACTTTTTATTTTGTTTGTTGCTATTTTTCATTCCGTAGGAGACAGTGCTTTTGGTGTATTACGTTTTATTTACGGAAGCAAATGTATTATTTTCCATAAAAGATGAAAACTCGTGTAAATGCGTCACTCCACTTACTTTACGTGTTAGTGAACCCTTATACGTACATATATAATTAGTTAAATTGAATGGCATGCAGTAGGAGACCTATGGCATTGAAAATTACAATTTTATTATCAACCATAATATTCTAAAGCGAGGACATGTGTAAATAATTATGGATATAGCTAATATAATCCACCCAAAATTAACAAATTAGATTTTTTGTACTTGTCCACATTTTCATGAGCCCCTGATTGAAATCCCGGTTTCTTATCGTCAATACAATCGGATTAAAAGAGGAGCTTGTCCATCCAACTATAGCACCGGCTAAAAAATATGATTTTGCTATGTCTATTCCAACGACTTCCAACAGAAACAATACGGCAAATGGTATCCAACAAACATAACATCCAACAATTATTATCCCCAATGACCATGCCGCCGTACGCTCTCTTTTTAAATTTACTTTAAATTTTTCAGATTTTGGAAGTCGGACTGAAGATAAAGGTTGTTTGATAATTTTATCCTCCGCGTCTGTTTCGGTTAATTCGGTGATAGTTTCCTCATCTCCACCACCAATGTTATTTAGCTCCTCAGGTTTGGTTTTAGTTGATTGGAGTGCATTTTGCTTATTAAACTTGTTTGTTGCTTTCGCTCGTAAGAGGAGAAAAAGTTGAGTGTAAAGTCGTGTGAGAAGGCCCACAGGAAGGATGAAGTTTGTCAGGATAACAAGGACAAAGAAACTTGGAGTCTTCTTCAAAGCACATATTCCATGTACCTCCGGGTCAGATGCGATGTGGTCCCAGTCAATCAAAACTGGGAGAACTATCCACACCGAAATAAACCAAATAGTGCAACTTAGCTCAACATTATTAACGAACGTTCTCCTATGAAGATAGGAAACCCCATGAACTACAATTCTGTAGCGATCTAAAGCAATGAGGACAAGATGTGCAGAACGGGCACAACTTAACGAGTAGCATCCCATCAAATAGAATTTGCATGTGCCAATTCCAAGCGTCCAGTTGTTTGTGTACTATAAAAAATTAAAGCAATGCACATTTTACTTAATAGATTATATTATGCTGTATAGACAAAATGTCTCTAGTTTGCAATGTACCAAATAAAGAAACGTCAGTGGCATCAACACAAACCCAATAAGAATGTCAACCACGGCCAAACATATAAAATAGGCATTGGAAGGATTTTGAATTTTCTTATTTGAGAAATAAATCAAAATTAGAGCAAGATTCCCAAGGCCTGCACCAAGTATAAACACAATCGCGATTAAAATTATACAAATTTTAATGAGAAGGCTAGTTTCTTCAAACATGATATTATTTATAAAGGGATTATCCAAATTTTAAAGTTTGATGGAGTGTCGTAATCTTTACTAATTCTTTGCATTATGAACAAACTCGATGTCGATGTGCACACGTTTTTCAAACCACAGTTGCTATCAAAGCTGTAAACTCGTGAAGGTCAGGTTTGTGGTTTGAAAGGATGCTTGATTTTCCTTCAATAGTTCTCGTTGTGTACTCATCGTCAGCTTAGAATTTGCTTAATAATCTTACATGCATGTAATGGGCATTAGTTGCCCATTCATATACCGTTAGTTGACAATATTTACGAAAACAACACTTTCAACTCATACATATAATTCACATATTTAGCTGAAGCGAGTACAAATTATTTCTTCGGCTTAAAACCGGTGAATATTTTTTGTATCTGTTTATGTGTAATAACGACGAAAGTATCGACACAAATATGAAAATGGGCTACGTCAATATCAATGCACAACGTCTCATATAAGTTGCTTTCCTCCGTCATAAATGGAATATGTAATCAAAGAAAAGTTGGAGAAGCAATATTTTTGGCAATTTATCACGGTGAATGAGAGTTCGTTCCGAGTGCATGATTTATTTGGGAAGGCCCCATTACAAAGTGAAGGCGACGTTTTAAAGGTTGGGTGCGTCGAAGTCGATATCAATGGAAAACTGTTGAGTCCTCTGCTGTCCTGCCCAAGTAAGAAAATGGAGAATTGGAGGTTGGTGGCACATGGTTTCCGTTATGTACTCCGTTCAAAAGGAGACGAAGCAGCCGGGCTCTGTTTTCTTCCCACGACTGAGAACGGAGGGTGATAAAACTTAACCCTGCACTTTCTCTCCCTCACTTTCCCTTCTGCTTGCTCTTTCTCCGCTGCATCCCCACGCCTCAGTCGCAACTGGCTCACCACCCACATAGCGAACTGGGTTGACATGCAGAGATCCTCGCCTCGGGGTTGGAATTGCTTTTATCGGATTTTGAACCAAAGATTCTCGTCTCTCCCACTCCGCAGCCCAACAAATGCATCCACTTGTCCCTGGCTGCTCAGGGATCATAGGTGAGAAAACTCGCAGACTTATTCGAGACGACTTCACCCATGAGCAAGCCATATCCGAAGAACTGGGATGAAGAATAGGAGCGGATGCAGTAAAGATTTGAGTATCTCAAATGAAATAAACGTGAGTAAACGGGGTTTTGTACAACGGACACGCATCACCACTGCCACCATTACTGGCACTATTTGTCCTCCTTCTTTGTCCATTTGTCATTCTGTTGATTGTATACGGTGCTCTCCACTGCAGTCCTGTGAGTGACTGAGAAATGGAGAGTAAATAGTCAACACATTGAATGAATGCGTATGGAAAAGAGACGTACAAATGGGGTGAGAGAGACAGAGATTTCGATTTTTTGGTGAACCAGTTGGTCATGGGGAAAGTTTGCTCTCTTGTCCGTTAGTGAATGACTAAGAAGAGTAAAGGTCACTATTTGTCAGAATGTTGGGCTGTTTCAGTGGAATACTTTTGTCATTGCAACGGTGGACTGTGCGTATTAGTAAAATAATAGAATGCGTTACTTTAAAAACTAAAGATGTGTATACTTTAATACATATATGCATCTGTTGGTTTAGTTGTTTTGTTGTTATATGTATTGTGGTGTCCCTAAACCTTTCAATAGCTTGTACAAGAGATTTTGCCATTAAAGATTCATTCCGATTTTGATTTTCTTTGCTGAAATATGAAACAGCTCCAAGTGAAAGTTATGTACTTGCAATTTATAAATCACGAAAATTTCTGGCTGACTGGGCTTGTATTGCAACTCAACAGCTTAGCATTGTCTGGGTTGATTAGAAGTCATTTTCTCCACAATCCTTCCTCTGAACTAAATACGCCCATGAACTATGAAGCGTATAACCGGGCGTGGGTGACATTATTCGCATTGTGTTTCCTCGCTCTGCTTTTTGTACTTTGCTTTGTTCAGTTCAGCACTTATTCGTTGTCGTTCGCTCTCAAGGGGTCAAGTCGATTGGAAAAATCTTTATTTCGGAAGAGATCCATCGGGCGCTCCGGCAAGACGTGTGATTTATGATGATGCGATTTGCTTTATCTCCTGACTGCGGTGCGGCAGAATTCCACCACTCTTCTCTCGAGTGTTTGGTTTACTCACATTTCAGAGTTTTTGAAAGTATTGAGAACCAATAATAACGGCAATACAATGGGCTGGATGAGGTAAAAACATGAGTCGCAGTAATATCGTACGGTTAGCATACTTTTCACATTTGCTCTGCCAAACGCACTTTTCTGACCGAATTTTTTGATGCAAAGTCGATCCACCACATTATGGAGGGAGACACACCGCATTAATATTTAAAATAAAGTGGATTTTCTCAAGCATGAGTTCTTCCTCCTCCTCCAGACAGAAGGTGGAAGAAGAGGAATACGTTACGTAAGGATGATCTCACTCTGAGGTTGAGTTGGTTCAAGTCGAGCTCGTGTCATTCCTCATCTACGTACAACCTCATCCTTGGTGAACATCTTAATACACCATAAACCCATCACAACACAATGGGAAATACAGGGACATGCCGAGTGTATGGGTTCTAAATAAAAATAAACCTTATTGAAAATCAATAAGCTTGATGTGTGTAATATTACACACACGCTCAACATTCAGCATATCACACCACTTGTATTACTTACTTTATCCGTTTTACTTCCTCACACACAACAAGAGTCGGACATTTTGCATTCGTCGCGTGAATTTCAGCAGTATCTTTTACTGAGTGACATTTGTTGCCCTTAGAATGCAATTTCAAGTCAAATTTATTTGGCCTGATAAAATATTTATACTAGAATTTCATCAATCCTGTCGTAATCCTGGTTTTGGCTCGTTTGAAATTTACCTTTGCGAAAATTGGTCCTTTGGACAGCGTCTTAGGTAGGATTCTAGCAGATTTCCGCTCTGATAAGCAACATTTATTGACAAATGGTATAATAGTCACATTCACATACATGCGTCGACAATTATCGGAATAAATAGATTGAAATCTTTATCTTGAGATAATCTCCATTGCCCTAAATGTATTTCGTGTTGATGTGAGAACGTCCAAATGTGTGCGTGCTAAAGACAAATTATTGAAAATTGGACTACTTCGTCCTGTCGTTATCTGGATAGTGCATCAACGGTTAACATGAGGTTGTGTGTCTCGGATTATACACGGGTGCAAGTGGGTGGTTAGTTGTCTTTGTAATCTAATCACAGGTAGGCATCCACTGCTGGAGAAGAGTCCGATCAAGATCGTAGCTAACCCTGTAGAAAAGCAAGCGCTTATATCGAACAGTTGTTCTGATCGCACCGTTCGTGTTGTATTTTAGTTTGAATTCGGTTCTCGTTTTTGGAGAAAGTTCATGGATTCCAGTCTATGATAGAAAAAGAGGCTAGTGATCGCGAGTCTGGTATATCTTGATCAGATTAGATTTAGATCGCGCATTGAAATCTTGATCTTGTTTGAATCTAATGTTGAGCTGAATTGAATGGTGGAGTGTACATCTAAATCTTGTAGCACAACTTACACGTATGCAGGGTCAAATGCTTGGATAGAATTGGTAGAAGAAGGAAGGAAGGGTCAGTCCTGCCCACTCCATTCCACTCAAATTCACTGTACTATTCACGTGCCAACGCATTGAGGAGAAAATGTCCATCCTTGCAATTGAGGAGACTACGATCTTGTTGGGATTGAGAAAGCATTACACACAGAAGTTGATGCTTTACGCTAGTTGCAATTCAAGAAAGCCTTACAAGCCACCTTCTTTTCTCGTGTGTAAATGTAAGTGTGAGTAAACTAGGTGCAATTACCTAACGATCGATTTGATGCGTTCAATGGCCAATCTCAGCCTCCTGAGGGGTTTAGGCATTACCGAGATGAGGGAATCGTACGAGTAAGAAGTACGGAAGAAGGGCAGCGTGAAGTCAAATGGCTTGACCACAAGAAAAATCCCAAAAGGCAGCTTAACTAACAACTTTCTTCTCTAATTGCACCAATCGCTGGTTCATGGGTGCATTCAAAGATTAACTAAACTAGTAAAACCTACAGTACAGACTTGATATAGCCCGAGTCAGGCGCAAATACATATGTTTTCAAATTAAATTTTTTTAAACTTCGAATTCTTCAATTAAGAGCCTTTAGTAACCCATATACCAAAATTTATCCACTATCACTAAATTTTTGTAAGTGCACACATTTTTTTCCCTTGGTCACCAGTATCGACTGTGACCATAACTTTGAAACGAGTGTATATTTTTTCTTAAAACTTTCAGGATATTATCCTAGTAATATTAGACGCAAAATATATAAATTCCAGCCACGCGGGTGACTAGGTATACATTTGTTGGTGCACACATATTTTTCCCCCTGGTCACCTTATTGGGTCGCCCAATAAGGTCCTCCAGATGAAAATTTTTATTATTTTAATGCATATTGTTCCATTAGGAGCCATAAGTAAATTGTCTACCAAATTTCAGCTCGATTTGACGAATTTGAAAAATTGGTATGGGTCACCCCATAGGGTCTGTCCAGGTGAAAATGTGTCAAATTTCAATTCATATTCTTCCATTGGTAGTCATTAACAACCAATGTACCAAATTTCAGCTCCATTGGATAAGTTTTAAAAGTCGGTATGGGTCACCCCCTAGGGTCCCTCCAGATGAAAATTTTTGCAATTTTACTTTGTATTCCTTCATTACAAACCATTATCAACCTCTGCACCAAATTTCAGCTTTCTACGACAATTTTGAAATTTTGATGTATAATACCCCACCCACTCCGATGACCCCCACCGGTCAACCACTTGACCGATTTCGCCCATCTTCGAACTTAGCTCCTCGTTTGACCCATACTACATTTGTGCAAAATCTCAAGTCGATCGGATTAGTTTTACGGCAGTTATCGCAAACCAGACAGACAGACGGACATGACGGGTACATAAGCCCTGACTCGGGCTAAAAACTTGTAAGGGTTTGTTGAAAGGCAAGATCGTTGCAAATGTTAGCCAGGCAGCTAATGAAACGGACAGTTTCTTGCG